TTAATCAACAGTATCCGAGTTAATACCTAAGATCGTTCTTTCGTAAATCACTGCGAGTTGTACAAAATGTTCGAATGCGAACAGCCAATGCCCGAGATGTACATGATATAAAATATAATCGATTGGTATTCCTATGATTTCCGCTATGATTTCCAATTTTAGAATACAAGTAGATCAAATAAAATGCTACGCGTATGCTTTTCGCATTTGAAATTAAGTATCAATGTGCATAATGCGTTGTTCCAACACAAATGGTTGATTAGAGGTACTTAAAATTATTAGAGGATTGTTTAACGTTGCATGAGTTACTATACAAGCTAGGTATCGAAAAGGAATCTACAATATTAAATAATATTGTAGCACTTCAATATTCTTCCGTGTTAATCGTTAAGATCCTCTAATTATTTTAAGCGATATAACTGTTAAAAAAAAAGAAAAAAAAAAAAAGACATACAATCAACATTCAAAATCTATAGCATTTCCAATAGAAATTAATGTCAAATCATGATAGTCAAACGTTTAAAATCCACACTGCCTTCTCTACTCCCTGCATTCTCTTTCTCTCACAGACAGCAATCGTTTTCGCACGGTCGATGTAGTTTGCGTGTGTTCAAATAATTTTGTCAACGAGCTCATACGCATGTTACAAATCTACGCGTATCCAGACAAAAAGCCGACGAATTGACAGAAAGATCCAGACAGTGGAAATATCATTTCGAAGTCGATCCAGGATAATAATAAACGACTGCTGGTGCTGGGAGTTGCCAATGCGCCGCGTGAAGTTCAATCAATTGTAAAAGAGTTTTCCGGACTGAAGGTAGTATCCTTCCTCCCCCGAGGAAAGCGTCTCTTAAGGTTTTAAGCAATTGTTGTAACTGGGCTGGTAATTCAGTGTCCAGGTCTTTGCCAATGCAGGTTAAGATGAAGAACAGGGAGTCAGGCTTTAACATAAAAAAAAAATTACTTTTTTAACATTTTACTTAAAATACCTATGTTAATATAACTAAAACATATTGTTAACTTGATAAAAATAGAATATATTTAGAATTCTTGACTTGTAAAAAATAGAATATAGAAAATATTTCATTACGTAGACTGTAAGAATGCAAAAGTAACTTTAAAAGAAGTCGCAATTTAACTTTAAAGGAAACTGTAATGATTCCATTTCAGGAATTTTTTAATTGTAGATCTAATAATTTTCATACATCTAGAATTATGACTAACTCTGTAGTTAGTTGTTGAGGAAGTACATTGTATTACATGTGTAAATCATTCTGAGTGAATTTACGACGTTTTAAATAAAACTACGTGAAGTTAAAGTTTCATGCAAAAAGGCAACTTAATATGTTGTGTTGAACTTACATCAGTCAAAGAATTTACAATCGGAGGCTGTAAGCAATCTTGGCAACACTTCCAAAGCAGCGTGAGAAGAACACGTCCAGGAGGAACGCCCTCCTGTTGTGTCTTCAACTGAAGTTGTCTCCGTTTTAACTGTAACCGAAATCATGCAAATGAATAGATAAATATCTTGTACGTCAATCATTCTGATACAACAAAAAATAAATTGCTTTAACACAAATAATATTGCAGTATGATCGATTACTTAAAGATCACTTAAAAATCGTTCAAGCATGATCATTCACAGGCTTTCACAAATCAAATATTCATTACAGATTATTTTACGAGATAAAAAGAATTAGTTTTACCTGACAATACATTTCGTTCATGAACGTCATGAAGGCGGAGTAACGATAGTTGGATCCATCGTAGAGCTTCATGACTCGATCTTGATACCATTGTTGACAGATGTTTAATAAAGATTCCAAGAAAGTTTCTTTTGTTTCTTTCTGCATTAATATAAAGAAATATTATATAAATAAAAAATAAAATAAAAAATATGTTATATATTATAAAAAATATTTTCTCATGACATTGAAATTTGTTTTAATGAATTAAAATTAGTTATTTTTACAATCTAATAATTTGTAAAGTATAGTAAAACTTGTCTGTAGAAATAATTACAAGTATTTCTAACAATCTACCTGAAATTATGTTTTGTTCATACATTTTAAGTATATTTCTTCGAATATTTATGACAATTTTGCGAATAGAACTTTTACCACAACATAATGATATTAATTTAGAAAAAATATTAGCATTTACATGAATGCTATTTTGTGCATTTTAATGTTAAATTATAATTCAACATATAATTACCTCTATAATAGTGATGCAAATTTTCGCTGCTGGCTCAGCATACTTTCTATTCTCGACGACCCTCTCCAAAATGTGTCGCACGAGTTCCATTAAGGCTCGAGCATTTAATAGGTTCGGATCTAAATTAATACGAGCGTTACGATTAATTACTAATTCATAATTGATTAAATTTAGTTAGATTAATCTACATTTTTTTTATTTCTTAAAATATAAAATTGTTTTTTTTTTAATAATTATTATTACCTTCTATAGCTCTCGAAAGCGTGTCTTCAATCACAGCTGGAAATTTGCCCAATTCAGAAGCATCTGAAATATTTACTGTCTTCGGAGCCATCACGTCGGCTGCGTTCAAGCTTTTCGATCGCTTCAATCCATAAGTGGAGACAAAGGATAACGACTTTGTGAGCCTAGCAGGTTTCACCGCGTTTGCTTTGACGTCGTTTTGGTCCATATTGAAGTGAACTCTACCGGAGCACTGTTTTACAAAAGGTATTTAATATGCGCGATATACGGACGCATCCCTCGCATTACTTTTGTACATTTATTGGCGCCGGTTGTAAACCAAAGCCAGAGGAACGCGTTCCGTACACATCTTTTCCTATCGACAAGTAATTAACATAATTTTATAAACAGACAATTACATGTAATATATTTCCACTTGACGCTGAAGTATCGAGCGGATGTGATTGTCGTAATGCAGATCCTGTCGAATGGTGACCACTTTGATTGTGAGAGTGACGAGACATTTGATGTTGTTGCTGAAGGGTATTTTGTATCTGTTGTTGCTGCTGGGCATAAAGATACCGATGTACGTTGCCACTCGACTTACTGTGTTGCAAATAATACGGGGACCGCTCTGAAGCATTCGTCCGAGACCTGAATCAAGATCATTAAATGCCGATTACTTAAATAAGAAGCAGAACATTGAACTGAGCTACCGTCGTTTTTATCGAGCATTTATCCAACTCTCGTCTTTTTATCAAACACTTATTATCAAAACTCTATTGCAACATAATTGACATAATCCTACATCCAATATTTCACTTTGAACGCTGATCAGAATTTTAATCTATAGTTGTGCAAGACGCTTCGAAAAATGAATTTGATTTCGAAATTACTTTCAATTCCTTTTACTTCTCCGTTAAAAAGGTGTTATGTTTAGAACATCTATATATTCCTCTCTCACCTTTTAAACAAAATGTCTAAGAATAACGTGATAATTTATTATTCCTTTGCAACGGGATAAAATTGATTTCTAATTAATCTCTTTACTTTCTGAAAATTTTTCCGATAATAATTTCACTTACAAAAGTTTTGTGTTAGCTTCCTAGGCATTCTTCGAAGCATTCTTGATACGTCGTGTCGACCTAGTCTCAACTATTCCATAAGTAGTTTATACTCACTTAGAAGGATGCGAATCGTTCTGCTTCATAGTGAACTCCTTGGCATGTACGTTTAATCGTGGATTAGTTATGTTTGCCGTGGTACCTTCCGTTCTTCCTCCTAAAAAATATCATTTTTTAGAAGAATTGTTTCATTATCTTAAAAATAAAATCAAATTTGAAAGACAATATAATAAAACAGAAACAATGAACTATAAACCTGGAGGTCGATAAATTTCCAAAGAAGGTTTACTTTTTAACGTGGTTACGTTATTGTTGTTGTTATTGTTGCTGCTATTGTTATTATTATTATTATTATTATTTCCTTTCTGTGGAATCGCATCCCTCATCTGCAAAATTATACAACAAATTAATTGTTTATATACAACTGTATATAATGTTCTAAGTTAATTTCACTAATGATAGAAGGACAGCCACTTTACATTAAAATTTTCCTAAAAATCTAACGAAACTATCATATATATGCATTGCTATATTGTATACTTTCTATGAAAATTAAATTAGAGGCAAGTAAACTACAGTCTTTTTAAACTGTAAACAATTCATTCAAGCAATATTTCACACAAAAATCCGTAATTTGTAATAAATAAATCAATTACAAAATATACTCAGTAAGATTCTATTAAATTTTTATACACTATATTTATTACCTTATCTATTTTATTTTATATGGATAATTTTTCTGTGTAAATAATTATAATAAAATTGCAAGCAAAGATATATGATTTCCTTTAGAAAATTAAATGATCTCTAAAAATTCTTCACGAATTCTTCCTATTTTCTAAAACGTGTGCACTAAAAATCAATATTAAACTTTTATAAAACTTCTATAAAACTTCTCAAATTTAAAGAAGAATTATTTCACAAAATCTTTTTGCGACAATCTATTCATCTTGTTTTTGCAATTCCCAAGTAAATAATTGTAATAAAATCGGAAGCAGAAAAATATAGATTTTCCTCGGAAGTTAAATAATTCCTTAAAATGCTTTAATATATCATCTATTTCTAAAAACGTGTACGACTAGAAAAAAGTAAAACGTGCTGGTGAGAAAATACCAGATCGTACGGTGTCGTTTCGGTGGACGAAAAGACGCAATACCGAAACAAACAAGGGAGACTCACAGTGAAAAGCGTGTGAGAATCATCATCGTTTCCAAGGACGTCGAGAGAGCGTCGGATGGAAATCCTGGTCGCGGTAGGGTGGCAGTGATAACGGGAACTTGCGAACCGGCGGCAACACAAGCAGTAACTACTGGCCGTCTATCAATCGGCACGTGACATACGAAAAATCACGCGGTTTTCATACGTTTTCTCGTCGATTTTTCTTCCAGCTTTTTCCACGTTGTCGCTCGGTCGCGCGTTGATACAGTCGACTCTGATGACTGTCGACTAATAATAGACGGCACGGCCACGAGCGAGCGAGCAAAACGAACCAACGAATATACAGCCACACAATACCAGCTCACATACGTATTAATGCGTGCTGTACCGCGCTAACAGTGGACTGAAATATCCGACGAGAGTCATCCTAGGCTTCGTGTCGACAAAACACACTTTTAGGGTGGATCCGAAAATTGTTGAACGCGGATACGTTCACGGTTCTCCCCGGTGATACCACGGATTCTTACCGAGTGTTCTTCCATCTTTTTGAAATAGAAAGCGGTGGAAATCGTTCTGAAGAATATGAGTGCAGATTAATGAAAACAAAGATCGGTTGTCTGGGAATTTATTTGGATTTCCCATTTATTGAACTTTATAATTTTATGTGCATATTGGAAAAAGTTCAAACTTACTGTGTTTAATGTTGCTTAGTTCGTCGAATACAATAAAATATCAGTTATCTAGACATCATCTATCTAGATTTTAGATTCGTTAGACTTTTACATTATATATTAATTTTTATTGAAGTCTGCTGTGTTTAATATCTCATTTACGTTTTCGTTTATGTAAATGTTTTATCCACATGAAAAATTTAGTTGTTTGTTGTTTTGAGAGAATGTTGAAGATGTGACATCTTCCTCTAATATACATTCTTCTTTTCAATTTAATCAATATTTCCAATCTTTTAATAGCAACGCATTGCTTTTTGTCTTTTTTATTCTTTTCTGATGCTTACAATATACGATAAAATCGATATTACAATAAACAAATTTTGTAACCGAGAATTAATCCAAATTGAATTAATTTCAAGTAAAAGTGGAATTGAAAACGTGACACATTTTGGCATCGGTTCTATTTCCGTTTGCATCTGAAATATCTATGACTAACAGCAGTTAGTCCTGCAAATGTATTCACCATTCTTAGATAAACAACGAATACACTGGCTGTCCTTCGTTTCATATTGTCCACGAATCTTCAGTCTTGGTCCTATTCTCATTAATTAACTTACCTTTGTCGCTTCTTCTTTCGCGTGAGACAAGCGTGCAACGCGTACCATCTTCGACAGCAATTATTTGATTATAACGGTTGAAGAGAGCAACGAGCTTCTGCACCAATTACACTATACGTTTGAAAGAATGCTTTGTCATTATACACGTTCCGTTACACTCAATCTCTATGATACTGTCAAAAATTTCAAAAAAAGGAGAAAAATAATAAATATAAAATAATAAAACGATAAACACGAATTTTATAATAAAAATCTAACTTTAGTAATAAAAACCTAAAATTACGATCTACGTGAATCAATAAAATTAACTACGTGTGAAAATTTCAAAATTTTCAAAATCGACTATTCAAGATACGTTACACTTTCAACGGTGACATACGATTTACCACCGATCGTATATTCAATAAAAATGGATAAAATAAATCTAAGCGTTTTACTAACCTGTCTTGTAACACATCGCAATGCCAAATTTGCAAGAAATAACTTCGGAATATCGGAGAATTCGTTGAAAAGTTTCGAGATCGTTCGTTTTCGGTTAGAATTTCGTTTTACCGGCGCGAAGGACCGGAAGTGAGCCGCGACGCTGACGTCATTCTCGATGTTGGCACTCGATCAACCGATTCGAGACCGCGAACCTGTATTCAAATTATCGTGATGAATCATCGTTGTTTCTTTGCAATTGTATCATCACCCTGGGCACGATTTTTATATTTATTTATGACGTAATTAAAACAACCAATCCAAGTTTCGAATTTTATGTGCTACAGTTATAATACAATGTACGTGTAACGAAACAATGATAGGTTATAACAGATAAGATAGGTTATAACAGACGATAAATACAAAATGCAAAAGAAAGGACGGTATCAAATATTTTAGTGTTGATATAGTATATGTTCTAAACTTGTATATAATATGTATAAAAGCATTATTTTTCATTCGTCAAAAAATACTCTTTTTTTTCTTCTCAGTCGAGCTTCTGCGCAATAAGCTGATTTCAACTTCTTTTCATTTGTGCCGTAATTCAAGTCAGTTTTTAATGTACAAAGAAAATACAAACCTCCAGGTAGTAGATGTTAACTCGGAGAGACGCTTCATATAACACACTAAATGAAAACTTTTTTTTTATTTAACACTTTGTACACTAGATTCATGTATATATTTATAGGTATATGTTTTCACAGTTTGACTTTGTTCAATTTGGAATCTAAAAATCGTGTTTTACTTTCATTTAAGGTCGTGAATTACTTCGAGTTACCAATTACGGATTTAATAATTACGTTTTAATGATACCCTGAACGTTTCATCGAAATCACTGAGACGCGACTTTTTTTTATTGATCGATTCTCGAGATCAACATCGATGTGAATACGTTCGATGGCTGGAATTACGGTGTACGTACACCATCGATCTTCAACGCGCGTTTATTTGTCGCGTATTCACACCTTTCGAATCGTCATGGTTCGCCAAGAACAGGACAAGCGTTTCGAGGCAATACCATTTACGCGTGCACATGTTACGACGATTGAGCTGGATCATCTGCGATCCATGAGGCCGTCCGTGAATCTTCAACCACGCAGTCACACCCACGCAAATGACGCTAGTTCTCCATTCTCGTTGCATACTACCTATATGCAATACGCATAAGTATGACACACGTCGTGCGTAGTCTAAAGGTCTCGGACAAAATCAACTGATCGCAGTTAATACTTCTTATTAGCAAATTAATAATCACTATCTTCTTATGGGATCAGAAGGTTATAAATTAAAATCATGAATTAAAGACAGTAGTAATACGTATTCATTAAAATATAAGTTGAAAGATTGTTAATCTGACTTATAATTTAAAAATTGAAGTATGTAAGATATGAAACTTTGAGGAATTTAAAAGAGTCATAAACACAATAGAATAGCCGTACGTTTGCATGTTGGTTTCAAAAAAATTGATTTAATTTGCATCATAACTTCTTATGTGCTAGCAATAATTATAATAAAATTAATTATTACATAATTATGAAACATTTAAAATTTCCAAATATTAAAATCCTATTTTCTATCAAGAATAGAAATAGATAAATGTACATGACAGAAGTATGTCACAAATCATTATATTTATTTGTAAATATAATCTAGAGGATTACAAACCATGGTAGCAATAAGTCAATTGAAGAATCTATATTTCTTTTAATTGGAAGCATTAAACCATTTATCACTTTATCTGGCCAATGGCTAGTGTTTCGTTTACACATCATTTGATATCCCCCTTTTTTTCTTTATTCTTATTCCTTTTTAAGCGCTTAACTAATATTATCTTGTGCCTCGTAGGTAACCATAACACGCTTATTACACGTTATTACTATTATTGTTACATTGAAAACAATATTATGAAAATAAATCTTAAATTTTTGCTAAATTCGTTTTCGTAATCGTTTACAGTGGCTACGAAAAAACGTAATGTACAAGATTTAAATAGAGCACTACTGTGCTGCAGTAAACCGTACCATTTAAGATATAAAAATTAATTACGGTATTCAGGCCGCTTAGATTTTCAATCAAATTAATGAGTATCGAGCACCAAAATCGGCTGTTGCAAAGCACATTTTATAGAATCTACCTACAAAGTTTCTTATTTTATATGAATAATGAAATGTATTATCATTTTGTTTAATTTTCTTTTTTTTGTAAAATTCCTTAATATATTCCAAAATGATCTTGATCTTATAATGTTCTTTGTTATCAAAAAACGCATAAAAAATTATAGTACGTTATATAGATATGACAATACGTCGACAATTACTGACGTCATTGTGGTTTTTTATATGTATCAATTAAATCCCTCACGACAGAACGATGTAACAAAACATCAACATCGTTTACATATATTCTGATATTTTATGGTACAGAAAAATCTATAAGTATTAAAGATGATGATCAGCGTTCGAGCAACTCTGTAGACAGATTCTCGTTTCAACATCGAAAATACATTGAATACAGAAAAAGTGGCTTATAAATTATTCTCTTCGAATACGCTTTCTTTGTAATACAATTGCGAATAATATAATCATATATATATATATACCGTGTATATCTATATATATTTATATATATAATATATTTATATGCGTTTGTTTTTGTGTATGCATAGTCGAAATGTAATATCGAATTCACAATGGGAATTTTCTGACATTTCGACCATGTGTGTATATTTCCTGTAGTAAATATAGATAAAATTGTAATGCCAGCTAGTATGGCCTGTGAACACTTGGGTAGTTTGAATTTCTCGGTGAACGGCCAACAAGTCACCCTAAACACTTATTCTTTACACTATTTTTTTTTTAAATCCTTACTATCATGTATCGTGTATACATAAAAACCAATATATTAACTTTCGATAATATATAAATATTCATGTAACAAATAGATACTTAAATAAATTGCCATACAATGTCAGACTAAACAGCATACATGAGCATTAAATACGAAAAATATGTTTTTGGTAGTAGCGGAAAGTTAACATTTCGCAGTAACATTGTTACCATGGTAACTTGCTTTTATGTTATTTGTTTTCATTAATACATAAAATTACAACAAAAATTTTCTTTCCCCTTTGTTTCCTCTAAGGCATTCAAATATCTAAATTAACAAGAACTTCTACAAATAATATTTATATGTTTAAAGTTTGAATACAAATTGCACTGTTTTCAACTCACATTTCTTTAGGAACTTTTAATTGTAAAAATACAATTCCGTTGCAGTGTTATGTAAACATTCTTTTCTATCACTACTGTGCAAATACGTTATTGTTTACATTATTGCCATGGAAACGTTATTACTGCTGAAAATATTTATGTAAATGAACAATCGGATATGGAATTTTGAGCGGCGGAGCGGTTGTGGCAGCTGTGAATCATGAGTCTTCGTTATTTAAGTCTATCTGTCTTTTATCTGTTCTTTCTTCTATATATATTTTTTTTCTTGAATTAATTACATTTAAGTATGCGTACACGTGCCATGTACGAACTTTTAAATTTACAAGTATTACAGGATGGTTGAACCTCAAACTTGTGTATTAACAGTATAATTTATGAACTTCTAAAAGTGCTGGAATTTTTTCAGTCTGTCGCACTCACATAAATGACGTTTGTATGTATCTCTTTCTCTTTCTTTCTATACATGTATTCTATATATATATCTATATATGAATATCCAACCAACCTGCTGATTGTATGTACAAAAAACACAATAAGTGATTACGTATTAACGGATTAATGAAACGTATGCAGTATTTTGACTATAATGTATGCGAAAAATGCATTTTGTTATAATATTCAGTATACAGTTAGCAACGACAAAATAAGTAAATAAAACTTTTTTTAATCATTTTAGGTTTCGAAACTTAAAATAATTAAGAAAAGTTTATATATATATTTTATTACATGCTACCAAATAACTGCTACATCGCTGCTATTAAAGCACAATCTTAATTAGTACCTTTATTATAATTAGATTTGATTAAAAAAAAAAAAATTAGCTAAATTTAACTGCTGAATATCCAATGAAACACTGGATATTAGACCTATCCTTTTGCTACTCCATCTATATTTTATAAAATCCCTCCCTGAGACACAAGGATCGGTCATGGATACTCAACAGTTAGGCCGAAATGCTAAGCATTTTTCACTATAAAAAAAGTGGCAGTTAGCCTATTTCAATCATTTCTGTATCTTCCATGTTGCTATGTCCAACTCCATTATGTCTGCAAATTGTCACAATCACGGTTATCGAATCGTAATACATGAACAAATATTTTTAATTGAATACATTACAACATACTTGTATACTATCGTATGATAATAATGCAAATGCTTACCTATGACTTTGTACATGATTATTGTGTATATGAAAATGTGTTCCTCGAGGGGAAAAACCACGCATATTGCCTCTACGTGGACTTTTAGCATTTATTACTCGTGGTTGTGAATACATATCCTCTAGTATACTAGGTGCCACATAAGTGAAACCCTGAAAATAATAAAAATTCATTGCTTAATGATAAAATATACGCAAGAAATAAATAATATGAAAAATATTTCAAAAACCGCACTTGAAATACTCTATTTGCAGATTCACTTAATGTATATTCCGCGGGAGAATCAATTGGTGCAGAAGTTGTAAATTTTTTATCAAACTGTGACACATCATCCTCACTTGCCAATGTTGGTCGAAAAGGCGGTACTAATTTTCGAGAAATTACATCATTCCAATTGATATGCATAAAAAAAGGGTGATTTTTTATTTGTTCTGCATCAGATGGACCAGATCCTAATCTTTGTGGTACTTGTCTCTATAAATAGAGAATTATATTGTTTCATTACATAATTTACAACAACAATTTTTAGAATTCAAAAAATTAACCTTCAACAACTTTCGAATGAGATCTCTAGAATCAGAAGTTAGATACTGTGGAAGATTTAGTTTACCACGTAAAATTTTTTCAATCGTTTTCTTCCTATTATCAGATGTAAATGGAGGCTAAAAATTAAACATAAAAATGTAAATATGAAAAACTTTACTACACTGATTTATTTCAATATCTCTAATGACACTTACTGAACCTGTAAGCATATCGTACATTAAAGTTCCAAGACTCCACCAGTCTACTGCTTTACCATGTCCACTTCTTGTTAGAATTTCTGGAGCCCTTTTATTAAAACACAAATATCAATATTAGTATCACATGATTGCAAAATTCCATTTGTATTAATAGTTGTAAAAAGTTTCTTACATATACTCTATAGTGCCACAGAATGTGTGTGTAACAGTACCATCTTGTATATGTTCTTTACATAAACCAAAATCAGTCAGTTTTATATGTCCCTCTGCATCTAACAAGATATTTTCTGGTTTTAAATCTCTGAAAATTGGTCAACATAACAATTAATTCATGAAGATAATATATTAAATAATATACTTAACAATTATTTATTATTATAAAGATTAAAATACCTATAAATAATTCCTTGCAAATGAAGGTGTTGAAGGGCCAATATTATTTCTGATAGATAGAAGCTATAAAGATGAAATTTGTATATAGTTTTTCTTCAAAAGTAAATTACAGTTAAAGTGTAATTAGAGGGATGTTGCTGTTTCACATACCAAGCAGTTTCTTCAAGAAAAATGCCTTCATCATTCAAGTGTCTAAATAATTCACCACCACACATATATTCCAAAATTAGATACAATTTGCCACCAGTTTGGAAAGCGTACATAAGGTCTACGATGAAAGGATGCTGCCAGATACAAGCATAAACATATTTTAATGTTTTTTTTCTATGCTATGCTTTATTAAAAATACAACTACTACTTATCCATGAAAATAACTATGTAATAAATATTGATTAAATGCTATTTTTATTTCACATTATTATGTGAAATAACCTAATAAAAAGCATCAGACAGCAATTTACAAAAATCATCTAAATTTTTTTATCAAATGTATCATACGTATTAAATGTATCTTGACATACCTTTACAGCTTCTAAAATGTTTCTCTCAGCTTTAGTATGTGCAGTATCTTTTTGGTTCCTTATAATTGAAGCTTTACGTAAGACCTATTTTTTAAATAAATGGAGCAAAAATAAAATTAATCTTGGTAATATGTGTGTGTGTGTGTGTGTGTATATATATATAATATTAAACAAAAAAATCAATATATGTGAACTATAGGTATTTTCAACTTGGAGAAAACAAATAATTATAAGTTGTTACTTTATATTTAAATGCATAATTATTACAATTGTTATTATTATGCAATAATTAATAATTATTATTATGCAATATTACAAACTGCAATTATTTATATTAAGTATAAACATTTTTAATAAGCTTACACATTTCTCTTTTTTAAATAAAATTCATAAAAATTCAAAAATATTTATCCGTACATTAAATAATCTTAAATAAACACATGTATAAAAGAAGTGTACAGGTAAAAATTTCACGGAAAACAAAAGAAAACAAAAGAATTATATAATTGGAAATAAAACGGTGGACAAAAATTTTTGTTCATGTCTAATGAAATCAATATGTTAATGAAAATATTTATTTCGTACATATCGCAAGACATTGATACAGTATCTAGCATATAAACAGGAAAGAAACAAATCCAAATTTTCCTACCTTCATCGCGAAGATCGTTCCGCTGTCATTACCCGTTATTTTACGCACTTGAAAGACCTTGCCATAACCACCCTTTCCGATAACTTTGCAAAGTTTGAAATCCTGCGGGCCAGCTCTTTCCCGTCCGCGATTCACATTCTGTTCCGATATAGCCACCGTTTCGACACCTTCCGATCTAACAGGGAATATGAAAAAGAAAAAAAGGAATTGTCACGAGGCACATTTCAGGCGCAGGTACATAATATGCACATACAATCAAACGTAAAGGTCAAGCTTACTTACTCAGTTATCTCATTCACGTTTGGATTGGCATCGTACTCTTCCTATGTGAAAACAAAAACGTATATAAAATAACAGCGTTACGAAACGTGAAATGAAAATAACGATAAGAAAATCTGAAGTGCTCGTGTACAGATGGGGAATTACCTCGCCAATCTCGATCACATCATCATCGGACTCGTCCCCGCTTACTATGTCCGCATCGTGCAACTCGATATCAAATACTGCGGCCATTCTACGAGCGACTAACTCAAATCCAGCGAGGTTTCACGACACTTGTAAAGGTGAATTACTTCTTTTGCAACAGGCCACGACAGTACAACAATATTGTTAGTACGATCCAAACCTTGAATTACCACGAACAAGCTGCCCTGTCCAAGAGCATACCAAGCACCCTCGCCTTACGTATACTCCGATTGGCTGAAAAAATCGTCATCGTTATATTATGAGAGTGGGAGGGTTACGGTTTGACCAATCAGGCTATCATGTTCAAATTTTGCTGGGAATTGACAACTATGGAATTCTACGCGCTATTGCCAAGTCATTTTCTACCGCGGTTCATTTAAATATCGTTATGCTATTAATCATAAAAGTTAACGATGTACACAAATTGTCGATGTTAGGTATTATCAGTATGATAAATACACATTTATATAAGATTCAAACGTTTATTGCATGAATATGTGTAGAATGCAGCTACTTAGAAATTTATTCCTAAGAAATCTTTCGTGAATATATATATGTATATATATATATATATATATATTTGTATTATATGAAATACAAATAATATCTTATATTTTGAAATTTTATTAACAGTATAATATGACACTCGACTATGTGAATTTATTACAGCGTTTCATATTTTATATATCTACAATATGGTATATTCGAATACTTTCATAATGCATATGTATGTACATACATATATACGATACATAGGATACTCACATTGTTATTTATTGGAAAGATATTTGTTGAATTAATATCTTATAAATAAAAAATATTTGTAAATCATTTTTTAATTGAATAATATTCAGATCTAAGGTTAATTGTATATTGATCAGTATATTAAACGTTCTTTCTTATCTTTATTCATCAAAGAGAATCGCCTCTTATCAATTGGATTAATATCAACTGAAAATATCTCAGGTACAGATTGTCATTTCATAGTTAATAAGAAACCGTTGCACCATAATATATCATAAAATAAAAAATACATTTATTAAATTTTAATATCGTTGCGTTTATAAGAAAAAAAAATCACAGAAGATGGTTTCGCGTCATCACATAGAAGGATACGAGAATTTTTTCAAATTTATGAAAAATTTCAAACCTAACGAATCAGTTTACGTGCTTTACAGTGGTAAAAAGCTTCCTAATGGCAAAAGTTGGTGTCCAGACTGCGTTGAAGGTAAAATTATTCGATCGTAGTCATTTATTTCATACATAACCTCAAAATTGTACTATTTCTTTTTCATAAAAGTCATTTAGAATGAATTATATACATATTTTAACATAATTTTAATTTTAACTATATAATAAATTAAAATAGTTTTTTCGAAATAGTTTGTAAAAATATTTTTTTTATCAATAAATTAATCATCTTGAGTATAGAAAAACTTCTGTTTTTCTTGCAGCGGAACCTTTCATAGAAGAAGGATTTAAAACAGCTTCAGAATCAGTACACTTAGTTGAAGTTGAAGTTGGAGATCGGCCATTGTAAGTATTTTAATAGAAAAACATTTATTTGTATGTTATGTTAGTGTGTATCCTTTGTCAAAAAATTTAATTTTTGAAATCTTTGTCTTTTAGTTGGAAGGACTTAAATTGTCCATTTCGGACAAATTCTACAACAAAATTAAGAGTTCTTCCAACTTTAGCAAAATGGAATACACAAAAACGTTTGGAAGGTGATCAATGTCAAAAGATTGACTTAATTGAAATGTTACTTACTGATGAAGATGATTAAGTAATTTAATTTGATATGCTGTATCAACATTTCTGTTAGTAAACAATAAATTTTGTAAATTGTTTTTGTATTCAAAATTTTATACTTCACTTTGTTTTTTATAAGTCTGGACATAAAATTACTTTATAATTTTATTGGTATATGTTATAGTCAAATTTTCTTATAGCAATTCCTATCTTTTCTTTTTTATACAAATCACTTCAATAGATATATAATTTTCATAAATATATATATGTTACAAATATCTATAATAATACTATTACAATACAAGAACTACATTTTATAATATAAAACTATTTTAGATATAAACTGAATTTTTACTTATAAACTGAATAAGTTATTGTAAAATTTATAAAAATTGTATGAAATAATTTCTCTTTTTTATACAGTTATACATATTAATAATATAATATACATATAATATAATAATTATACATATAATTAAAAAAGGAGAAAATTAAGTAAAAGCATCAATTTCTTGAAATGCTCTGTACAGAATGTACTGTTTCTATAATATATTAGTCATATATTATTCAATGTTTGAGAAGTGACAACGATGCAGAAGGTAGTTAAGTAGCAACGTAAATTAAAGAAGATTATATGCAGACGAACTCTGTGCCCTTCCTAATCCCATAATTAAGGAAGTAGATCCTTTGTAGCCAAGATGTACTGTTGAACAAAGGTCAGTCCCATAAAGTAATATTTACAATTACGGTACTGCTCAGGTATGCGTTCCTCACATTGTGTTTATACGTTTATTGGCCCTGGCTGTGGGCCAAGGCTAGAGGAACGAATTCCCTACACAACGTATATTAATTATGAAGTTGCTGACGTCAATTCTTGCGATTCTGATGGCGGTATAATTCTCACAGAATAATGGATTTTTTTATTTCTCATTATGCTATAACTGTTATCAAAGACAACAGAATCTACAAATAAAATGGCTGATAAGATATCTGATATTTTCGCGATACGATTGTTTACGCGATATCTACTCACATGTAGAAGGTACTTCACAAGTCAAAATTCCAATCTCGTCTAATTGATGAGCAGCCACTCGTCGTATGGGTATTACTTCCTTCTGTATTCCATTATTGTCTTTCTTTACGATACCAAATTTAATGTCATGATTCTCCGTTCGAAATTCCCAACTACAATCAACAAATATAAAATTATCACATTGTAATTGGTTTATAAATTTCTTCATACCTCAGTAGAGATCCTAACTCATGTGCTGGCATATCAAGCTCCAATTTCCCACCTTTCTTAATTGTAACTGTCGTGAAGGTCTCTTTATCTTTTTCTGTATTTGTTACATACATTTCTTTAGGAACTTTGCCACCAAGACAGATCTGAATATACAGAAAAATTTTTATCAAAAATTTTATTATATATTGGTTTATACCAGGGGTCGGCAAATCCGCTCGAAGGCCAAATCCAGCTTTCGGGTTAATATTGTTACTCAAGGATTAGCAGGCGATGAATAAGTCAATGTAAATACCTTCGAGTTTGCTACCTGGCCCGCTGAGCCAAAAATTTTTACGACCCTTTCCAAGAAAAATTTGCCGACCACTAAAGTATACTATAATTATTAAATAGAAGATTGTTCAAATTCTGGAGACAAAGTAAATTTTATTTTCTTAGTTTCCTCGTTTTTTTTTTTTTACCTTTGTACCAAATTTTTGGTTACCATCAGGGTCTTTAAGGGTACCTCCAAAAAAAGCAGGCACTTGGTCTCTATCAATATTACTAAATATCGCTGCCTGCCATTTCGCAGGATCTGCTTTGTATATTTGAATTTTTGACAAAGTATACTCATTCATAAATTTCTTTGCTACCGAAAATGCAAAAGCAAATACTTTTGGAGCTATAAAAGAATACGATTATATAAAATACATCAATCATTTTATCATATAATTACTAATTATTATAAAAAGTATACCATTAATTATGTAACAGTTCTTTAAAATCTCTGGGTAATTAGCTTCGTACATTTGGATTAAAGTAATAACGACTTCTCCAGCTGAAAAATAGAATCATGAATTAGCATTTACTAATAATTACTCATGATTAAAAGTTAAAAAATTTTGTGCAATTATATTTAAAAAATTTAGATGATACGAAAATACCTTCATTTCAGTAAACTTTACATCATTAATAAATCATTTCTAACAAATTCATTGAATAGAAAATTCAACTTATATAAGTACCTGATTGGTTAATACTTTATTTCGAACTGCTCTTTTTACCTAAAGACTCGAATGAAATTTTTAAGAAGTTATGCAATCACGGTCGATTACAAAATCGATGTAAATTTTACCTGGTCTCCAGAGATACTGTCGCAAGTTGAAACCTTGCATGTCGAAAATTACGACAACCTGACCAGCCGCCGGACCATGTTTTAACATTTGTTCTCGACAAAGATTTAAATATTCTTCAAGACGTTTTATGGTCACCCTTATCATTTCCCTTCTCGAGACCACATGCAAAATGCCATAAATGTCCAATGCATCGAAATACACAACGACAACTGCAAACATTAATTTCTATTAAATTTTATTTTTAATTATTGTTATGATTAGAGACTTTTTATTGCGTTTAGATATTTTATAAAGCTTAACTTCAATGTTTTAAAATTTCTAATTTTATCCTGTAATTTATACTAGAAATACCATAGTTATGACACATGAATCGCTTTTAAAAATCAAAGAAAAAAATTAACCTGGAGCACCATCCTTGTCGAAACCACATAGGCCGTGAGGTAGGTAATCGTTCAAAATTTGAGGAGGATCCCATTCGCTTAATTTATCAACTTCCCATTGTTTTCGCCACTCCATGGACTAAAAATTCATCATTAAGTTAGAAATAGATTTTCTGGATGTAACAAATAATAAATGAGATACGAAAAGTAGATAAAAAAATATATTCCTACTTTCTAAATTTAAAATCCTAAAAACACTCAAATTGAATTATAAACAAATAGTAGTAAAACATTATCTTATATTTGATATAAATGTCAACAAAATCTTATATAAATGTTTATATTTCTTATCAGTACACGATACTATAATCTAATACAAATATTATCACAAATTACATTACGACAGACATGTAAATCTAAATGTAAATTCACAGATTAGATAAATAAATATAATTTAAATAAATTTAATATTTAAAATTATTATTTTCAATATTTATCTTGAAAATATAATGACAAGAAACTACAACGACAATTATCAAAATAATATATATATATATATATATATATATATATACATCCTCTAAAATTCAAAGAAAATTCCTGTTTTTAAAAAAGCCTCTAATAACTGAGAATTACTTATAATAATTAAAATACGGAATTGGGAAATTTAATTTCTAGTTTATCCTAAGGCGAGAAAGGAAACATAGTTGCAACCAACATATTGCAATATCCGTTCGCAAAAAAGAAAGTACACACGTAATTTAAATTTCTAAAATATTTCGTCTTTTTGAACGTTATTAATTATTGTAAAAATTGATAATGACACGATACAGATAGCAATACAGCATCAAATCACATATCAAATTCTTCATTTTACTTGCCACCATTTAGTATTAATAAAATTAAACTTTAATTTGCTTATTTCATCAATTTACTGATATTAGCTTTGTAACTTTCATTTAATTCAATTTAATAAATAACTATAAGAAAAATCTATGGAAAAGTAGGTTCAAGCATGAAATATTAAATCTGTTTGCATTACAAACAGTTATTCTGCTCTCTCTTTGCCCATCAGCTTAAAGAATGAGTTGTTCAAAGTTACTGATTTTTCTCGGTTCCGTGAACAAGTATTCTTTTCACATACGCAAGTACACGAATCATCTTTCTTTTCTAAATACGATATAAATTCAGTTTGATGAGAAAAAGTTAGCTCATGCTACTTCCAAACACAAACGAACGCGTTATAAAGATTATTTTAATGTGAAATTACCTAGTCTCTGTTCTTATATATTTCATAATATTAATATTTTGAAACAAAATTCTTTCCATATAAAATAATCCTACAACAATATATAAAGCACAAAAATTCCACAATAACATAAAAGATAAATCAATGTGAATAAATTTCCACTCTTCTTTAACAATAAATATAGCTTGTACGCGTAGCTCATTCGTTAATTAAACTAATTAGAATAATTAATTAGTGGCGAATGCAGCGAGAAGAATTCGGAAAGGTATATACCGTGTTATGAAGTACCTGAAGCGATGAAAAATGCATTTTTTTCTTTTTTCTTTCGTTGGCCACTAGACCATAGAAAGAGTGTTCGTATTCCTAGTTCATGTTTTGTAGATCGTTCGTGCGTCAGCAAAAATTCAAAGGATCGTGGAACACGTCTCTTCAAACTTTCACGGTTAAATTCATGACTGTCGGTGCTGTAGACTATAGACCATCGTACGCGAAAAGTGGATGATTGATCAACATAATAGTCGACGCTAGGAAGTACTTGCAACTTATTGCAATTATGCCCAAAGGCGCAGATTTCTCGATAACACTATATCGAGGAAAGCGTTATAAATTTGAAAGTAATCTTAATATGAAAAAGCGTATATACACCTGAAGGTTTATACCTTTCTCCGTTCACTTTTGTTAATTTGCCCTTGTACGACTCTCGAATCGATACTCTCAACTGATTTATATGTAACAAATTATTTTCAATAATAATTTGCGTGTATTCTTCCATTCTTGCAATTAATAACAAGCATTTTGTCTCATTTGGATCATTAAAGTAATTTGTAATTTGAATGTAAACCTTTATAATCAAAAACAACGTATCTACTTCGATTTATTTCTATTAATATTCCAATCGCCAAATCCATCAAAATGACACAAGTTTTTATATTTCTTTTTATAATTTAAAATAAGAATTAATAAATTCGTTAGAATGTAACATCTAGTGTCAATCATTGTTCGAATGATCGTTCAATCGTTCGATGGTTTTCCACTGCACCTTCCAAAGTAAATGGCAACTTGCTCTTATATCGTAAGATAATCAAAATGAACTTGGTCGTGAACATGTTCTCTTCTTCTAAATTTGTTTCATGTCGAAGTTTTTATAATCTTTTCTTAATCGGTCAAAAATCTATACAAATATTTATTCTAATATAAATCAATTCGACTAACAATATGTGTTACATTTCGTTAAAAGAAGAGAAGACAACAATAAGTCTAAAAGAAAATAGAGGAAAATAAGAATTTTGAAATAAGACGCTACAAATTTGGTCAGTTGATTAAGTATAGTTGGTGATTAAAGTTAGTTACGTGATTAATTATGTTACACCGTTCATTTCGTACGTAAATTGTATATTGAAATAGGATGCGCATGAAATATGTGAAAGTACAGCGTAAGTTTGAACGAAGCGTAAGTTTGTCCCCCTTTCAAAAGGATTTTTTCCAAAGCGAAGGAGTTTTCTACGAAACTGAATAATTTTTATTCTAAAAAAAAAAGATGGGGAAAGAAGAAGAGAACAAATGAATGAATGAATCAGTAATTATGGGGAAAAACATACTTACTTCACGCAACATCTTCTCCGCAGCGTTTGGGTCCCATTTTCTTGCTGAAAATCATATATATTAATTTTTATTTTAGAATCAAGGAATTTTACGTAGTTATAATTTGAAAATTTCTAAGTTTAGGATTTTGTTTAAATTGCAAATTTAAAGTCAAATATTTATGCTCTACGGCATTCTTTTATTGAGTGTTTGAAGCTCAAAGTCTACGTGATATTATCAGAATTATCAAAGTCTATATGATATTGACGATACTTTGACAAAATATTTAAACAAAACACTGTTTACTCTTCATTTAAAATTTGTAGTTAATTGCATTCAATGTTCTCAAGAAAATTCATTACTTTCGAGTGTCATCACGACAAATTTATCTTCATCAAGATGACGTTCCTTCCAATGTATACAATGAGAATTAAAGAAATTTATACTTTACGTAACAATTGTCTATTGATACATGTTCCATTCGTGTCATTATTCGTTGTCATTATACTACCATTCAAATTGTTAATTTCTCATCACGTGTATCTTATTTCAGGATATAATAAACATCATATATTGGAAAAGATCATTCATCACATGATCTTTTTCCAATTAATTCAAATAGATATTTTCGTGACTCACTGTACATAGGAATTATCAAAAAAAAAAATTTGTTTAGTATAATTGAAGGAAGTCATCTACGATATTTATTCCTGTCAGATTTAAACCAACCAGTCAGATTGAACATTCAATGTGTCTATGTAATAATAGATATATCATATGTGGTCAGTAATCGTCAGGAAACCAATAATCTTCGATTACAATGAAATAAATAGACATAAATGTCCAAGTCCATAGTTGGTTGCGAGTACACGGCTGATAAATTTTCTTGGAGAGTATTGATACACGTGCTTGACGCATACGATGTTGAGAAACCGTGCGAACAGTTACAACAAATTACGAGAATTCATACCTCGAAGCCAACGTAGTAGAAAGTTATCGTCGTGATGCGGTTGCTTCAGAATGTCTTGAACTGCCCGCCTAAACTGAAATCAGAAATTCGTATAAGTAAGTTGTGCAATTGAATTTAGAATTCAGGTTTCACGCAGAATGGTAAAAAGAAAAATAAATCTAAGATTATAAAAATTTATAGTACGAAAACAACGTAATATGTATTATTGAAAAATATAAACGAAATGAATTTTTAGTGTATCTTACCAGTAGATATTTTCATAGTGTTATAAATATTTCAATTTCTTCAAATTTAATAATAGAATTATTAAATCTAGGCTATAATTAACATATGAAAATAAAAACAATTCTGCAAGATAGTTTCTGTTCATAAAAATAATTTTCAGTGAAAAAATATTTTACTTTATTGCATGAGTATAATATTTCTGAAACTTGTGAAAGACTATTTTTACTGAAAGACGTAAAATTTTTATATGGCCAAATTTTAGAGAAATATAATAGTGATTTTAAATCTTTTTGACGAAAATAGAATGATAGAAAATGTTAGGAAACTGAAATCTTGAAACGAAAAACTTTAAAAGCAATTTCAAGTATTTAGATATAAGACATAGTACAAAGAATAAAATATGTGCTATATTATTAATAGTGTATCTATTTCCTATGTTTATATTCTGCATCTATCATACTGCATCTACTTTTTGAGAATTACATTGAAAATTTGCTGGTCTGCCTCTCATCCATGATTTGTAGTAAAAGCAAATCGTTTTTCTGAAAAGTGTGCAGTCAATTTTGCAAAAGTTAGGTCAGTGCAAAAATCTTCGATTATTTTGTTCCACACAAAGACATCTGTATTTACTTTCACGCAGATTTTTCAACGGGTCAACTCAATCCGGTTGCCCATAATCGAAATGCCGGTCAGCGATACATGTCGTGTATCAAATCTGTGACTGAACTCTGTAAAATCTATTTTTTATGTTGAATTTACCTCAAAAAATTCATATTAATATTAAAAATACTGAAAATAATATTGAAATATACTAAATATTAAAATATTCTAAAAATTTTAAATAAAAATAAAAAGATCTTATCACAGTGAATACTTGATTAAAAATGCAAGTTTCATTCTACATTATATCATTTCAAACTTCATTTTCCACCTTTGATTTTGTTTTCAAAGATTGAAAATATTAAATTTTATAAAAGTTTTATTCCAATATTTATTATGATAAAAATTCATGTTCTATTGCATATCTTTTTTCTTGTATCATTTTAATCTGAAAATGGATCAATGTAGCAATATTACGGTAAGTCTGATTGTGACTAATAATTAGAAAAAAGTACAAAATATATAGGCAAATATAAATGAGGAAATCACGCAACATTATACGTATTACATACATTACATGCATCAGTTTAGTTCTTTTTTCTGAAAAATCTTTCTACACGAAGGACATGGCAAACTTCTGTATATTCTCAAGTACAGCACGTAGTTCATAGACTTCACTACCACAATTGCAAAAGATCTCTGTTTGTCGGTCACGATTCGCGAGATTGTTTCTTTTCTGTGTCAATGTAAATCAGTGTCATCTGACATTGTAAATTATAAAGAATATATAAAACTTTTAAAGCTCTAGCTATGATGCTTAAAAAATGAAACAAATTTTTATTTGGTTTTCATTCTTAGTAATATTCATAAAAATGTACACTCTACTAATAACAAAAACCTATTATTATTATTGCAAGAAATTGAAAAAGATAATGAAAAATTTAATGTAAAATTTCTTACATAAAATAGAATATAAAATCTATTACGTAACTTGACCAATTGACAAAAAAAGAATTGGAAAGAATTTAAAATCCACTAGTGCATTAATACAAGCATTCTTTTTCTTATATCCTACTCTATCTTCTGCAAACTTCCTTATTTAAAATATAATACAGAATTTATAGGAACTATCGCATAATCCAACTTACTAACATCAAGCTTAATACGCTACTTGCGTCCTTTATGTAATCCAATTCGAGAACCTCCAATGGAACAGACGCGACTCACACACATACAATCATGTATAAGTAAACTAATGGATAGACTAAAAGATAGTGTACGAATATGTGCTCCTAATCTTCAACAGCGTCACGTTGCAAGACGTGTCACGGCAGGGTAAAGAAAGTGCCGTTTTAATACAGGGGGGGGGGGGACTGCTCACTCTCGATCATCCTGTCGTTTGTGTAAAAAAAACCATCGTACACACAAGTAACAGGTATAGAAGAACTGTGTTTCACAAGGAGAGAACCTGGAGTTATTTGTACTACGAATAGATTTAGCGACTCTCAAAAAAGAAATCGGTGAGTGAAGAAGTGTATACATGCCCTGCGATAAAGTAGTTTTCATCAGGTGAAATCCATTGGATAATGACACGTTTTTTGAGCGACGAAAGTGATGATAAAAAGCGTGCTCATTGCCGGCGGCGTAGAATGAAAGTTTCGAAGGGATAGGAAATAGATGTGCATCGTCCATTATGATAATCACTGATTGAATACTACAGGTGTGAATGGTAACAAGAGTTATTACATTTGAATGACTGGAAAAAAAAAGAAAAAAAAATTATGTTGTATGTCCACAAAGTGGAATAATCAGAATATAAGAATAAATTTGGAAAAAATTTATAGAATCTACTAATGCAACTAGTGTAAGCATATTGCACAATGATTCATGAAAGTATTTTAAAACTTTTATAATATTAATGTATTAGTTATATAGGTATAAAATATTTTGAAACTTCATCAGCATCAAGTCAATAGCAATAAGTCTCAATTATTGTATTTACAAAAATTCTTATATTTTTTATAGAATATAAGAATTTTGGAGAAAGTAAACATTAAAGAATTCATTTATCTTCATATTTACACTAGTTGTATTACTACATATTATAAATCTTTGCAATACCACATTGTGCATCTTCAATTCCTCATTTCTTGATAAAAATGACGCGCGTGAAATCAAGTAGAAGTTTCTGCGTTTCTAATATGGTATATCAATAGAGAATATATCAATTCAACACTATCCTATAAACATTTCCTATGTATTTAGTAACGTCAGTTACTTAGTTTTATTTAAGAATTCGCACGTATAATGACTGGTCTTTTTCTTTTCATTTGTAAAAGGTTTCTGATGTAAGAAAATTTTATGACGTAAAACATATGATTTCCTACTAATCTGCATTGTTTATTCAAATTAATTATGCAACAGCACTCCCTATGATAATTTATTTACTTTATCTTTAAATTTGCATGTCGTATTATTTGTAAAATAAACATGATAATTGCTGATTTCTTTGATTTGAATTACGGAAAAGCTGTACCATATGATTTTTATCTTGGTTTCTGTTATATATATTAAAATAATCTTGCAGAAAATTCTTGTTATCATTGAATATAATAATTAAATAATTAACACTCTAATCATTTTAGTTTAAAAAGTCCTAGTTTCGTAGCTTTCTACTAGTGTATCCAGCGAAAAAAATATTCAGATGAAAATTGTTTGGAAGAAATGTTTAGAATGTTTGAATTTTTTACACTTATGGACACATTTTTAAAAATTCAGTTATATATTTTTATCATTATCTACATAGTATCAGATAAAAATCTACGAAAAGTCACAGTATGTTGTATGAAATAATACTTCTATTAAATGCGTATGTAATTCTATTTCTTGTGAATTATCGATAATACCGATTTGTTTCTTTTCTTAATTCAAGTAAAAGCGATAACTCTCTCCCTCTTTGTGATTCAAGATCAATTATTTTGTACTCAATAAACTACTTTCAAAAACAATTCACAATTTAGATACTTTCTCGCATTTTCATTCAGTACATCTAAGTTAATAGATTTCTACTAAATTAAAATATATAATATAGATAAAAAGAAATATGTTGCATATATTGAAACTAGCAAGCAAAAATCAAATAAAGCAGAATGTCGAATTCACTCAATCATACAATCCAAAACGTTAATAGAATATTCGTCAGACACGTTCATAATGTCTTTTTTTGGAGTGACCTCGACCCTGCGGTCGTACACGTTCTTTCGAATCAAAACGTTAACTTACTTTCATCAATGCGAATCGCTGGTTATCCTCCAATCCTACTACTTTCAACATCTTTGCGTTTCTTCTCTTTTAACGGCTTCTGAAGCTTTCGTTTCACCTGTTTCACGATACGCGTGCCCCTTACTATCGTTGATAGTCGTTTACCTCGTTTATTTCTGTCTCAATCGACGAAGTATATTTATCAGATTCGCCAGGTGTCACGCAACACTCTTCTATTGAGCTTTAATTCCTGTTAAAAACAGGCAATGGTTAGATGCGAAATTTGCAATGGTATTGATGTACAGTGACTTACAAAAATATGTGGATACTTACAGAAACGTTTTGTGAATACGTGTATTTAAAATTTCCTTAATATTGTAATGAAGTACAATTATAATGATAAAATTTGAAAACAAATGAAAATATATAGATATTGCAAACATATAATTTGGAGAGATTCCTAAATTACTTATCTGTCTATTTTTATATAACTCGCAATATTCAATGGGATCATCTTTAACACTAGAAGTACCAGAATAATAATAATTTTATAAATTTACAACGAAGCGTTTTTAGAGATTTGAATGATTTTTCGTAAAATACATAAATAAAAGTTTGTGTTTCTTACTGTATTATGAACATTCCTCTATCCTTTGCACTTCAATCTAATACAAGTTTTATATTTTGTCCTGTGATTTCTATATATGTTTATTTTCAGATTAATTTCAAATTAATTCTACTAGTCAAAACATAATCAGTCTTTCATTAGAATACTAATGGAAATTCAAAATGTTTGTAATTCACATAATATAAAATTATGATAATTGTTCAAATATTTTTGCGAGCCACTGTAAACAATGACGTCAATTTAACGTAATAGATATCTCGCATGTTACATGTAATTACAGGTAATTGGTTCATTACTATGTACACGGCAATAGGATCGTATTACATTTCAAGAAGAATAAATCTCAAAAGCTGTTGTAGAATTGTGGATGTTAAAGTCGAGTGTGTATTATTCTTTTCTATTTTCTATAAAATTACATGCAAGTATATTTGATAATACGCACTTTTTTTCATACAATCGTATATTAACTTTTATATTAATTTATATCTCACCTCGTTTATATATCATTTATGTACCAATAAAACAATATTGAAAAAGATATTACATAACGAGTATCCTTTGAGGAATATAATCGATGGGACAGCCACAAAACTTCAACTCTCTCCGCGTACGATGCGATGTTGCAATCAGATAAATTCCCTTCGACCGGTTTGATCCTATTGCCACCATTAAAATGCACCTCCGAAGATTAAGAAAAAAGAAAATATTACAAGAGTGATTAAGAAGTCCGTATCTCTTCTTAAAGAAAAGCCTTTCTTTTTAGTTTTTAAAAAAACGTCGAAAGAAAATTGTCAACGAGTCACGTTGTCACTTGGCGCGCAAGCACGTTCGAATAGAGCGCATCGTTGCTGCGTTCAGCTTTCGTGTTTCGCGGCTGCCGGCTTACTTAATAGCGCAACAGGTGTCTCTTGTGGTCGTGGCGACCGCGCTCCAGTTCGAGAGCCAATTCCCTACTAAAAATGAATACTGCCTGCCGACTAGCACGCAAAAGAATGGTACCGTTCTGTTCAGCGCTGTGTTCATGATGACCGGTGCTATATCCACGGGCACCCCACCGCTTTAACTTGCCGGGATTTTGCTTTGTTAACTGACCAACGTTATCCTCACCACTTCTTGGGATTGGATTTTGTGAAACGGGTCTTTGGCATTAACTAAGAAAGATAAACAAACTGTGCACCGTGATTTCACGAGTGTACATTTGTACGCATATACTGCATATTATATAAAATATCTTGAAATTTCCTTGTCCCTGTAATAAGACACAATAGTCATAATTGTTATCTGGAACGTGTAATAAATGTAAAACATGATTCATTGAATATCGAAGCTCATTAATATGATGGATGATCTGCGATATACACATATATTTGCATCAAGTATTTTGTAACCTCCTGTTATTATTTTATGTATGTCTCCAAATTCCTTTCAAGTTTTACCAATGTAATCACGATAACCATTCTTCATTGTGGCGCTAATAAAATTTTAAAATATCATGTATAAAAGTTTCCTGTGATAAATATTCAAATACTGTCTTGAGCCACCTCGCTCCTACTTAATATTTGGGATTTTCTAAAAATATATCTCCCTTAATAACTGACTAGACGAGTCGCGACATGTGGTCAGTGAACAAAGTATTAGTATACCTCAGTATATATTCACATTCAACGTAAAGAAGTGTAAAACAATCAAAATTCGTTTCGATTGTCACCGTTCATTGAATTAAAAGGATAAACGACTGAGATATGAGCTCTTCCTCCTCTGCAGATTACAGCGTACGCTGGGAACGATGTAGCAGCGAATTGGATAATTTCAAATGCGCGCGAGTTTGTAAGTAACTTTGCAATACGATAGCTTGATGATACTTCGCAAAGTTTGTGCTTGCTATGTGAATTTACCAAAGATCACCGTAAATCTGCAAATTTTTTCCTTATTCGTTTCATTTCTGTGTATTCCTAGCCATACAAACTAAAACGTAAATTTAAACATAACCTTTCAATACTTTGATAAACATATCAATTTATTATATAAAAATGTACGTTATGACGCTGTATGATCATAATGATAGATGTATATCATACTAAGTTTAAATCTTTACCTAAGTGTACTAGATTGATCACACAATTAGTATTAATATCATAGTAGCTTCGATAATCTTGAATTTGCAGTCGCCATACTTGTGTAGATTCATAAATTCTATTATAAACAAATTATGGATGTCAGAGTATCCGAAATTAAATTTCATACTACCATTTTTAAACCACTCTGCGCGCCATCTGTCATGGGATTATGAGATTACTTGACAAAAATATCGATTCACGGACACTCGACCTCGATCGATCTTTGACATTCGACCATTGATTCGATTCATCATCGCATTATTAACCACAAACAAATAAAATAGACTTGACATTTAATATTTTTTCGTCTCTTCTATTTCGAAACTCCTGATTCATTTTCGTGTTTTATGCGATATTATCGACTAGGTATGGCATATAAAAATTGTAGTTCTGTTATTCGCCGCAAAAAATTACAGAGGGCGCAAAAAACTGACATTTCTAAGATCGGTATTTCAGAACGTCAAACGCAAAATCCTACGTAATATCACATCTATTTTATCTTTAGTCAATGGCCATCCAGATATGGCGAAGGATGATAAGTGGTGTATCGTTTCCTGTGCGATTTCTCATCAAATAAATGTAATATTATCAATCTGAAAAATCTGCACTCCGATTAATTAATGTCGGAGAAGTGATTCATGCCATTGTAGCTATTCGGTCGCGTCCGCGTCGAAGAATGCAGATTTGTTTTAAGGAATACATTATCGGCGTTTTGTGCCGGCATAAATTTCGACAGGGAAATATATTGTACAACAGAATACGTTTACCAATTACGAGAAACAAATCCGATCGTTGCCAAAGCCTTGTCAAGTAAGTAACAGCTTTTTTTTATAACTTTATAATAATTTAACCAACATTATCTGTAAAATTAAAAATTATTTGTAAAACTTATTTGTAGGTTACAAGTTTCAAAGTCAGTAGTCAATCTCTTTACACATAATGAAATAATTTTAAAATACGTATAGCAAGCATTTACATACAGTAACTGTCATACATGATTGTATTATAAATACAAATAAAACAATAAATTGTTTCTTGTAACCTACAGACATTAAACAAATGAAATTTGTTTGCACAATTTTATTTGTTTTATTACTAATCTTAAAGCGGCGTCAATAACAACTTGTAGCGTCTAAAAGTTGTAAAGTAATTATATTTATATATTAAAATATGCTAATAATTATATTATATATATTATGTAGTTATATGCTCAAGAAGTAAATACATATTTAACTAAATACAAAGAATGATTTGCTTCGATTCTCTTCTCGAAAGAAACGAAATTTTCAACATGACAATGTTTAGTTTTTGAATTTTGTAATATAATGTTGTGAACCATTATCGTAGATGAATGGTAATATATTCAAATATATTAAAATTTCACTTTCCATTGCATTTATTTCATATTCAATTTCACTTGTTTACGTCATCTATTCTATTTATGTATCATGTTTATTCATTAAGTTAATATGTTATTCCATTGACAACTTGTTCGATTGAACATTGTGTTACACTACTTCAAAGTTATTGAATAAACGTCAATTTTTACGTTTATATATAATAATATCACGATATGTGATTTTATTCAATTTTTTTTCCATAATATAATAGACGCAAATATACGGTACTATTTTATAATTTATTATGATAAAGATTATTATATTTTTATTTCTTTTTCATATTTTTAAATAATTGATCGCAGAATCAGTTTTATTACGAAATTCACCAAGCGGAAAATTAATTTCTTTGGAAGGAAATCATGCCTTCCTGACTTTGAATTACATAAGTAATTCGTCTGTATATACCATTAAGTGCAGAAAATTGAGCCAAGGTTTTACACGGAAATGAAGCTATGCATGTTTGTATTCATACGGGAGCCAATGACCCAAAACCCGTAACAATTACGCTTACTCCAATCTCGAATAACTTTTCCTTTAATATCTATGAAACAGAAAGCAGAAAAGAATTTCATTAAAAATTTTCTTGTATTTTAAAGTATCTATTGCATGCACATCTTATTGTATGTAAATATAAAATTAATGAATACTTTTAAAAAATTATTTTAACATAAGAAATAATTAATTTGTTATGATTTTTATCATCTCAGTGTATATTTATATTTTACAGTGTTTTAATAAATAAGTTTTTTTCCATTTTCTTACTGAAGAAATCAAGGTGAAACTGATTCTGATCTTATCACATCATCTATTTCGACATTCACACGCCAACATATAACATAAAATAGACATGCAATATTCCAAAGTTTGTCATATGAGAAGCGTGGTTTGTTGGGTGACAATCTATGCTAGTGATCTAAAGAAAATATCAGTGGATAGGAAAGTCTGGTTCTTAAGAAATACCTTTCTCTCGAACGGGACATTGCACGTCGTACCGTGGCCGGTTAAGTATAGAATCTAACGATATTGCATTCTTTTCGTTCAGTTCCTCTATGTTTCCGTTAGTTTTCCATCGTTCATCTTATCTTCAGATGAAAGAGTGTATCCATGTTATATTCCCGTTTCTGAGTGGGGGATATATTGTTATTTAAACCTAGAAGGATAAATATAATTTATCGAAACATTGAATGATACAGTTTAGCGTCGTTTCATGCACGGAATCGATTTTCGTATTCATTTGTCGTCTGTTGTGGAACATGAATGCTTCATAAAATTATCAAATTATTGTAATTGTAGGAAGAGACGCTATTAAATCAAAAAATACAAACTAATAACTTCGGCTTTGTCAGTATTGTGATAAAATTAAGTGAAAAGATCTCGTCAAATAACGACGAAAGTGTCGACTTTATTCAGTCGAGGAAAAGATAATTTTGTGTTGTTTGTATGAACTTTCTGATAAGAAATTCCGAAAACCTGTTGGTGGTAAATCATTGGAATTCCTAGATTGGTTCCTCTGCGACTTATTAATATGGAAACTCGTCGACGAGCTGAGCACAGTTCTTGTAAGTGATTCGACGAATTCAATAATTTCTTCTATTTTTAATTCTAATTCTTTTAATTCTGTCACGTTATAATCTTCCATTATTTCATAGTAAAAATGAAATGTAGAATTTCTCAGACCCAATCTGCGCCATTATTGCATATATCCACAAATACATTTGTACATAACAGCATAACAATGATTCTCGGATAATAACAGGATACTGCGAGTAATCTGTTACGAACATCCGATATTATGAATCTTTTTAATCTCAATAAGGCGAAGTAACTACACCCGTTGGAAATTCGCAGAAATTCTGTAACGAAGAGGCAGTGCATAAACGAATGATGTTATTAATTGAAATTCTAGGACATCCATGTCCCGAAGTAATGGGCTTAACAACTCGATACGATTTATTGCAATTAATCTTTATTCTTACTTCTTACTTCTTCAGCGTGCATCGTAGATACTAATTAATTGTTTCAACCATGTGAAGATACTTTGTTCTTGCAAAATGTTGACACTTTCGTGGCTTGTTTAATACATTAATACAATTCTATAAGATTTGATAATATAGTAAGAAACAAGTATAATATTCTTCCTTGTAATAAGTATGGATAACTATTATATTTAGTTAGATAAATTTTATATATATATGCAGAGATTAAAATATTCTTTCATACCCATATTAGAGTCTTTGAGATGATACAAAAATATATTCTAAATCAAGAATATATTCTATATCTGAGGTTTTCTCGAAACGATTGATTTTTCAATCGGATTTCCTGTGAACTGCGATAACAAATTAAGCTTATTGTTTGATAGAATACAAGTAATTTTTTTAAATAATTACATAGACAAAATAATTAACCAGATTAATTAAATCATTTTATCACCAAGATAATTATCTAGACAATTATATAAAAAGGATGAAAATTCACACGGTGCAAAATTTGTGAGAATTTAAAGGAAATAACAATCGATTTGAACGTATCTACTATATTTGTTTATCAGCGGTCTTTCGATATGTAATCAGGTGTCCAATGTCGGCTGAAGCGAGAATAATATCAAACAAGTGAACAGTTTTACCTCAAAGTGCGAATTTTCATTGTAGGGATCAGGTTTTAAATAGATCAGTTAGTAGCAAATGCATGTGTATTAGACATACATGATTGCGAGCGATACGACGTGTTTTTTTTTTTTCAGGAAAGTAAATCAGTAAATTAAATTAGTTATATAAGTAAAATTACCTATTAAGAACTGTTTCCGAGTTTTTCTCAGTATCAGAGAACATTATTCGATGTCTAACTTCTTCATGGGGCTTGCCATTCATGATTGAACTCTTCGAAGATTCCATATTGTAAATCGACTTTCTGTTGCAACCTTGCCATTTAAAGTGCCATTTATAGTTGCTGTTATGCTATTAACAGTTACGTACGTCTTGATGCAAAATTTGAGATGCCAAAAATGTTTAGAAATCGTTGAAAAGACGGTAAATTTGTTTTAGCATCGGTCGAACATTAGTTTATATTTTCACCTATCCTTTGATGTGGATGTACGATGTAAACGAAGCTGTTGCAATCGTTATTGCAAGAAAATGATCTTGTTTGATCACGGTTAGTTTATTTTAAAATCTCTAAAAATTTCTAAAATACATTTAAGAAAAATAAATTTAAACTAATTATATTTACAATTAATTATATTTACAATTAATTAGATAATAAGTAAATAAGTACTATAACTTTAAAGCTGATCTAATTTCGAAAGAACTTGCTACTTATTTGTGACAACTAGTCCAGGATTAATACTGATATTCTTTTTTAAAATCGTAGTAAATTATTGAATATCTGACAGATAGATTGTAATTTATAAATAGATATTAGAAAATGCTTATTCATAATAAATTAAATTAGATATTAATATCAGTATTTAAACAAATATAATCTAGAAACATTCGCAAAACATTATTTGCGAGACATTCACTGAAACAATGAAAAGTTATTTTGTTATTTACACAATTCAATTTTAAGTTTATTCGCGCGGTTAATCTGTTTTACCCACAAACAACCGAAAATGTTCGATGATCATCGGTTCACTTCGTGGTTTCTCGTTAATGTTCGTCGGTGTCGTATCGCGGCGTTCTTATTCAGTACACTGGTGTCTTTCGCCGCTGACATTTAACGTAATTTAGTTGTGTCTCAAATATTTCGTTACTCATCTTTCCCACTATCGTAATGTTGGATTAAATGTTTGTCTTCTTCTCGACGAGAAGTTTTCTTTTTTTTTACCATTGACCTTTTGTTTGTTTCTTTTTAATTGGCGAGAAGTGTAGAACGTTCATCTCTATTATGAGTTCGCGCGTTGATCCGTACACTACTCCAAGCTCCTCCAAAATGGTAAATAGTTGCACATTTATAATTATTCATTAGTATATCTTTCCTTTATGCATACATGAATATGAATAAATCTGCTTTAATTTCACCTGACTATTCACATTCGTATGTTCATCTTTTTCTTCTTTTTCGTAACTTGAAATTAGAGATAGAGAAATTAATTTAAATCTCCTCTGTTTTATTACATATCATATATTTATGTTACTTTCCTACCATGCTAAATTTTCAATAGTAACGAAAACAAATACATATATCTTAAAAAATAAATACATTAGCTTGAGCTAATAATCAGATTTTGTGTCGATGCAATCTAGATATATATCTAGTAAAATAACACAATTCATTATAGAAAAGAAATTAAAGAATATACTTGTTATACTTACACGAAGAAGATAGACTTGATATTGTATTAATATCTGGTAGATATTCTTTGGTATAACATTGTTCTAAAATTTTCATAAATTGCATGTTTCTTATTTTCTTAATTCTTTTGAGAAATACATTGATATACCAAAAAAGTTTAAAGTTATTTTATGTTGACACCAATTTCAATTTTTTCTAAAATGAAATACAAAATGTATTTTTAGTATATATGGACTTTTATAATTAACTGTATATATGTATATCCTTTATCTCTTACGGATGTTCATACCTGAATGCGCTCCCGGCAATTTGTTAACCTCGTGTATAATAACGTGATATAAGCATCCTATCAGATTAAGTTAAACATTTTTTACAAGCAACGGCTACATATCGCTCTTATTTAGCTGCATTAATATTTAATTTCGTACGTGAGCCGTAACAGCAACCTCTCTACGCATTCTACGGTCTCTGTATTTTTAGTGATATTGGCACGTACCTCTGAACTATATTAACTGCAACATGACCAATGACAATGTAGGTAATTCCTTATGGTCTTTTTTATGAAAAATCCCAACGTAAGCATTTTGATTTGACTAAATGGTTGACGCAAAAACTGACTGAAAAACTTTTCTTTTTATTTTCTATATCTACCAAGATATTAATTCCAAGTGTGTAGTTAGGATTCATTTGATTCTTCCTCGTTATTCCTGAAACAGACAATGAAAATAGAATTAAAACAAATGTATAATTAGAATATGTTTTAATATTTTTTTTTTATTAATATGTTTTTTATTAATATATTACATTTGTATATGTGAAATCTATGATTTTTATCTAGTATTTCTTGAATATGTTACATACACCATCTATCTTATGTACCTCTTTATAAGATGCAATTTACTCCTACGTTAAAAAAGTCGTTTTTAATTGTTGCTCATCTTATTCTTGTATGTATTGATAAACTTCTAATGATAATTGATACTCCACTAGATGTTTCGAATATGAAACATACACTACTATCTATCTTTTGATATTCATGAACTGGAACATTGGTCGAACCTGTTTAAACATGTTTATGATTCGAAAAGAAAAAAATGTTTAAAGAAGAAGCTCTTTTCCTCTTGTTGTTTATCTTTGACCAATCTCTATTAGTTTTTTTTTGTTCGACGGCACGCAATCAAGGTTAAATTGGCGAGAGTAGTTACGTGAAAAAGAAAACTGGTTTCAAATACAACTGGTCTTTAAAATTCATTAGAATGAATCATCTCTTTCCTTTAAAATAAAATTATTCTATTAGTCTATTATTATTTCTAGACTGATATATGAAAAGATACCTATAAAAATGCAATTTAAAAAAATAAAAATTACCTTAAAATTTTCGAAACACCTTGATTTTATGTTGTTATGTTATGATTCAAAATTTTGAATTGTTCCAAAAATTCTATGTAATAAGTAATTATTTCATTATTTTTTATTTGCACTAAATAATTTTAGTCTCAATTTCTATTTTCATTCAGAGTGCTATTTATCTTTTTAAGTACCAACGTATTTTTAGCTCTCGTGTATTTGTGACGATCTCATTTGGTACAATGACCTATCGAGACAGAAATATATCAATTAGTGAATCAGTTTGATTAATAAAATTGAATATTATTTTTGTGTACATTCGTTTATCTCAGTACTCGGACCCTTATGTGGTTTGATACAAAAAGATTGCGGGAAATGTATCGTTTGCGTAATAGCGAATAAATGAAAGAGAACGTTATGCATGCAGCGTCCTCATTACTCGATATCGCCTTTAACGACCCGTTGAAAATGATACGAATGAAATTCCGAATCCACATTTTCTATACAAACGAGTAGTTTATTTCTCAAAAGCGTTAATTGACTTGTTCGTCCATGAAGACTGCATATCATACAGATTCACAAAAGTATTTGAGCGCGTGTCATAAAAAAAACTTTTATGAATATATTGTATATGTTAGATGAAACATTTTTAAATTTTGTTAACATGATATTTTGGGCTTATTAACATAATGGATGTTTAGCAACAGTTAAACACTGTTTATAGTATAACTTTGTGATTCCTGTACTAAACATCTATAAGCGTTTAAATACTTTCTAGAACCATTGTCTATGTATATAGTAAGAATTCGCTATGTAAATAGCGTAAAATATTTTACATATACATGTATAATATATTGAAGTATGAACAGACAGAATGAAAGAAACAAGCATAGTAATAAAATGCAACAAAATGAAAGAAATACAAGAAATTAAAACGATCAAGTTATCACAGAAACAGTCATATCTAGTCAAGACCAGTTTCTGCATTCACTTTCTCCCACTAAAAACATGTCATTGACCGTGTTAAGGTGTTCTCGCATACAAAAAATATATGTATGTACATGTTACAAAAGGATGATTCTTAGTTGACACAATTTCTCTTATATTAAATGCACTTATATTATGCATTTTGTTCACGTTAAGACATCTTGCAGTCTTTCCAAAGCCTATAAAACATATTTGAAATATATAATTCATTAAAAAAGAGATAAAAAATATCTCAAGAAACAATTTTCATGAAATTATAAATGATAAGAAATCTAATTCTATCTTAATTCTCGCGAATTTTCCTAACAACACTTCAATATTTTATACTTTCACACGTTGTGTACATTCCAACTCCATTTGTAGGAAATTTAAGAATGCAAGAATATACAAAATGTTCTCTTTATATTATTTCTAGTTCTCTTTATATTAGTAGATAAAACAAATTCAGGTTTCATATCTTTGACAAGATTCTTGAAAATATTGTGAAAATATTCGCGGCTTAGTCATTATCGTTGCAAAATCTAATGTAATGCTTTTTTTCTGTTTTAGCATTTATCAGAGCTACGCAAAAATCGAGCCTGATGTCCATATGGTCGACAAGCACTGGACGCAATTCAGTGTTTGGCGCGGAGGACGGAGCGGTACTCCCCTCCTCGCATTTGCCGATCCACGTACACGTGGCGCGTACACATCTGCGCAACGCTGACGGCCACTGCTTCCATAAGCGGTTTCACGACTGTCAGGTCGGTAGTTCTCCCCTTGTCTCTTTGATCTCGCAGTTCGTTTCCTTTTTATCTCTCTCCGGGTGTCACACTAGATATTATACTGTCATTATACTCGCTGTCTCTCATTACATATTATGTTTGCGATTTTACATACACAGCCATTTTTTCATCTATTTTCGCGTTTATTACAATGATATTGTTCACCCGCATGTGCACGGATGGCTGCTTGACCTTTCTAAACCGGCTTTATTACTACAACCAACCCTATTGAATCTTGTCTTCCAAATATGAATACCTCTGGTGTATTGTAGAAATGATTGCTTACCATTCTGAAAGTTGTAGACATTAGGAATGTTTGTGTTTGCAAATAATTATAAAATAGAAGAAGGAATAAAATAGAAAAAAGAAGAAATCATCAGAACTAATCTTTTGTGTATACAACCTACCTCTTTCCTTATAATCACAATTATCAAGCATCCACCGTCTCGCTAAGAATTAATTAAAGTCTAAAAAAAGAATCTCCGATACTTAGTATAAAATTCTTTATGATTACAAACGAGAGTACATGCATATTGAACAGTCTGTACCATTCAATTAAACTCCAACGACGGGGATCAATTTGTTTGTTGTTCGCCTTCGATAAATCATACTCTCTTGATATCGTTGTATCAAGACTCGATTCCATTGACAATTTATGATCGGAAGATCGTGAAATAAAACAGATTGAAATTTAAAGAGAAATGTCAATACTTGTTACCTAGAGGATACTGATAAACAACGAGGAAAAACAGGAAATTAAATTTTACCTTAACATTCGAGAAGCAGTCGAAGATAACTATATAATGAATAATAATACCGATAATATCAATCGGAGTTGTTTAAAGTTACCAGTTACTTCTATGTTGTTAGCGAAGAAACATAATTATCGTCCAACATTCATTTCAGCCAGATAACTATTCTCGCGTTAATCATTCTCCTAGTCGTGAATTCGACTTACATAAAACACAAAGCATACACGAAATACGTATATAAACTGCTTCGCGTTAGCTTAGCATACAAAGTATTATGTGTATACTATGTGCGAATGTGCGAATCGATTATTTATCACATATCCTTGTGCACAAGGCTGGCTCTAATCTCATTTCATATTTTTATTCTGCTGATAAAGATATTAATTAATGATTTATAAAAAAATTCTTTCTGTAGACTTATTTTATGTGAATCAAAAGATTTAATTTTATAGGAATTTACTAAAAAGATATTTGCATTACTAGTTATTTATAAAGTTGTAATAGTATTTTTATGCAATTAGAAAAATTAGTTAACCATTTGTATAATATATAAAAATTGTTCGCCAAATTTATTTTGTATAAATAAAAGCTTATTATAATTACCAATTAGTTAAAAACTTGTATTATTATTATTTTTTTTTTTATTGATGCATTTTACTCGTTCCTGTATCGTACTACCACTTGCCAAATTTTCCGCATCAATCTATCAGTACTTGAATCTTCTCTCTCTTGCATTGTACTTAGTGGCTTTCCATTAATTTTCCTTCTTATTTGTTTGGTTCAGCACCCGTTGGTTTTTTGTCCTACACAGGACTTTTGGCAAGTTCTACCATTGGCACCGACGTTGCCATCTACTTTCGGTACGTGTCTTTCTTTCTTACGTGCTTGTACAGTTGAGCGCCAATTATCCGAACGCTGATTACCTCTAGATGTGCAATTATCTTAGATGTATTTTTAACAATGATTTTGCTATATGGATAGTATTACGATTCTGAAATGCCGAATGAATACGACCGTTGTTGATCTCTCGCCATTTCAAAACGGCAAACACAGTTAAGATACTTACGTGTAAGTTTCATGATCGTGATTCAAATTTAAAAATAATTTATTCATACACACGAGCTTTTCATGAATCAACTTTTATATTTGCAACTTTCTAAACATTTCGTACAATATCGGTATCTTATACAAATCATTTACTGATTTTTTTTAAAGATATGAAGAGGGAAAGAATTTACTGAAACAGAAATTAATGGATTAATATTATAATTTTATATGCTAATGATCACATAAGTCACACAATTTTATTATTTTTCTCGTGTTATTTAGTGAAATTTATAAATATGTTAAAATGCCTTTTGTTGATTAGTGTAGTGGTATTGCATTGTTGATAATGTAAATCAGTGAAGTTTCAATTGAATCGCATAATTGGTCACTGTGCTCGCGCGATACCCGAGGCACAAGTTAGCGTACCATTTTCGATTAAGCACATTATGCAACCAATCGCTTCCACTCAATTCTTGTTTCACAAACGTTGTGTTAATAATCCCTCTCTATTGTCTGTTTTTCTTTTCTGTTAACCAGTCGAAGATGTCGCAGTCGGGAGATGGCCTTCACACTCCGGGTTATCTCTCTTGGAGAAAACTACAACTTAGCCGAGCGAAACTTAAAGCATCGAGTAAAACGTCTGCTCTACTTTCCGGTTTTGCCATGGTACACGATTAAACATTTTGATCAATCTCTTTTCGTAAATGTTTAAAAGATTCTCGAGTCGATTCTCCATAAAAACATTATAAAATTATTTTAAAATTATTTTAAAAATGACAATTATAATATATAACAGTGAATTATAACGAATTAATTTAATTATTTAAACTATAAATTCATTATCAAATACTTATGTTAGTATATATTACTAAATAAATTTTTTTTCGCAGGTAGCTATGGTAGAAGTACAGTTGAACTCTGATACACAAGTACCTTCACAGATGCTTATCGCCTTCGCCGTGTGTACTACATTGCTAGTTGCTGTTCACATGCTAGCCCTAATGATATCGACATGTATTTTGCCGAACATTGAAGCTGTGTGCAATCTGCATAGTATAAGCTTAGTACACGAATCTCCACACGAACGTCTACACTGGTACATCGAAGTGGCGTGGGCATTTTCCACTCTACTAGGACTTTTATTGTTTTTGTTGGAAATCGCAATACTTTGTTGGGTGAAGTTCTATGACTTTTCACAAGTGGCTGCTTGGTCCGCCTGTATTGTCTTGATACCGGTACTAATAATCTTTCTCGCATTCGCGATACATTTCTATCGGAGTTTGGTGGCCCACAAATACGAAGTCACAGTTTCCGGTATAAGAGAACTAGAGTTACTTAAAGAACAAATAGAGTCGACCGACGTTGAAGGTAGAAATGGTGTGAATTTACTACAGACTGCTGGTGTGACGCACGTGGTCTGAACACAATCCATGATTTGTGTTACTTTCAAAATGTGATAACTTCCCTGAGTGAAGGATAGTGAATCTCTGATTGTCTGGTCAGGCTACAATTATACATATTACAATTACACATATTACAATTATATATAAACAATTCAAAGGAGAAATCAAAACGACTTACGAAGATTTAAAAAAGGAAAAAAAAACTGTATCGAAAATACCACAAAAGTAACTGTCTTGTATGTGAAATTTCTCAAAATTGATTCGCCTATATGCAATAAGATCTTTCGATAGGCAAAGTGATACATATATCGATTCACATATTTATCCATATCGCAATGAATTTGTAATGATGGAAAAAAAAAGTCTATATGTTGAACGTGAAACATTCCTTTTTCATGTAGCGACTTAACTTATAAAAAGCAATGTCGTAAGCGGTAATATTTATTGTATAATATATCCTTAGCTATAGCTTAAAAACAGTCAGAAATGAAGGTTTATATTTTCCTTTGACAATGCGTGACTAGCTTCCATTGAATGTACTTATTATCATGTTTAAAAACATGCCTGTCAAGCGGTATTATTTATGATTCTTTTTATTTCGTTCGTTTGTTTCGTTCTCACGTAATATGTCCTGTATTCAAGTTCTTTTGCGCGGAGACAACATAATTTCCTGTCTCATTGTCTCTGTCTATATTTACACATGGTCGTCAAGTTACTGCCGTCACCAAAAAAGTGGCAATTAAATTATTATATATAGCTTTTATTGCGAACAAAACAGTTTATACGAGTATACATATGTTGATAGAAAGAGATATATGCAAAGTTGAAGTACTTTTGCTAGAATAAATTATACAAACAACAGCGATTCATTCTGTATTGCATGTTATTCTGAAAAATAAGAATATATGTTTATGAAATAGAATTTAAACAAGAGCACGTGTTTATGGACACGCATATATTCTCAATTATACGCTTTGGTGCTCTTTTACAAACATCTTCGATGAAAACGAATTCCGCTTTTTGGTCATCCTCCATAATTTCGGAAGTGTTTTGAGAATCATTAATGCGCGTTATCGCTTCCACCTATGGACCAAGTAAGAATTGTTACAAACTGAATAAAAATTTCTCGATGATTTGCTCATAATTGTTATGTACTTCCGGAATAGGATACGGTGTTGGACAAGTTGCACGTTGTCGAAAATCTGCATCCGATATGGTTCCATTTATAAACCAATCGTTTGTCCAGAAACCACGCTGCTCTTGGCCAGTAACTATGTGATAATACGTGCCGTAACCTTCTTTCTTGCCCTTGATGAACTGACCCTCATATTTGTTGCCATTATCTGTAAAAATTGCATTAAATATTCCATTCACTTTTAATTATTGCATTGGTAAATAACAATAAATTATTTCTTATTTACAGAAAGATTAATAAGGCAAATGGTAAAAGGAAAACCTTTGACGAGTAATCCCATGCCATGGTAAAGATCATCCTTCCAAGCGCCTTCATAATAATCTCCATTGCAATGCCACATACGACCATAACCATGCCGTTTATTTCGACAGAAATCGCCTTCATAATAAGAACCATCTTTGAACCAATTATGTCCGAATCCCTGTTTCTTCCCAGCTATCCATTGCCCAATATAATATCGACGAATAGTATGGTCTTTTCTTGAAATTTTGCTCAAAATACCGCAACCGTGTTTTTTACCGTTCAACCAGCTACCATCGTACATCCAGCCATCTCTGCGAAATTTCAACCACGTTAAAAATATCAAAAGAAAATATATATCTCAAAGAGAGACTCTTTACTCGAATATAGATTTGCGGCAATTACTTTAATACAGTAATTAAAGTACCTGTCCACTTCTTTACCTCTGCCTTTCTTCACATCGTTCTTCCATTCGCCTATGTAATAACCTTTGAAAAGTTCTTTGGTTTGAGGGGTGAAAATAGCGTGACGCAAACCGTTTCTCTTCGAATTTTCTATTCTTTGTTTAGTGTACGAAGTTTTAATGCACTTTAAGAAAGGCATCGCGACACTTGTCATCAAATTTCATTTGAATTTAAAAAACGTAATGTATCAATGTAATTTAACGTGATATTGCATTTTAGAAAATATCGTTCTCCTTGATGATAGTATTTTCCAATGAAACAAATGAATACGAATGTAATTGAAATATAAAGCAAAATAGATTAATACTAAGTGTAAGGATAATATATTAATATTAATATATTAATGTACAATTGAACGATCAAGATATTCATATAAATATTATCATAGATAGAATATAGAACAGATCTATCGTCTAATAGATCTGTGTGTCATGCTATTTACCATTTTAATATCATTCTCAGTATTATCGATTTAGCGTAGAATAAGAATGCAATTAGTGGTTAAAATAGAAATTACAAACAAAGAATACAGTGTAGAAATGTAAATATAATTTTAGCTTGCAAAAAATGTAGCAATTACAGTATGTATTATTGCTTTAAATTAATGGGGCTATAAATTTACAACGAAAACCTAAAAATTATCAAATTATTAATTACTGTAATAGAAAACTCATATTTCGAAGTATTAGCAAAGATAATAAACTATTCCGCATAATTGATAATCGAAAGATCAGGTTGATCTCGACCGGTACCGAAAAAAAACCTCATTACCAATTGAACCTTCGTCAAATACACATCAATCAAACTTGAACTGAACTTTTAAATAATATTTCTAAATATTCTAATTGTTCTAAACATTGTCTAACATTCCTAATAATTTATTTACAAATTAAACAATTAAACAAATTTATTTACAACAATTAAACAATTAATTTAGTTTTTTCTGCGCTTATCTTCATTTAAATATATTGTTACAATACTTTTCTTATTTTATTTTATATGACACATGAAATCCGTTACATTTTCATACATGTGAATATATGTGAATTTACAATAAAATTTAACAAAGTTATAGCTAATAAAAAATATATATTTTTTAGCAGTATTTTCAGTAATAAACGCAGTGGTAAGAAGTGCTGAAAAAAAACATAACCAGAAGTAATAACTCGTAAAAAAAAGTAATTAGAAGAGCTACTAACAAAAGAAATCTAAAACAATAGCCAAAAGGACTACTGAAACAGAAATATATATGTAATACGATAATGCGATACATATTAATAAAATATATGTATATACATATACATATAACAATGAATTAGTCAATTACAAGGTTACAATATTTCTAGAATTGAAATTAAATTTTGGTATAAAATTACAAATAACTTTTAGTATAGTAGTGTCTGTTTAAATGTTTATATGCTATTATTTCTTTAATTGTAAAAAATTATATGTAATAATTATTTGGTTAAATCTTACTTTAGGGGACTAGAAATTATACACTTTTTCGGTAGTAACTGTTATCTTCTCGCAGATAAATTAAAATAAGTTTTAATTTAGAAATTCACAACACAAACACAAATCTAACAGCTATTGATTTAAATTTTTACCTGAGAACTTCTGGTAATACTTTCTTCTTTACAAATGAAGTATGCTTCTTTCCGCCATACTTCTTTCCCGCTTAAAAATCGATCATAATCGAAATATCGATTACGTTCGAGAATCATAGAATCGTGTATTGCGTATTTCACCATTGGCGCTGTAATCTCTAACTAATAAACTTAATGCGCGTGCATTTTGCGAAATGTTAACTAGGAATAAAAAATAAAAAATTCTGATTTAAATCAAACACACAAAATTCATGAGAAATTCTTAGAAAAGAACGAAAATATTCATATATTCGATGAAAAATTGTCGATACTTTAACCTGTTAAAATTTCGTGAAAAAGAAGTTGTAAATGTTGTAGAACAATTAACTCGATTTTATTTTAAAGAGTCTAACAATCTTGTTTGTTTCGTTCAAAGATATTAATTTTTATACCATGCAACAAGTGTAAAAGTAAGAATACTTCTCTTCTCAAAAATGTAAAAATTCAAACGTCTCGCCGAAAAGAAGTTTTTCCATCATTGAGCAATTTTTTTCATGATCAAATAAATCATAATCTTGACAATTAAAATCTTCCCTTTACTTCCTTTTACTCTTGAAACTACTGTCCGATTTGTTTTCGGCATTTTGACTGAACCTCGTCTGTGACGTTGCTCATCTATTAGGTTCCTTCGATTTTCGTACGATCGGTATTTCAGGACATGTGATACGAAATCCCATCAGATGTCAGATCTATCTTACGCCTTGTAGTGATTATGATAATTTAAATTTATATCACAAATAAATAATAACTCCGTAATTAATTTTAGTTGTTTATAAAAATATTATCAATATAACAAAATATATAATTACTAATAATTTAATGAAGATTAAATAATGAAAGTTAAATAACTAATGAATAATTTCTACTATGGTTACAATATATATAAGTGTCTGTAAACTTTTCCATGGTGATAATAAAATTACTAACAATTTTTAAATATTCTATTGTTTATATTAAATACACATCTCGACGGAACGATTTAATGAACATAGATATCGTTGCTCTAAATACTTCAAAGTAGAGGTCGCTACAGCCTTGTTTATGATCAAAGATACAATTACATATCCAGGACTTTTATATGAGATTTATTTCAGAACTCCTTTACAGTTTAAATGGTTTTAAATAAAAACCATCACTTATACTCATGAAAAAATTGCTCCTGCCCATTGTAATGAAATTTAAGAAAATCTACTTCATGCTTACTTGCATGCGAATGAGAGCGCCCCCACAGTTAAGTTTTGATGCGTTAGAAGCTTATTAAGCATTGAAGCATAGTGTTTTCATTGGAATAAAAGGTTAAAGGAGAGAAAGATTTTTTACACGTAAGAGTCGCACGTTTGCAGTACAAAATAGTTTTATCTATGTTTTCATCTTAGTGTCAATAGTATTTCCATGAATCCTATGATTACTATTGAAGACACCGACGAAGAGGTGATTGATTTAGACTCAAGCCAAGATGCTATCAACGTTACTGACAATGACCAAAGTGAATGGTCAATTGAGCAAAATCCAGTATCGGTCAATAACGCGGATAAAACCAATTTGACCAACGATGATACAAATAGTAACATAAATGCATCTAGAACAAAAACTTGCAATAGCCCGAGTACGTCAAAACCACTTTTGACGGTCATATTCCGAGATGAAAATGTTTCACGGTAAAAAAATTGTTATTTACTATTGTTTCAATACTTTTATATACAACAGTTGATAAATTTTCGGGTAGAATAACAACTTGTTTACATAACCTAAAAACTATACACAGAATAAACGTAAACAGTTTGTATAATGTTAATAACAACGATAATGATGTTTTAATTTGTTATTTTATATAACACGGTAACCAGTATTACTTTATAGAATAAGTCAATGAAATAAGTTACTTCAATTCTACATAAAGTTGCATCAGTTATTTAACATTGACAAAGTGATATTTAAATAATTTCTAACACGATCTACTGCTTCTCAATGAAGTAACTTTTATTTCTGTTTCCTTTATTGAATTTTTAGGCAGTATAATAAAAGAATAAAAGAGTTTCTAGAGGAGTTAGTGTCTTCAAAAAATAAATATCAAGAAAATGATAATGGTTTAACATTAGAAATTTGGGATAATGATACTGACTCTGTGAGTCAGTCTGTTGAAATTACTACAGAAAGCGATGATAGTCAAGATATAATATGCGATACATTGTTTACTGTAGATAAGCAGCCAAAACTTAAAAATGAGTTTGATGTTCCAACTTATGGAAAGGTCTGTTCTTTTTTCATTTGTAACGTTCAGTAATTACATATTGGGACAAATATTTAAGATTAATCAATCTGAAAAATTACTTAAATTGTTAATTACTATTGTCATGTTTAATATTTAATGTTTCAATGGTATTAATTATTATTTTAGAAATATGAAAATGTATTTGATGAAACAAAATCAGAATCAAATGAAAAACCCAAGGATGATGGTCCACAAAGGTTTATGTGTTTTAATTGTTTGGGAAATCATAATTTAAGAGATTGCACAAAACCACGAGATTATAGAACTATAGAAACAAATAGGAAAAATTTCAATATGAAAGCAAATTCAAAAAATATTAGATATCACTTGGGAAATAACCAGAAATTTAGTCATATAATTCCTGGTCAATTAAGTAACAATTTACGTATGGCATTGGGTCTCAGACACAATGAATTACCTAGGCATATATACAAGTAATTAATTAAATTCATAATATTTTAGAAATAATAGTAATAGAATAAAATTTAAAAAATATATATATATCCAATTTGTTAGATGTAAATAGATGATATAGTTAATAATTTAAGTGTTTTTCGTGATTTTTATGTATTAAAAAAATTTTCCTAGAATGAGAACACTTGGGTATCCTCCAGGGTGGTTAGAAGAAGCACGTTTACAACACTCTGGTTTGTCATTATTTAATTCTGATGGCATAGCAGAAGAAGATCCTAATGATGAACCAGGATGTATTATTGAAGAAGGAGATAGAGATCAGTATGATATAAAAAAAATTTATGACTTTCCTGGTTTCAATGTTCCAGCTCCACCTGATACTCTCGATGTAAATAATAGGAAATTTTGTAAATTAGATTAAATTTGTTATCAACTATTTATTAACTATTATGAAATATTTATTATGAATAACAGAAGGATGAATCTTGGTCATCAACAATGCCTATTTATAGTAAACAAAGGATGTTATTAAAACTAAAAGAAAAAAAGGCAGATGATGGATACAAAAGAAAGAAACTGAAAGTTTTTGATAATACATCAAAAAATAGTCCAACTCCAGAACCCACTGAAATGGAAATTGAAGGTGTAGAAGGTATGAAAACTACATATTCACATTCTTCTAAAATTCACATAACATGCAAGAACATATTATTATAAAATTATAACACAAAAATATTTTTGTTTTTTAATAAGTAGATAATGTGATAGAGTCTATATCTACTAATGGACTATTTGTGCCACCACTGCCGCGGGAATCTCCTGTAAAACCACCAGAACCACCATTATCACAAGAATTCCCTGTAAAACCACCAGTATCACCATTCTTACAAGAATTCTCTGTAAAACCACCAGTATCACCATTGATACAAGAATTCTCTGTAAAATCACTAGAACCATCGTTATCACAAGAATCCCCTGCAAAACCATCAGATCCATTACCAAGATTAACAACTGTATCTAGTGATTCAGATTATCATTCTCAAGAATTACCATTTCCCGAATCACTAGTACGTATGAAAATGTTATATACATCCATTTATTTTTCAATATTAATTTTATAAAAAGCGTTTATTAAATAATTTTGTGCAAAACATTACAGGAAGATAATGCATCATTTTCTTCACAAGCGAATTCCCCGTCATTATTCGAATTGGAAAATATGAAAAAACGGCTACTTGTAGAACTTCAAGAATCAAACTCAAATTCAAATATTTCATCAAAAAGCAATTCTTCGAATTCGATATTAAAATCTAATGGACCTAGTAATGAAGTTACTCCAGAATCGAATCGTATTCGTCCAAACGGAGCAAATACAAGTCATGGAAGTGTAAAGTCTGTTGACTTAGGTACACCGGTATTACAAAGTACATCTCCGTATAGTAAATTACCATCATCTGAAAAATTTTCAAAGGATATTTGCAGTGTGATTAATTTTGAGAATTTACCAGATTCAACAGGCAAGTACGAACAAATGACTGGAGTTTTGCAAAAAGTAAGAAATACATTGGCACAACTTCATCAAGAATAGTTTTATGTATGTCATTAAGATTTACGATATCAAAAAAGTGATTATCATACTTCATAAATGAGCAATAATTTCATTTGACATATTAAAATAAATATTTTCATTATATTATGTTTCTGATTAGAAAATTATACATATACTTTTACTTATTAGGTAATTTAAAATATATATCATTGACATGAAACATATGTTAATGTTTTTAGATTAGGGGATATGTACAGATTATTCTTATCCTTTGGACAAAAACTATTCAATATATTATAAATTTCCTTTTTTTTTATCGTGTTAGATAAAATGTAAGATACATTACCATTTTTCACATAATAGACTTATGTGGGAAGGAGGCCTTGAAGTAAAATATAATCGTCCTTTTAATAGGTTTTCCTACGTATGTCGGAAAAACGTAAAAAAGATCATAATTTTTAACAAAAGTTCATGTCTCACCTGTAAAAATACACTATTTTGTACACTATAAATATATACTATTTTTCTATTAATTGCATTATAGATGAACATAAAATGCTTGATATCTATAAAAAATTCAATAAATTATTTTAAATATTATGGTACTTTATCACGGAATTTTGTCTATATGTTCAGTTCAGTATAAATTCAGATTCTTTGTATAATATCAATGATTATTAAACAAAATATGTCGATATATGCATTTAAAATATTTGTCATATTATATATAATTGTAAATATCTATGCATAATTATTTTCTTTAACATATTAGTTACCACGCGGCATGTGAAAAATCTATCGTTCAAATTTTGATTTTTTACACACTATGTCACACATTTTCATTTATGCAATGTACTAAATAGACGATTATGAAATGTGACATTAATATATATATGACATTAAATTGATAAGTTAATGAATCAATAAGTTATACATATATCATGGTGGTAACAAACGTGTTAATAAATAATTAAGAAATTAATTTCCTTTACTTATCAGTAATGTTTTATATACAAACAATAAATATACAATTGAAATTGTTATTAATTAAAGAATTTATTTTTGCTATTTTTATATGAAAACTTTATTTTGTTTTTTAATTAAAACAAAATAACAGCAAAAACTAATTCTAGAGAACTTTTACTAATTCTAGAGAATATTATGTATATATATAAATAAAAGAAATATCTTGTGTGGATATATAGGACTTCGTAGATATATTTGAAGTGTATATTTCTTATTTTTCCTCTAAAAATTATGTATTTCTAGTACATTTACATAATACAAGATGTAAATGAAAAAAAAAAAGAATTTGATATGAAAATAAACAAAATTAAAAAATATTAGAATTATAATTCTTAAAGTTAATCTTTAATATTTTCAATATGTATAATTTCTTAACAGCATGTATAGCATTTAACATATGTTAAATATTAATAAATAATTAGAAAAGTATTAATTATATAAAATTATTTATAGCTCCAATTACACATTTTGCCTTTGTTTCGAATACATGTATGTTTGTAATTATTTTCTGTAACAATTAAATATCACGTATGAATTATTCAATTACAATATACTTTCCAAATATTACTAATCTTAAGCAAATGCAAATTTCATTGTTATTAAGTTGGAAAATAATAATACTGTATTTTTCAAAAAATGAAACATTAAAATTTTATTTAATATTTAATACATTCTTGTAATATAGTAGAAGTTTTTTATTTTTAATATCATTTATACAAATCAATATTATAATATTGAACTTCAGATATATGAAATCATAATTGATCAACTTTTGTAATCTCTTATTGTACAAACAAGTCAAAGTAGAATATAAAAAAACTAATGAGCCCAATTTGTACCATTTATGTACAAATAAACAAAATTCTACTGTATATTAAACTTTTTTTTTCTTACAAAACAAAGTAAGCAAATGGAAAGAAATATAAAATATAATGCATATTTATTACTTAGAATATCATGGAGAAATATACAATTAGAAGAGATTAATTTATATTATAAAACTTTTATCTTTCATAAATTATATGCTATCATAAGAATAGCATAAATAATCTAATAGAAATTATTGGGGATATAGTCATAACTTTTTTTTCACAATTTTTATACTGAACATAAAAAAAAAGAAAATTATAATACTTTTATATTAATTTTTCAACCCTGCTGCTAAACAAAAAAGATTGTCTTTATACTATTTCTTATCAAGTATAACAAATCCTCAGAATATTTCAAAATTAAAATTATAATATTTCAAAATTAAAAAATATAAATGAACACCAATATATTTTACTTCTTTGTCACGTTGTTTTTTAATTCATCAATAAATTTCACTCTACAAAATTCAATTATATCTGTGATGAAACTTTATCGAATTTAATATAAATACTACAATGCAATATTCTTACTGAATTGCAGGTACTCAAGCTATTTACAATAATGAATATCAAAATACATTTTCAACAATTTGCTTATGATATAATAATATGTGCAGTCACAGTAACAACATGATAAAAGAGTTTTTATTATTTCAGCTTAGTAATCACAATTTCAGTGTGTTATTTAAAACTGTCACGTGTTTGTAAAAGATTAATTTTCAACAGCCTGTGACACGGTGATTATGTACGTATTATATTTAACTTATATTTTTTTCTTGTACACACATCTCCTGACATGTGATAGATATTAGTAACTGAAGAAGAGATGTGTGCTCATTAAAGTATATAAATATAATAGTTTCCAAACATGTAAAAGGCAATTATTGGCAGTTATTGGGTTAGATTAAATATGTGCTAGCAATACCATATAAATCGAATGAATTAATTAATTATCTTCTCTTCGGTTTCTGTTTTCATAAGCTTAGCAGATTCTACTATGAAAATTCACCCGGGAGTGTTTATCATATTACACTTATTATGCAGTCGGTGGTGGTGCAGGAGGATCATTGTTTGAGTCCTAAATAAAAATTTTATCAAGATATGATTCTAAGATAAAAGAAAGTTAATAAGATTATATTCAAATGATGTACCACTTACGCGTTCGTTATCTCGATCTTTAACTGTATCGTTGCTCGATTGACGAGAATTTGATCTAAGAGAATTTGGCCTAAAAGCGTACATAAGAATAGCGAATGCAATAACTAACAAAATAGTCATGAAAAAGTTTGAGGGCAATGGATCATCGCGTGGTCCTGGTACTGAAATATATAAATGATAAAAATTATCAATTAAATTATATTATCATAGCTACAGTAAAATACAGAAAAATACTTACATTGCGAGATACTGAAGCATTCATTATCCGTGCAGTAACTTTGACTCTGCCGTAACTGAAACGATAAAATAACGCTGATAAAAGTCTATAAATGTGACTAGAGATATTTTTTAGTTACTTTAAAAGCTTTTCTAGCTTTTGCATATTTTCATATGTTCATGTGTTCGTATCTGTTCATATTGTGTAACGTTTGCGAAAGAATCGGTAAGGTAAAATGAAACCGCTTATCGCAACAAATTTTTACAAATCGAACAAAAGTAATGTATACGCTACTACGTGCACGAAAAATATGCATTGTATTTTCATTTATATGGCAATTACGAATTTACTGATTGCTATTAATGAACCGAACGGAAATGTTACTAAAGATATACATCGTAATAATAAAAGCAAATAATAAGAGCATTGTCCTTCTCGCGCATAATTTAACAAACTTGAGTGTGATATTTCTTACGATCTTAAAATTTTTATGACTCAATCTTTACGTTATTCCAGATTCATGATCTTTGATATGAAACTTTAATATTAAAAAAAAAATCTTTTGCATAATTCTGAATTAAGAAATTAATATGGTTGTTTCCTTCCTCTTTAAAACTTACGAAATGTTTTAACAATAGTAAAACACGAGTGATCGAAGTAAATAAAAAATCAAATTGTATACATTAAAAATATTAGATAATATATATATTGATATATTTTGATTTAATAAATAGATAAAGGAAAAAATTGTTCATTGTCACTTACAATTGAAAGTAGACGTTGCATAGCGAATTCATGGCTCCATATGCATTCACACAGATCAGATCTTTCGTCGGCCATCGTGAAATCTATGCTTCAATCAACGTAATGCTTAGTTATTGTATATTAGTATGCTGTAAATGTAAAATCGAATACATTACAAAATTGATGTTAATCATTAAGCCATAATTATAATTGTAATAATTTATATAGTTATTCGAAAGAATCATATTATATAGTATAGCTTGTATAATTATGTATTCTGCTTCATTAACTGACCGCTATTCCCCTTTAATTCTTACAAGTTCCAGTTAATTGACTGTAAGTTGAGATTTTATCTGATTAGCTGTCAGGTCTGTCAGATCAGCTGTTCTAAGATACAAGTAAATTACGAATATCTTACAGTACATTTCACAAAATAATACACAGAATGATATAATTGCAGCAAGAATAATTGTGTTTAGTGATTATAATCTTTATTATTTTATTATGAAGTAAGGAAATATTTTAAAAAAGCAATGTTTTAGATGTATTAGCTTATAAAAATATAAGATTTTAGAATGTAAGATCTTAATCTTATGACTAGCGGAATACTTGCAAGAGATGGCGGGAATAATAATGGTCAGTTAATGAAGCAAAATTCCAGTTGATCAACGTGGCATATGTATTTCTTTTAGTAAAATTAAAAAATTATATTTATATTGATAAAACTTACCAATTCATATTACAGTGTTAATGAAATTTCAGAATATTTTGCGTAATATATATAAAATGTATAGAAATAAAAATTTTCTGTGGTAAATGATCAAATACTTTTATGATCTTTTACATACGTATTATGATATAAACCGATACACCAAAGTACTAGCAACATTCATTTAACAAAATATGAAGGCAACTATCGAAAATGAAAAGAAATATGTTGGATCATGCATTTATACGTATATGTTATATCGTGCTAATTAGAAGATAGAATTACCGGAAATATGTAATTTCCGATAATTCCATCTATTAAAAAATGCTACAATTAATGGTTAACGACTAGAACAAGAAAATACAGGAATATTGTAAAATCGAAATTTGGAACGATTAAGACTATTAAAATCCATATGTAAAAATGTTTTACGTATGCTAAAAAACATCGTACCATATTCAGCATAGTTTTTAGTGGTTTTATTGATGCAAATGCACATGTTGAATATGTATGTGTTTATTTAACCTCTTTTTGTCACTTCTTTTTAGAATTTCAGATCTATAGATCTAATAGATCTGGGATTCCAATCGTTTGATGATTTTTTTCAGAAAATATCTCGAAAAAAAAAATGAAATGTTTCAGTTGGTAGATTAAATAGATTATAGAAAAATATTTACATTCGATATAAATATGCAATAAAGACTATGTTTATGTAAAATAATTATGATCGAGGAAACAACACAAATGGAATGTGATCAGAAAAATTTAACATACAATGATCATATAGACAACATTATTATCGAAGAAAATGATTGTTCAACGATCTACGATTCAACAGCTTGCTCATAATTCATTAATATTACCGCCAAATGGACAAAAAAAGAACAATACAACAAAATTAAACGAATGACGATCGTGAAGGAGAATAGCTTTTATAATAAAATCTTTAGTTTACCTTGGTCAATATAGGAATGATGAATTCTTCGCAACACAGTCGCATTTAACACTGTAAAAAATAAGGATACAAACTGTATTTACATTCGATACACGTCAGCCATTACAGTCGTCCTGTTGTACTTACATATCTCGAATGTTACAATCGAATACTCAAGCTGGATTTTCATTGGTGCATTTCACGGATGTGCATTATATAGTAACTTGGAATTTAGGAATTGGTTATTTGCATCAAATCGTTACACGTTGCATAATAGATAAGATAAAAAACAGAAAAATTTTTAACAAAGTACATTTTTCAATATCGTTGATTTTTAACTAGCAATATCTGATTATTGACGGTGAATAAAAAAATTTATATTTAACATTTTGTACATTTTTATGTACATATTAAAAATATGTAAAATAAGACAAAGTATAATTTCATATACATATAATAAATAATAAAATTGTGTTATATACATATATTACATTAGGGGATTGAAAATGAAATAATACAATAGATAGTTTTGATCTCTTATTGCAAGCAACTTCATAAATATTTACTTCGTATCGTATTTAATTTATTATAATCACATATATCGACATTATCCTAACTCTAAGTCTTGAATCTGAAACATAACAATTATATAAAGTAAAAATACAAGGAAAACACCATACTTAATTACTTAATTCAATTAATTGAAGAATAGCAATACACACCTCTTGAACTTTTTGCATTTCTTGCGTTAATAAATTGTCCAATATTTCTTGAAGTCTTTGCCGCAATTTAACATTTTCAATGTTAGCTATTGCAAGCTCTTGCTGTTGTCTTCTTTGACGCAGTTCAGCTAATTCCGCGTGCAAAGTCGCAAGACGTGTTTGCAGTGAATCTAGTTTTGAAATAAATGGATCATTCGCTCATACATACATACATACATACATATGTAATTATATATGTAATAATGAATTTAATACATATACAAATATATAATACCTTTTGATGCTGAAGCAGGAGATTCTGAAAAGTTTTCTGAAATGATATATTCTGAATGAAATTGTTCAACTTTGGCTACTTTTGACGAAGATGTATCTTCTGGCTTTTCTGCTTCTGCTTCTACATTATTATCATTTTGAAACATTTCTTTGCTGAATACTGTGCAAAGTCTACCATTTGTTTCAATATTGCTAGGTCTTTCTGAATATGCAGCTTGCATAGAATTAGAATCTGATACTCTACTGTCTGCAGAAAGCCGACTGTTCTCATCTAATTCCATTACATTTATATTTGCTTCCTCATCATCTTCTTCACTATCACTTACAAGTTCACCAAATATATCATGTTCCGCTATAAATCATAGATGACAATATTTTATTTATTTTACCGTATAACTTTTTAATTTTTTACTTATACTTTGCCAACTTACCAACATCAAAACTTTGCGATGTGTTACCATTAATACTTTCCCTCTTAGTCTTCACTGTACCAGATGATGAGACTTTGCTCGGTTTTGATTGATCTTCATCTTCGCATATCACTTCCCATTTAACATTAACTGCATCATTATCTACTCTTAACAAACGTTTAACTTCTTTCTCAATTTCTGGTGCTTCTACATATTTCTTCTTCAGGGTTTTCCTAAATCTTCTGCGTCTCACATTTTTAGTAGGGGGAGTTATACCATGTGGCCATAGAAACTTCTTATCCACTTTATTGGGGTCTTTTTTCTTTTGTCTGACTGGAGATTCTTCATCCGTAGTAGTATGGTCATCTTCTTCTTTGCAAATTAACATCTATAGAATTACAAAAGAAATATATATTACATATATAAATAATTTAAAATCAATTGCAAAGAACCTTACCTGACATATATCAGCAGTTTTATAGAAACTCTTGTTATCAATAGTTTTCAAAGATTCTACGATTGTTGGTATATCAACAACCTAAAATTCCAATATTCCTTAGTTATCTTTTTTTTTACTATTATGTTTATATATGAATAAAAACAAAATCTGTAATTTTACCTTTCCGTGAAGAAGCCAATGATCGAATCTAACTTCACCATAACGCATATCATTTTCTAATTTTATACTTAACCTATCTTTTAAAGACAACCCATTCCGTAATGTTTCTCGTAAAACACGTGATGGTTCCTTAAATATTTCAGTTATACAATTTAGTTATATTTAAAATTACATATATTTGTTTTGCTATTTTGAATAACTGAGTTCAATATTAAAGTGTACTTACTGGTGGCAAACGTAAAATAAATTGACTTTCCAATTCGACTTGAGGCTCGCTACGATTTTTATAATCTGTATTTGGATGACGACTCATATTTCTTAAAAATTAATATATTACTAATTTAATTAATATATTATTAATTTAAGTCTATACTTTACAAATAACAAGTCAAAATTATAACCTGTTCAAATAATCGAGTCAGGTAAGTAAAATCGGAAAGTAAACACAACTAGTCACGTGATATTACAGTTACTGGTTGGTAATTGTTAGTGAATTATAATACTTATTTTTAGGGGCAACTTAGTGCAGAAAATGTTCAAATTGAGCTCTTAAATTTCATACGTTTAATTAAATGGAATAAATATGTTTATTTATATTATGTATATCAATATTTTTTTACCTAAGAGGTTATGTTTAAAAAATTAGCATTCTGTTTTGTAATTAGAATCGTGAATCCTCGACTTTATTTCGGAAAATATAAAGATATTAATGCTAACTGAATGGTCAATATTTAGAACTTTTGTAAATCTCATAAATTTGTAATATTGAAGTTTTAAGAATTTAGAGATTTTCTTTATAAAATATATAAATAAAATCTTACTTTTTTATACATCTTTCATTTCAATTCCTGTAGTGTAAGTTTTATACAGTCATTAATGTTCTAACGTCGAACAAAATGTAAGAAAATAATTATTTTCTACTACTCGTAACGTTTACAGACATTATCTTTATTATGATAAAAATAAGAGATAATATAATTATAATAATAACAATAAATAAATAAACATAGTTAATGTAATTGTACATAAAAAATTAGATATAAATAAGGAAAAATGCATTACATTATTCAAAAAAACATCTCTGATTATTACAATAATTACTGTAGTAATTATATAATAATCCACTTAATTTATTAAATTATCTTCACTAGATAGAGATAAAATATTCTTATTTATTATGACGTCAGTTATGACGTACTGATAACCACTGTCAGATTTGTTTAGTGTAAAAGAATATATATGTAGATAGTGTTTCTTTCAGACTCAGCACTTCGCTTTGAGTTCTGCTTTGAGAACGAGTTAGACAAATCTATTCTTCATGTTTGATTTATAACTCATAACTTATATAATTATATCATATTTTTAGAAAATTGATTTTTTATTGATTATATATTTTTAGTTGTGCAACGTAGCATGTGAAGATACATATGGACATCAATAAATTTTGGTAAATAATTTGCAAAAACAATTTTTTGAAATAAGCTTCTGAAAAATGTTTCTTTTATTGTGTTTTTTACGACATCGATGACACGTGTTGCGCATTTATTGCAAGTTATTCACAATTTTAATTCATCAAAACATTATTCATACTATATCTGAACTTATTTTCTTTATTAAGATTTCACCGATCTATATCATATACGATAGGAGAGTATTTATATACATTTTATTGATCGAATAATGATTTCATAGATTGAATAATGAGTTTAATTGAATCATATTAATATGTACGATTGTTTCATTGGTTCGATAGATATAGTGGCTCAGACAAATAATTGAACACTTGCCATCAAAAACTTTTTAAATTTACATTGTGTTATATAAAACATTTTCAAAACGTTTAAAATTTTCTTAGCACTAGCGAAATACGATTGTCCTATAATTATATCGGTAAGATTTAAAATCAATCTGAAAATGTATATAAAAATTAGAGAATATCTGCAAACATGTATCTAATTAATTTAATTGTATGACATTAAGTCCAACTGAATATTGAGGTTTATGTAATGGATAATTGACAATTCAGATACTTTTATGATCTCCGCAAGATATATATACTGGCATTAGATATCTTATAATAAATTTTATCAATATAATCATAATAATCGGATCTCCTTATAATGCAAATAAAATTGCTACATGTTTTCTGTAATACATAAATATAATCAGAAAATTTTTCTACAAGTATTTTTGCGACTATAGATTGTGTATGTCGTTCTTGTGTAGGTTTAGGAGCAATTTTCGTTCGTAAAAATGTTTACACTTAATCCAGTTTTCATCGATAATAGGGAATATAGTAGCAACGTTTTATGCGTCGTACATTTTCATTCTGAATAACTTAGTAGGTCCATATGTTTATAGTTAAGCTATAACAGTAAGTGATCAATGGAACATCAGACTTTGCGCTCGCGCCGTCGTACTTCACTCGTCAATGTATATTCCCTCTTCTTTGCTTCGAATGTTTATACTTAAATCAGTAAAAAATTAGTTAATTTCTAAATTGTAATCAGAGTTATAAATTCGAATTCCATATATAATGATAAATATATAACATTCGTACTATCGTTCTTTTATACTTTGATACACTTCCTTCGAGTGTAATTAATCATTATAATATATACAAGTATTGACTACACAAACAATTGTTCGAAATCAGGTATGTTATAATTACTTTATATAATACCTTTTTTTATATATGCACTTTGCAGTTAGTTCGCACACCTTAGTAGTAATATTATTTGCACGATTTTAGACGCATGATAGTATAACAAGTGATATAGCTGATGCATTTTTACTTTGTCATTTTTGTTCGAGTAATTGCTGTTCATTATAGCGCTTATTTTGTAAAGGAATACATCACGTAAAATAGCATAGATATTTAATTATCGTTACATAGCGTTTTATGATAACATACATTATTTGCTGACCTTTATTATGCTTAGTATCTCTTATAATACTTAATGATTGATATATCTGTAATCATTTCTTATTTTTCAGTTATGTATTATATTTCTTTTATTTTTTATTAACATGAATATTAACATTGTTAAATAGCTCTTTTATTTACTTTAGATTCTACCATAAAATTATATAATAAGGCCATTATGATTATAAAACATATATATTTAATGTGATAGATTCGTCATGTTTTCCCCACCAATTTTGGTACCTGGAAGTGAACATCGAGCATCACAATCTGAAACTCATTCTATGTCTGTTGGGAGTACTTCTGATTCCTTTAAGACTATGACACCACCGAATGTAAGCAGATCACTTAGTAACCGTAAGTATATAAATTTTATAATTATATTTTTAAGAAATATTCTTAAAATCATCTTCATATTCTTAAAATGTACCATGAAAGAAGAAGTTATCAATGAATAATCAATGAACATAAATATCAAATTAATTGTATATGTAATTATATAAGAATTAAGTATTTGTATTAAGAAAATATACACTATAGAACAATTCTTTTTTTTTATCAAAATTTGAATAGTGATTAGTTTTTAGTTTTAGTTTTGATTTATATGTTTTCCCTTGAATTATGCTTTCTTAAAAATAAGTTTTAAAATTAGATATGTATATTTACATTAGTGGCTACATTGCCCATATAATTTTAGTGACTAAAAATATTGTAATTAATGATGAATAGTATTTGAAATGAATATACTATAAGTGATTACGATTTAAAGGTATTAGTGACAGTGGATATGGTACATTACCAAGTAAGCTAGGTAGGCTTATTAATATGTATTGTGTGCATTTAGTAGCAAGCCTCAATATTAGAATCACAAAAATGAATAAGTAGATATGTGTATACACATATGTATAATATTCTATTTTCAGATTACACATATTATTAACATTCTCTCATTTTCAATAATTTATTGCATCATTACTTTATGTTATCAAATAAACTATAAATAAAATTTACAATACACAATTGATCTCATTTGTTATACAAATATAATCTTTGTTAACATTGTCACATTAAACAAAAAGATAACTTGTAGAATTATTAAAATGCTGTTGAATGTATCAGATTAACATAATACATTCATGCTGTTAGCACATTTTTCACTTTTTAGTATATCATAGTATATTGTATAACATGGACGTTTATTCATAAGTTTATTTAAGGAATATTATATATAAGTTAGAAAATAATTTAGTTTTTTTAAGTTTCCAATACTTTTAATGCATGAATCAATTTTATGTTTCTTAATGTAGTATGATTGATGCATGTGCCAATACCAAAAATTTATTATTATTTCTGCTTTATAGTTCTCAATAGTATTATAAATACTGTTTATTTAGAAACATATTTTTCAATATTTAAAACATATATAATGTTTTAACAACAATATGTTGTGCAGGTAAACTTTTCCAGTGTATTTATAGACTTTTGCATGTTGTAATAGATGTAATAGATGTTTTGTTTAATATTAAAATTTTTTTGCTTTTGCGATTTAATAAATTGAATTAAAATTTGCAGCTACATTGTATATAATTATGTTTATTGCAAATTTTGTCTTAAAAAATTAATGTTATTAGCAGTCCACAATTAGTGTTGCTAAAATGGATTTATAATTTAGAATGTGATATGGTATAATTTAATCTTAGTATTTTTATTGTTCAATAGTTTATGGCTTAAAAATTTAAAAAGTTTGTGACTTTTCAAGATAGATATATAAATTTAAAAAATAAATATTTTCATGAAACAGTTGTAAAAATATTGATAAATAGTAATTGTAATTGAAAACAAAACTAAATATATAGAACCAGTGGATCAACATCTTCGACGAAGCAGTGTTCAAGTTCAATCTGCAACATTACCTAAACTTCCATCAACAGAGTCCCTATCAACAACTGTAAATTTTGCAACTGCTGCACCTCCACTATCTCCAGGTATAAACACAAAGCTATGTTAATATCATAATGGACAATTATTCGAAATTTGTCAGGTGCTTTTTTGACTTTTATGTAAATTATTATTCCTTACTCGTTCAAGTAGTTGATTAGCTATAAGAAATTGCATATTTTTGATTTCCTGTTTGGCTTATATTTTCCCATACTATGCATATTATTATTCAGATTTGTAAGCTCTGAAATGTAATTTTTGTATATTGTATAATCTTCTTTGGCTGACAGATTATTAAATATATATATTATATAGATTATTATTATAAATATAAGTTTTAATTAAATAATATTTCTGTATAATAATTACATATAAAATATATAGTTTATAAGTATTATATAGTTTAATTATTGTCTAAGATAAATATTATCAAATTTTATTAAATGTGATTTTTAACACGGATGCAAAAAATGTGAGATTAAAAAAATTAATATACAAAGATGCTAACTGCATAATGCGTTATGTTAATAAGAATTATTATATCAAATAATTTTATTTGTATAAAAATATAAACTAATTATTATACTTTGTAATTATTAAGAAAGTACAAAATGTTCTTTTAAAAATTTATAAACTTTACAATGAAACATGTGAACTTTTAGGACAATAAGTTTGTATTTTTATAAAATTATTAAAATTCTATTTGCTAAGCTTGTTATGTGAATGTTTTAAGCTTGGTTGTTTTTAAGGCTTTTGAGTTTACTTAAATGTAAACAAAAAAAAAATTATTCATTGAATCATTCATTAAATCGATTTTTATATGATGGTTCATTAAATCATTTATCAACTTTGTATAAATATTGTTATTTATGCCTTTTAATCAAAACACATCTTAATATGAAAATTTAAAAAAATATTCATAAAAATCATTCTAAAAATCTCAAGTTAATAATGTTACTTGCAATAGTTAATATTTAATCATATAATTCATATTAAAATTATAGTAATTAAATATAAATATATTCTGGATAATAAATATTTAATATTTTTTGTTTATAACTATTTTTAAACATTAATATTTATTACTAAGTTAATATTTACTAAATGTAATTGTATTTTTATGTTATATTTATGTCATTGTTTAATTGGTATTTAATCAAATAATTTGTGAATAATTCACAATTGTTATAGGATTAACAACTACAATGGGAGAAACTAATCAAAAAACAGATAATGCATCTGATAAGGTATAAGATATTTTATTTATATTTTTGTTTTAAGATATTAAACAAATATATTAAACATTAAACAGATATTTACATTTTATTTTTGTAAAATTTTTAGTCTTTAGATTCTTCTAAATTAACAAGAAAAGAATCATACAAAGCTCAAAGGAAGAATTACCGAATGGAGAAGAAAAGAGTTGCCAATGAACTCTTAAGCTCATTTAAGGATCCAACTGTTATTGTGATGAGTGATTGGCTTAAAGTTCGTGGTACATTAAAAAGTTGGACAAAATTATGGTGTATTCTGAAGCCTGGTTTACTACTGTTATACAAAAGTCCAAAAACAAAAGTGCTCATTTATGTTATTTTTAAATAAAATATTTATTTGTTTCAATCAAACTTATATACATATAAATAATTATTACAGAGTAATCATTGGGTGGGAACGGTTTTACTTAATACATGTCAAGTAATAGAACGTCCAAGTAAGAAAGATGGATTTTGTTTTAAATTATTTCATCCTTTGGAACAATCAATATGGGCTCCAAGAGGTCCGGAAAAAGAAGCTATTGGTAAATAATGAATTTTCTATAATAAAAAGATATATTTTTACTCAATTATTTTTATAGGTGCTGTTGTACAACCTTTGCCAACATCTTACTTAATATTTAGAGCACCTTCACAGGCAGCTGGTAAATGTTGGTTGGATGCACTTGAATTATCTTTACGTTATTCGTCTTTGATAGTGCGTTCAACAAGTGCCTTGCCACGTACTTTACCACATGATACTACAACAACTCATGAAACTCAATGGAGTGAAGCAGATTATGAAAAATACTTTGATGAACATGGTAGGCATAACAAAGTAACATCTTTTGTAATATAAAATTAATGTTATATTATATAAAACACTAGCTTTTATTAAACTACTTTTTGTTCCTTTAAGAAATTTACCTCATATAGAAAGTAATATTCCTCTTTCATACATTGATATATTATACTTGATTTTAGTGAAGGATAGCATTCAGAAAAATATTTTAGTTAAGTTTCATTCTTGGAAGTTATTGGTATTAATTACACTGTTATTGTCATTCCTTTCCGAACGTTTATTACCTTAAATACTTGCTTTTAATATCCGCAGTATGTTTGTCTAATTATGCTCCTCGTTCACCTACAACACCTCAAAGACGTTTATTATCGTGTCCTCAGCCTTTGGTATCTTCTATACCGAATGATCCCAAAAGTGTTTGTCCATCACCGACTCCAATGTTTCAGCAGCTATATCATGCAATAGCATATTGGGACAAACAATTTCGTGATAAATCTCCACCTCTGGCTGCAGATGCAGAAATTACTTTATCTTCAAATTCTGTAGATTTATTAGGTGATGGAGATACTTATTCCCATTTTGATTCTTCTACCTCTAAGCCTATCCCGTCTTGCACTCGGCGCATGACTGTTCCCTCTGTACATGTCCTGGAGTATGATAGCCCAACAGTAGTAACGCTAGCTCCTATGCACTCCTCACATACAGACCTGGACGATATTAGCCAGCCAGAAAATGGAGTAGCAGCTGATGCAGAAATTAGTGCTTCGGACAGCGAATCTGAAGGATCAGCTAAAGAAGATCAACAAGAAACAATTAACGAAACTCCATATGCTGCCAATGAACAAGAAGTCCTTGGAGCGGTAAAATAAATTATATCCTGCATTTTATATGTAATCAAGATCAAAGTTCTGATATTTGTATTTATATCACAGGCTGGAGAAGTTGTTACGGAATTACAGGAAGAACAAAAATCTTTAATATGGTTCTTAATGAAACAAGTTCGACCAGGCATGGATTTATCGAAAGTAGTCTTACCGACTTTTATTTTAGAACCTCGTTCATTTCTAGAAAAATTGGCTGATTCTTATTACCATGCAGATTTATTGTCTCAGTAAGTATAAGTCTGCAAATTATGTGAAATAAAATTAGATGTATATGTATGCTTTGTTTCTTGGTCTTATAGAGCAGTAGTGGAAGATGATGCATTTACACGTATGAAAGGTGTTGTTAAATGGTATTTATCTGGATTTTATAAAAAACCTCAAGGTTTAAAGAAACCATATAATCCGCTTTTGGGTGAAACTTTCCGCTGCTATTGGCAGCATCCTAATGGTTCGAGAACTTTCTATATAGCTGAACAGGTAATTTTTTTGTAATTGTATATACTATTACATCATCATTATTATTATTATTATTATTATTATTATTATTATTATTAGTATTATTATTATTATTATTAGTATTATTATTATTATTAGTATTATTATTATTATTATTATTATTATTATTATTAGTATTATTATTATTATTACATACTTACACAAAATATCTCAAATCTTAATAGCTCTCTCATCATCCACCTATATCAGGGTTTTACGTTACAAATCGACAAGATGGATTTACTATTAGTGCTACAATTATTGCTAAATCTAAATTTTATGGTAAATATAAATATTCTTTATTTTTTTCAAGAAATAAACAAAAAAGCGAAAAAATTTTATATTGAGATATTCACAATGTAATAATATATATTCTATTTTTTAGGAAATTCAACATCAGCAGTTTTAGATGGTGTTGCAATACTAACAATGTTGCCCAGAGGAGAAGATTATACAATGACAATACCTTATGCCCATTGTAAAGGAATTCTTATGGGAACATTGTCTATGGAATTAGGTGGAAAAGTTCACATAAATTGTGAGAAAACAGGCTATCATACTGAACTAGAATTTAAACTTAAGGTAATATGGAATTTTATATATATGTAAAGTTAAAATAATAAATATAAAATTGATTATTCATTCAATAGCCATTTCTTGGAGGTGCAGAACAAATGAATCAAGTTGTAGGAGCAATACGTTTAGGAAAAGAAACTCTTGCCACTATATCAGGTTATTGGGATGGTCAAATACTGATTACAGATAAAAGAACTAAGGTATGTTGATTATCTAGAATTTTAAATACAACAATTAATACTGTCAATTAATCTTGCAGCAAGAAAATGTATTCTTCAATCCTACTTCAGAAGTACGCAAAAACAGATTGAAAAAATACACTGTGCCTTTAGAACATCAAGGTCCATGGGAGAGTGAGAAATTATGGATTGATGTTACTCAGGCAATTAATCGAGATGATCAAATAGCTGCCACTGAAGCAAAAACTCAATTGGAAGAAGCACAAAGAGAACGTGCTAAAGAACGAAAAATTAAAGGACAGGAATGGATTCCCAAGCATTTTGTTCAGGTATTAGATAATAATAAAAGTAAATAATTAAAATCTTATTTATATTCTGAATAATATTATTTTTTCAATATCAACAGGATATTATAACAGGTAATTGGGTTTATCGACATGCGGACGTTCGACCATGGGATCCTAGAAATGATGTTGTGCAATATGAACAAGATTATATAGTGCGTACGAAAACTAGACACAAAACACCAATTATGCGTACTGGTAGTATCGTATCTGCTGAACCACAGACACAGGTATAGGAATATAAAGTTATATGTATTTTATTACATATATATATATATACATACACACACCATTATATATATATGATTTTATGCCATAAGTTATCAAATTTTTGATAAAAACATTCATAATTCATGACTTTTATTGATAATTGTACTTTGAAAAAGGAAAAATAATTATATACAATAAATTTTCCACTCATTTCTATAAAATAAAATAACCATTTTGAAAGGTTATCATTTATGTTATAGGTGCCACTTCTTCAAGCTGATTCACGTTCTTCGCTTTCTGTATTAAAATCTTCTAAAAGACAATTGTCTAATAATTTACCATTAACAGAGACTGCTCATGATTCTGGAAGTTCTTCTGCAGAAGTACACTCAGATTCTAGTCAGTCAGTAGGTAAAAGAAAACGTTCTACAGCACGGTAAGTTTTTCAATTATTTTATTCAAATATAGAATAATAATTATATACTTTTTAATAACTTTGATTAATACAATATACTTCCAGGATAATAGATGTTATTAAAGATGTAGAAAGACAAATGTTAGAACATGGTGATAGACTTAATCGTATACAACATATATTAGAGCAACTTGCTATAAAACAAAGAGAACAAGGTGATCAACACCATAGTATAAGTATGTTGAAAAGCTTCATAGATACGATTCTTGTTATTATAATAGTTTTCTCTGTACAATACTTTGTAAAAATATGGACCGACGAACCTAGTGGAGGTTGAAGAGTACACTAATAAGATCGTAGTAAATTGTACATATTATTTATCTTGTCTCAATTTGAATTAGCTTTTGTGTCAGGAAAAAGCTTTGAAAAGAGAAATCTTAAAATTTAAAGTACCTAATTTGTACATGTTTTTTAGCGAAGATAATAAAACATGTTATTTTTAATAGAATATCGCTAAAAGAATAGAATAAAAAGATTTAAAACTATTAAAGATATATTTATTTAGATAACACACAGTGCAATGTTATTTCATTTATAGCTTTCGAAAATTAAAATTTTGATTTGTAAAATGATATATTCTTTGACTATATGAATGTAGACTTCATTTTCTAGTACTAATGTAATGCTTTTAGTCTTTGTTAAACGTTCCTCACAACAGCAATGAACTATACGAGATAAAGGGATTGAATTTCTTTGAGCTTATCATGTATGTAATATTTTTATGTGCTAATGCACAAGAAAATCATTATATATTTATTCAGAAATTCTAACGATGTTATAGTATTTATTGCAGGCGCTCAATAGTAAACTGTATCGATAATAATAAGATTATTATAAAGGTATAACATGCATATAAATTTTATTATCTTACGATTATAAAACATGGAAAGCTAATTGCAGTTTCAAGTAAAACATAGAATCAATTTTATAGTGTTTATTTATGGATTGATCGTAATTTGAAAATATTAAATGATCATCAGTATTATTATTATTATTATAATTAGTAAATAGAAACTCTTAATAAAATAAGTACCAAAAATATTCAAATTGTTCATATAATATGAAACAAGAACGTCCAAATTTTTCGTACATAGCTTGAATTATGATTTTATTTTGTATCATTTGAATTTTTCTATTCATAAATATATTATGATATATTTAATATTAGAGCAACATTATGCTTTTATATTTAGAATGATTTATATTGATGATAGTTTTATAGTCTAATAATTTAAGGCATATTTTTAAAAATACTTAAATATGCTACATATTTAGAGCGATTGCACCTTTACGATTTATTATGTAAATTTGCTGTGTTTAGATATGATTCAACATTTATTTCAAAAATAGAAATAAATTTCTAACTAACGTACTTTTTAAATAACTACTTTTATACCACAGTAATTACATTGTTAAAATAACAATTTATAACAAATGATCTTCAAATTTAGTAATATGTTATATCAAATTAAAAATGTGGACAATATATACAATAAATACATTAATAATTTTGTAACAATCCAAGTTTAAAATTGGCTTTTTAACTCAGAATAAAATAGTAATTTAAATAGCATTCAATATTTTTTTTATGGAAAGTTTATATAAAAATAAAATTTAATTGATGTTTTTATATTATACTTTAATATTTAAAAGATTTTCTTTTCATTAAAGAATACTGAAATGTTTATATAATAATATGTTTATTATTAGTATAAATTCATTCCTGTTATAAAAGTAAATGTTAATAATATCATCTATAAAATTTCAATATCATAATAAGAATTTTGTTAAATAATAATTTTCATTGAATATCATTTTTTTAAGAACAAAGAAATAAAACAATCCTCAATTGTTAATATCTTTATTTGTATAAAAATTTTGGGATATAGAATCAAATATTCTATCGTATAATTATTCAATCACTTAAGACATTGTAATATTTATCAAAATTTATTATTAGCTTTTTTTCATGATGTTGTTTTAAAAAGAATTGAAGAAAAATATTTGTTCTCTTTAAACACTGCAATTAGCTCTAAAAATTATTTTTTTTTTTTTGTAAATTTATATATCTTATTTTAATTCATTTTGTCGATACTTGTACATAAAAGAAAAGAAGATTCAAGTACGGCCTTAATATCTATATCGCATTTTGCACAAAACTTCGTAATTATTTTCTATTTGTACTATTTTTATTTAATTTTTCACATATAAAATGGTTGATTATAATTGAGTAATTCCTGATATCTCAATGTAAAAATGTTATAAATAAACCAAGAAAAATAAGTTGTTAAATACACGAACATCTTTCAATTTACTTTTTGTAATATTTGCCACATCATGAAATACTTTCCATAGTAGAGTACCTGATATTTTTATATTGTAATTTGCTTAAGTTCGAAAGATTATATATATATTAAAATTTGTTGTGATAGTTTAATGTTGTAGTTTTAAGATTATGAAATTAAGAAAGAAGGTATCGCGAATTAATTATAAATATTCTTGTGTTATAAATCCAAACATATAAATTTTATATATATAAATAATTATTAAAAGTATACAACTTCAAGTTTCTTAATGTATGCATATATGTATGTATGTATCTTTTTAAATATTTGCATTGTATTTTAATTTATTGTTTATATTAAGAATAATTTGGTATTGTAAGAGATAATATAATATAATATAATAATAAATAAAGGACATACTTAAAATAAAACACGAGAATTGCATTTACAAAATAATTTATTTATAACAAAACAAACCAAAACAAAAACTATGTGGAAGCATTCATCTTTTTCATTATGGCGTAATTTATAAAAATATAAATTATAAAATTGATTTTTATTAATACTTATAAATTTTAATGTATACTCTAACAATTTTAATAATTTCCTTCAAGTAATAATGTGTTTGGATGAACAAAATTATCAGAAAAAAAAGAAAAGGAAACAATATTTTTAATTTATATAAAATGAATCTTCATAATGATAACTCAACCATGTCACGTGAGATATTGTTAAAATATATTTTCTTCTTAAAATATTGTTTTCTACAGTATTGATTTCATATTTTTTATTATTTTATTAAATCGAACGTTTTGGTAGTTTTTATGTATTCTTAATTTATATTTTCATATTAAAAATTATATTGTTATTTCCTAGATTATATCAATATCATTCTGCTTTTCTGTAAATCAATTAGGTGATCATATTTCAATAACACCGCAGATGATATTTGCAGCGCTAAAAAAGCTTCAATTACGTAAAGTTTATGTTCCATTGAATCTTATTAGCGAATATTTACGTCGTTCCTATCCAGTTGAAAATAATGTAAAAATATTTACTGAGGAATTAAAAAGAAAATTGAATTGTGCTGTACGTGTCGGATTAATATTAAAACATGGAGAGGATTCGTATTATTTACCTACTTTAAGACAAGAAGCAAATGCGCTTAAAACAGCATTCACTGCATTTTGGGAAATATATAAAAACGTACTTACATATAAATGCAATTTTATTCATGATTATACAATTTTTCAAATTTATATTTGTAAATTTGTATTATGTCCCTTAATTTCTGAAATCTTTCTAAAATATTTTTAAAATCTAACTAAATATTTCTTTTAGTATTCCAGACTCCCTGTCTCAAAAATTAAAAACCAGCACAGAACTTATTCTACACTAAAAAAACGAACCAAAAGTGCGAAATATTCCAAAAATAATAACAATCATAGTAAATAAAGATATAATCAGTTCATTGTTTTATGTACGCAATTAAAATATTTAAATGAAATTAATGCATGAAAAAAAAAGAAGTTTCGAGACACTCTGTATTAATTGCCATAATACAAATTGTATTCCAATAATATTGCAAAATACAAATTGCAGTAATACAGTAGTAATAAAAATGAGTAATATTTCAAAGTAGGTCAGTATAAAGTATATATTATAAGAATCATTATATTTTGACATTATTGTTAATATTAAATGGTTTATAGTTTCCTAATTATACAATTATTTTATATATGCTTTAAGATGGAAAGAAAATAACAAATTTTGAGTAAATGAATTTTACATAAATTTACTAAAATGAGACTATTTATTACATACAATGAATATAAATTATAATTTTATTATATTTTATATTTATTTTATGTCTTTATATATATATTGAAAAAATATATTGATCAATTTTATAAAAATATTTCATTTTACACATATTATAAAAATTAATACTTCACTTTTTAAACTTATATTATAAAAATCGATTTATTTTTCAAAACATTTCTTTATACATATATCACAGTATCACCAGCATGAATACCAGTACATATACCACGTAAATATTATACAATCAAATAGGTATAAAGAAACGATTATTTCAATTATAATATGCTCGATTTAAATCATTGTCACTGTAAAATATTCAAAATTATTTTCAATTATTTAATTATTTATTTATGTTTTTTGTCTTTTTACATCGGTGGAAACATTGGTTTAATTTTTGATAAAAATATATTAAAGACTTTTAACAAACTTGGACATCCTTGAAAAGTGAAATTTATATGTTCTTCAATATTATGGTATCTTTTAAAATAATTACTCAAATTATACAATAGAGTACCATTAAAAAAATGTTCGACTTTAGTTTGTGGATAAGGATATCCCAAAAGTAAATTTAAATACAAAGAAAATTTCAAACAACTTTGGAATTCTGCAAATGTATGTACAATATTTCTGTCGTAGATATTTGGATTTCTAATTAATTCTCTCTGTACTTGAAAATGATAAACAAAAAATGGTGCTGCTAATACACAATCGTTATAGTCAATTTTATTATAGGCCTCCATGAACGTATCATCCATTGTATAATGTAAACTATTGTTCTTTTTCCTTATCTGCTGCAAAATTTCACTTATGTAACAATATTTATCCCGAAAAATGTTCAAACTTCTGTATTTTCCAATTCTGGAATCTATTATGTTAAATAACATAGAAAGAAGTATAGAATACAAATAACATTTATTGGATGCAGGAGATCCTTGTTGATGTATCCAATAGACGATGCATCCAACATACAATCTCCATTCTGGTGGTAGTTCATTTATACAATCTGTATCTCTAATTCCCAAAGTATTATTTATAATCTCTAGTTGAAAACATAATGGAATTTGATTAAGCTGAAATAGAGAAGGAAGTTTGCACATATTCGTAATATTCGCACTTTGTAACTTATAAGAAGCAACATTGTTATTTTGATTTCTCATTACACATATTACATGTTGCAGATTGTTCTTTACTGTTATTTTTAGAATTCCAATTATAACACTAAGGATTTTGAAACCTTTTATAGCACTGGTGGTATAATAATAGTTTTCCATTTGTATGGGACAAAAATATAAACGTCGAAGTGCTAAATCAACGATAAACGTTGGATATTTTCCCATACGATATTCATCTACAAACCATGTAGGCAAATTAGTAATAGCTGCATGTTTAGACAGTAATTCATATTCACTAAATAAATATGCTATATTAGGATCATCATCATAATCATCATCATCATCATCATCATCATAATCATAATCATAATCATAATCATAATCATAATCATAATCATAATTATCTTCATTTATTCTATTATTTATTCTATCACTTTCTCCTCCGCGAAATTCTTCAACATAGCTCATTGTATTGATATCTGCAGTGTATTTAAAATTTCTATTTAAATAAAAGGTATTTAAATGAGTAATATAATCTTTTGAGAAACCTAGAGACATAAGTATATCGGCAAATTCAGTCATAGAGCCATTTACACTCATCTCTATTAAAATTAATATTTTTTCTCGCATAGATACAGGTATTCTACATAAAATTGCAGTAATAAGAGTATTCAAATTATATTTACCCAACCACGACAGTACTTTGTCTATGCAATATCGCCGGTAATTACAACTTTTATCTGATGTTTTTAGCTTTAAGTAACGAAAAAAGTTCCTGAATGTACCAGATTCAAAATCTTCATCGTCTAACAGTATTGATGCTAATACCAACTTTGTTTCATTTAATCCTTCAAAACATTTGAACAAATTCTCAATTTTATATATTTTACAAGGTTTCATGTAACCATTTCCATATGGATTTTTAACTATAACAGTATCGAATGTATGAAATGGTATATATAAACATCCAAACATATAAAAATCTGACTGACAGCTGAGTATTGGACAATTCAAGAGCTTCGCTATTACAGCTATATCGTTATATACTTCTAATAGACACTGCATATGTCGAATATTTTTTTCTTTTATTATACGAAAAAAAATTTGGTCTTTTAGCAAAGGAAAAATTTTACGATGATCAATGTTTGGTTTAAATGGAGCAACTAACAATGCATCCATTCTTTCTCTTATTTTTCTCATACGAACGTGAAGCTTCTTATTTTCAATACCATCATCAATAAAAACTAAGGGTGTTACATTACACTTAAACAATTCATCAAAAAAATCTGATACGCATTGTGCATAAACATCATAATCACCACCAAATGCCCAGTTTTCATTTGTACATTTACTATATAATAAATGAGAAACATTGCGTCCATCAATTAGTAAATATGTATCATGTAATTTGTAATCTTCTAAATATTTTTCACCTTCGTTTATATAAGTGGTTAATCCTGGAATTCCCATTATTTTCTTTATCCAAGTTTTATGTCACAATGTAACTGTGAAATATAAAATAAAATGATACTTATTTGTTAACAATATACACGGGTATATTATATTAAAAGAATATTAAAAGAATAATACTAACAAATATATAACAAAACTTTAATCAGTATTTTCAATAAATTAAATAAAACTTTATGTATCAGCAAATATCAGTATTGTGTTGTTCACTAATTCAATTTCATCTAACAATTTCCACTAACGATTAAAGTGCCTGTCTCACCTTGATATTTAAATTTTCATATACATAACATACATGTTATATGATAATAAACATAATAACTGAAAATATAATATAAATAGAATGGTTCTGTCATCTTGTCTTTCGATCTTTCGCAGTTATGTTTTCGTGAAATGTAGTCCACATTTTGTAATCCATATTTTTCATATAATTTTTTAATTATTTATAAATATCTTTCTAATCATTTTTATTTAAAAAAAAAATTCTTTTTAATCCAATAAAACAGATATATGAATTCTACTTTAGCTATTGGACAATGTCATATTTACAGTTTCATTAGGACCTAGTAAAGTATGTAATATCTTAGTCGAAAGCATATTTCTTTTGTGAATTTACGGAAATTTGGACTATCATTGTAACCCATGAGATATAAGCTTTCATATGCCTTCCTATTCCTTGTTCCAATAATTAAAGTGGTGTCATGTCGCACTTTTGATTCACAAAAATATTTGGACACAATATATTTCTGATCTTGTCCTTCTAAGGACTTGATATCTTAGGAGTAACTTATGTTTACAAACAGAATACAATATAAATGCACTATACGAATGTACTTCACTTATATCATTTACTTGATCGAACTTTTACCTGATCCTATCTATTATATAAATCTAAAAACTATTTGTAACATATATATACATATTTTACTATAATATTGAATAAATGCAAGTTTTATACAAGGTTAAGTATAGAGAAACGATTATTTGAATCATAATGTGGATCATGTAGATTATCATCGGCACTAAAATATTCAGAATCACTCGTAGCTGAATTATTTTTGTTAGACTTTGAACGTTTACGTCTCTTTTTATGTTTTCTATGAGGATTGATTTCATCTTGAAGCACATGTGAAAACATTGGTTTAATTTTTAATAAAAATATATGAAATAATCTTAACAGGCTTGGAGATGTTTGAAGAATAGTATTTATATATTGTTCAATATTACGGCGTGTTTTAAAATTATTGCTCAGATTATACAACAGAGTACCATTAAATAAATTTGCAATTTTGATGTGTGGATAAGGATATCTTAAAAGTGCATTCAAATGCATGGCATGTCTCACACAACTTTGAAATTCTGCAAAAACATGTACAGTATATCTACTAAATATTTTTGGGTTTGTATATAATTCTTTGTTTATTTTAAAATGAGAAATAAAAAACGGTGCTGCTAATACACAATCATGATGGTCAATTTCATTGTAGGCTTCAATGATTGTACTATCCATTGTATAAGAGTTATAATTGTCGTTTTTCCTCTCCTGCTTTATAGTTTCGATTATTTGACAATACTTGTTCTGAAAGATATGCATATTTCTATATTTTCCAATTTTGGAATCTATTATGTTAAATAACATGGAAATAAATATAGAATACAAATAATATTTATGAAATGTAGAATATTCCTGTTGATACATCCAATATTTGATGCATCCAACATACAACATCCATTCTGGTGGTAGTTCATTTATACAATCCATATTTGTAATTCCCAAAGTGTTATTTAAAATCTTGCTACGAATAGGTAATGGGATTTCTTTAAGATTGAATAAAGAAGGAAGTTCACACATATTCATAATCTTTGTAACCTCTAATGTACACCACTTCATTTTTCTGTTTTCATTTCTTACCAGATATTTCATATAACATTTATCGTCTATTGGTGATTTTAAAATTCCAAATATTACACTAAGAATTTTTAAACTTGCCATAACGCTGGAGGGATAACTGCAATCTTCTACTTGTACAGGGCAAATATATGAACATCGTACTATTAAATCCATAAAATATGATGGATATTCACTCATAAGAATTTCATTTTTAAACCACAGAGGTAAATTAATAACAGCTGCATTTTTAGACATTGATTTGAACTCATCAAATATATCTGTTATTTCTATTTCATCATCTTCTTCTTCCTTTTCACTACTTTCTTCTTTGCAACCTTCTTCAATGTATGCCAATGTATTGATGTCTCCATTAAATTTGAAATTTCTATTCAAATGATTTATATTTACACGAGTTGTTGGAAAACCTAGAGGTATAAGTATCTCAGTAGATATGTTTAGATAACTATTTATATTGACTTCTATTAAATCTAATATTTTCAGTCGTATAGGCTTAATTAACCTACTTAAAACTTCTGTGATAGCATTGTTCAAAGTGTGCTTACTCAACCAGATCAAAGTTCTTTCTATACAACATTGTCGATGATTACGCTTCTTGTTTGATGCACCTCTTAGTTTCAAGTGACGAAAAAAATTCTTGAATATTTTATATTTCACATAGTCATTACCTAATAATACTGCAGCCAATGGCAACATTGTTTGATTTAATCCTTTGAAAGATTTGAGCAAGTTCTCAACTTTATAAATTTTACAACATTTCATATAACCATTTCCATTTGGATTTTTCTTTACATTAGTATCTAATGAATTAAATGGTATAAACAAAGCTCCATATATATAAAAATCTGAATCATAGCTAAGCACTGGGCAATTCAGGATTTTTGCTACTGACGCTATATCATTGTCAGCTTCAAACAGACATTGTACATGTCGAATATTTTTTTCTCTCATTACATCTCTGAATATTTCCTTTAATAACAAAGGAATAGATTTAGCATTCTCTTGACTAAGTGGACAAAACGAGCATGCAGCATTAATTCTTTCTCTAGTCCTTTGTATAATAGTTCTCAATTTTTTATCTTCTGTACCACCATCAAGTATAACCAAAGGAGTTACATTACACTTTAATAAATCATCGAAGAACTTTGTCACACATTGCGCATAATTATCATAATCACCACCAAATGCACAATTACTCTTCGTATATGAATTATATATTGAATAACAAACATTGTTTCCATCAATTACTAAATATGTATTGTGCAATTCATAATATTCTAAATAGATGTCTGAATGATTGTTCACGAAAGTAGTTAATCCAGGAATTCCCATTATGAATCTTCTTGCTTATATTTTTTCCTAAATTCAATGTCATAAATTAAACATACTACACGCGAGGAAAAAGAGATTAAATAAATGAAAATATAAGTAAAAAATGTAGAATAAAGTTTTTTCATTTAAAGCTTCATGTTCAAGGAAATAGACTTGGAATATATTTCGTTAAAAATTTCGCGTACCTGATAAATTTTTAAATTTTCACTCGATTTTCTTAAAAACGATGCATTTTACGATAAAAATTTCAATCTACATTTTCACACGTAAAATAATCTCCTATTAAACATGCAATGTGAATCACTCCTAGGATAAGTGCCGGAACTAATTTATATTGTTTTATCGCACGCTTTTGCCCTTTTTGTCTACCACGTGGATATGTCTGTCCTTGTTGCACGCTGTTGCTCTCCTTGTCTACCACGCGTATATGTCTGTCCTTATTGCACGCTGTTGCCTTCCTTGTCTACCGCGCCAATATGTCTGTCCTTGTCGCATGCTAGTGTTCTCCTTATTTAATTGACGCTAGACAAGGAAAGCAACAGTGTGCGAGAAGGAAATCCTTCGATCTATTGAAAAAAAAAATTCAACTTTTTATATATTGTAATCATAGTAGAAATTCTTCATTCGTTATTTAATTTTCGTCATTTGATATTTGTTATTTATCATTCATTAGTAATTATATATTTTGTTACAATTATAGTATTTTTATATAAATTAAATACGGAGTTATTATTTAAATTTGTAGTACTATGATTGAGAATAATTATCAACATAGTCACTACATACCTCTAGCGGCTAGCATTAAGTCTTTCCTTAGTATACCAGTTCTAAAGACACGAATCACGAAAAATTTTACTGTTTCTTTTCAACTTATTTTTGTATGTAAAATCATTCTCTTCCCGATGCTGAGAAATGTCGATGTATTACTCTATTATATTATATATTAAAAATTATTTTATGTGAAAGATTTAATTTTTTTATACACACCAGTAACATAGGTTATAACAAAAGAATACTTGTATTTTTTATGAATATGGTTTTATTAAATTTTGTTAATTTTGTTATGTATATTCGATTTTCAACTTTTACCATACACAAATAAAGTTGAGATTGAATATTCTTAATCAAAGAATTTACACTTCTACGACTTGTAATTGGTGATGACTAATGATTAATCACCAGTTACGCGTAAGTGGTTATACAATATTATCTTATCTACGCATTTTATCACGAAAAATATATGACATATTTCCTTTATGTACATTCAAAATATAGTCATTTATTTTATGGAAAATATTTACATTAAAACCCAATGTAAATTTTATATATTACAGAAAGTATAACACAATTTATGCTTTATTTATTACATATATAAACGCTTTACTGGAATGGTTTGTAAAAACTAAAGAGTTTGTAAGCTCTTTGTATGTTATTCATAATTTTGCTGAAAAAGACAAAAACAATAATTTTTATTAAAAGTTTGAATAATTAAATAACATGTATAATAAGTTACAGACAAAATTAAAAATTATAATTATCTATGGACAATTATTAAATTATTTAATCTAAATAAATATTAAGTAAACGTAAAATATATACATATGCAAAAAAATACTGTACAAAGAGAGATTTGAAATCCAAACTACATTTTGATAGTTTTATTATGTAATTACTAAAAAGTTACTAAAAAATTTAGAATACTATACAATTATTATTTGCTCCAGAATAATCATTTTTATTTTTAAGTGCTTTATCTCTTTCATCCCATAATGTAAGTCCATCGCAAGCACAGATTCTTTTTGTATTTTGAAATAAAACAGATGAACGAGCAATAATACCACAGGCCAATCTGAAACATATATGAATGTTCAATATAATAAATTATAGTTATATACTATGTAAAAATATTACGAATGTAAATTGCAACATTTACCTATTTCCACTATTGCCATTTATTTTAGATTCTGGATTGATACCTCTTCCCAAATCATCTGATTTTTCTGTTATAATTAAAGATCTTCCAATAACATCAGGAATTTTTACAAGTTTATCTATCATTCTGAAAGTAGCTCTACCAGAATTATTGACAACTATATTTCCCAAATCTCCAACATGCTGCAGTAACATTTTTTTTGATTTAAAAATAATTTACCATTAGTTATAATTATATTACATTATTAAGCTCAAAATTTTTATATAATATTAACATAAATTTCAATATTTACCCGTCTAGATATATCATCTTCAGGTCCACCATGTAATGTGTTATTCGGATTGAAATGTTTTCCAACGCTAAAAGTATGATATTAATACAATGATATTTTAAATGGAAAGCGAAAATAGAAGAAACAAAAAATAAGAACTTAAAATGCTTACCTATCACAACCTTGAGAAATGTCACCACATTCGTGAATATGTATGCCATGTTCACCAGGTGTTAAGCCATCAACTGTTCCATCTATAAGACATCCATCAGGAGTTTCTGCAAATCTTATTACACCCATTATTCTATTATCTACAGTATATCCTGAATTTCCTCCTAATATTGCAACTGCACTAGAATTATCTGTAACATAAGAAATTATGCAATTTCAAAAGATTATATTAATATAATACACTGCATTATTATGCGTTATATACCTCCATATCCCTTTAAAACAGCTTTCTTTCCAGACTGTTCAATTTTTTCTTGAATTATCGAATATGGCAAATTTGTTTCAACTATGACAATTCCTTTTTCTAACGATATATCGATATTTTTAATTCCATTTACACCAGTTAAAACGTTCCGCACAGAATCAGTGCATTTTTGACAAGTCATGTCTACTGCAAATTCAATCTGAAATTACAAGAAATATGTATTACTATAATTGTATTTATTTTCTAGTATTTATTTTCCATTTATTGTTATTATTTACCTTCGCCATAGTCATTTTGCGTGCTGTCCTTACGCTATTTATTATGTTAAGTAAAGTTCGGCAATTTCGTTTTTGAATATTACGAAATAAGATAAATGTATCTTGATTGATTTGAGGTTATGTTTTTCATAATACAATAAGATTGCTTGGCGCTTTTATAAATAAGTATTCAAAAATAAATAGTACAGATATAACGTAATTTTGTGAAATATTTTAAATGGGTTTTAACGAAATTATGTATAAAAATAAAAGAAAAAAAAATTATACTACTATGATATAAATGCCGAAATGATAAAAGATAACACCTCAAATTGTTTTTTGCAAATAAATAAAATTTTTTCTGCATTCAAATTTAAATATAATTTTCATATATATTATTAATTTCTTTTTCATAGATTATTATTTTTTAATTAATCAACATCACGCATGTGCAAAAATATAGTGTTTTATATAATGTGGACTAGGGAATGATTCTACGTACAAAAATAAATCGGAAATATAGAATAAAATCTTTTCGCATAAAATTTAATTTTCGACGAAATCGAGTTTTAAATATACTTAGACTTAGGTAATTCTGGGTTGAATAGGAGTAAATGATTGACAAGAGATTATTTTCTATGTTAAATTAAGTCGAAAAAATATAGCATAAAATTTTTTCTTAAGGCGCTTAAATTTGAAAATTTATAATATATTAATATGTATGTTCCAATTTTTAACTGGGTGTATTCGAACTCTGTTTTCTTGAAAATAAAAAAATTCTATTTTATATTTTTGATTCATTTTTTGCACTCTATAGCTGATAGTACTACGTTACGTGAACTATATTCTGTTATACTTCGTACACTCTGCAGTAAAATTTTTATTTTTCCACGCGGAAGCTTTAATTATATATTTTATGAAAAAATTGAAATGAATTACGAGCTTTAAATTAAGAATATTTCTTAACTTATGCGTAAAAATAATGGACATATAAGTTTCTATCATTTGATCAAAAATAAAAGTTTCTAACTATCAATTTCGTCATTTCTATTTATTTTTATCGATTAATAAGCACGAATATAAAATATTTCGACGATCTCGTATAAATTTGTTGCTTAAACAAGGTTTTCATTAATACGAGGATCCAAGCCAGTAAGTGACGGATTTTGAGTTTTTACACACACCACCATGAGTATTTGTCACGATAGTTCGCGCATTTGCCACACGGTACGCTCTTCTCCCAAGCTTTCTATTTTAGAAATGGACAGCCACCATATCTTATTTGTAAAACTAGAAATTTTGCAAAGCGATTGCTAGCAGCGATTCGCTATATTTAGGATTTTTCTTCGGTAAGATTCTTCATCGTGACAAGATGATATTGTGAACTTCCGCTATTAATTCGAGATAGAACTACGAGGCCGGAGGTAATAGCTTTTTTTAAATGTTAAAGATATTCGACAATGTGGGCAACCAATACTGTAGCAAGATCTTAAGGTTTCAAATGAACATTCAAGCGATACAGAAGAGGAAACTATCAACTGACAGATTAAGTGAACAAAAGTAGAAGCAAAGCTATAAGTTGCATCTAATCGTGATTTTTTAACGACTGATACGTTCTTTAAAAGCATGTCCGTGACCTTTGCTCAACGCGGCAGACCACCACCGAATCCTGCTCAAATACAGAAGGTAATAAATATGTATAATTATTAATATCGTGTTATATTAGTTTTCTTGAAATGTCATTCTTTTTGTTACGTAATTTTATTACATTTAAGAGAAGTAATAATTTATTTAAAAAGAGAATTATAAAAAGAATGTTAAACAAAAAGAACGTGATTATTTCATAATTACGTACTATTTATGTGATATTAATTATGTGTATAATTTGTTAATATAGATGCTTGATGAAAACAGTCAGCTTATACAGACAATACAAGAATATCAAAATAAAGGAAAACCTCAAGAATGTATACAGTAAGTAATCATTTTCAGTATTGTATCAGTGTGATGATATTCAATGTTACAATATGATTTTTTTAGATATCAACAGATGTTACATCGCAATTTGGTATATTTAGCATCCATTGCTGATGCAAATCAAAATATACAAGCATTACTACCAGTAAGGAATATTTGAAATATATTAACATATAATATTTAAGTTGAAAGTGCATTAATATTATTTTTATTACTTTAATAAGCCTCCACAAGGAATTCCTAATGGTCCCCAACATGGTATGATGAATCCACAAGGCCTTCCTAATGCTCCTACAGGATCAAGTGGACCTGGAGGTGATATGTCTCCAAATACTCAACCAACTTTACCAATGTCAAATTTTAGTCAAGGGCAACCAATGACACAAGGTGGATACCGTGGTCCAGTTATGCCTGGACAAGGACCTGCTATAAATAGTACGTTATGTTTCAACTTGAAATTTTTAGAAATTAACATTATCTCTTTAATACATTATTATTTTAAAGGACCACCCACTGCACCTGGACCACAGCAATATAGAGGACCTCAAGGTTACCCTCAACAACCGTCTCAACAAAGTTATCCTACACAATATACCAATCAAAATCCTGGCACCAATTATCAAGGACCACAGGGAGCTGCGTATACTCCAGGTCAACCAAATCAATATGGACCACCGAATACCTCTCAACAACAGGGATACAGCACATCGACCCAACCGAATTATGGTCCTCCAACTACTGTGAATAGTTACGGACCTCAACCAGGTGGATATCCACCACCAGGGACAACTCAGCCTCCTACAGGATATGGTCCACCACCACCGAATCAGCAAGGCTATCCTCCTTCTAATCCTTCTCAACAAAATTTTGCATCAAGCGGACAACAGCAACAACCTGGTCAATACGGTAGTCCTAGTCCACAACCAAATTATCAACAGCCACCATCTCAAGCTCCACCTCAAAATGCGTACGGGGGTGGTCAACCCGGAAATTATCCTCCTCCTTCGTCGCAAGCATACGCAAATAATGTTCCACCGCAAAATTATCCGGCTCCTCCTACTTCTAGTGCTCAGCCTCCTCAGCCAGGATCTCAACAAAGCACTGGCCCTCAACCAAATTATGGTAATCAGCCAAGTCCCGGTCCTGGTGCAACACAATACGGTCCAGTTTCTACATCTCCACCGTTCAGTACTGCTTCTGCAAGTGGAGTAAATACTTACGCTCAGAGTAGCCAACCAACAAGTACACCATCTGCTTCCACTCAAACTTATCCGCCAAATAGCGCTCCACCACCTACTTCACAAGGTGGAAATTATGCTCCGCCAGGACCTGCTCCGTCCGGATATCCCGTGCATCAAGCACCTCATCCATCATCGCATCCGCCACATCAACCGCCGCATCAGTCTCCACATCAACCTCCTCATGCTCCTCATCAACCACCTCATCAATCATCTCATCAATCAACTCATCAACCTCCAGCGCATCAATCTCCGCATCAACCTCAACAATCTCAACAACAATCTCAGACACCGCCACAGTCTCAACAGCAACAATCTCAAAGTCCTGCTCCAAGTGGATTTCAACCACCTTCAGGACCTCCACAAGGTCCTGCTCCGCCTCCAGGTCCACAACCTCAGCCTGGGTATGGCCCAGCTACCACGCAAACATATGTACCACCAACACCAGGTGGACAACCACAGGTATTTAATGATTGAAAAATATCAAACATTTTTTGTTAGTGTAAATTTTACATAATAAAATATATATAAAATTTAATATAATACAAATCATATTTAATAGAAATATATAAATTTTAGGTATATACTCCTCATCCACCTCAAGGTGGTCAACATTATGGACATCCACAGTATCCTCCTCAAAGTTATCCTCCACCGCCAGCAGGACAAGGATATCCTCAATATCCACCGCGACCACCTGGTGGTCATATGCCTCCTCCTCCTGGACCTCAAGGACCTCCTCCACCAAATCAGTATGGTGGTTACGGATATCAACCACCTCCACAATAGAGTATATATTAATGTAAATTCATATGATATTCAGTCTAATATAAAAATGATTTAACTACAAACTCAGAACAAATGGCATATAAAACTTTAATTTAATTCTTAATAGCATATCGTCCAGTGTTATGTAATGAAACAAATAATAGAAAAAAAAAATATATATATATATATTACTAAGGAAAGGTGCTGCTAAAATTTCATTACGATCGTAATTCGAAATTTTCTGAACAATTTTAGTTTTTTCAAATGAGATATACGATTTAACATTTTCAAATATACTTCAATACAAAAAAGGATTTATAGATATTGCAAATTGTATACGTATTTTAATGTGTTCAACAGATTTCAAAGATATTTTGAAAATTTCATTTTATCGAGAACAACATTATTCGTTATAAAGAATATTTCGTTCATGAAAATATTACTATAAATCTTTTTATGTAATGTCTTTTAGTTTCCTATATTTGTATTTCGTATTTAAATATATGATGATATTTATATAATATTACTTCATGCGTTTTCGATTATAAATCTTTATTATTTAATTTTAAAATACACACATGCTTATACCGCATTTTGCAATGTGCGTAGTTTGATAATTTTGGTGAACATAATATAGCATAAACATATCTGTTACATCAAAATGAAACATGGTACAATAGCTATTTACACATCTTTTAATATATATACGTTTGCTTTAGAGTTAATATTTTTGTTTACTTATCTAATTTTATATTTTTTTGATTGTCATTAAAAGATTTATGAATTTATATATCGATTTTTATCTTTCCCTCGAAGAGTTCTTGTGACTTTTACATAAATGTATAAAAGAAGTTCTCATCTTGATAACAAAAAGTGTAATATTTTATGTATATTAATTTTTAAATTATGTTGTATTATAAAATTTTTACAGGACTTCTTTTTTGTTCTCTACTTATGTAATATATTATTAAAATATGAATTTGAATAATTAAAACCAGAAAAGAATCTCGTAAAAAAATATATTTTCAAATTGAAACATCTACAAAATAATGATATGATACTTATTATTGAATATTAAAGAAAACTTATTTATATACTTTATATACTTTTATTTACAGAATTTGTATACTTATTATTTACAAAAAATGTATAGAAGTTTACATGTTATTTATGTATTTATTTGTACAAAAATGAATTACCAAGAATCTAATTGACATTATAGATCATCTCTAAGTTTTTCATCGTCGTTGTAACATTCACAAGAATGTTCAGGTTGCAGCACTTCTTCCATGTTATGTAACATTTTAACTTTACTCTTTAAGCGTTTACTCCATTCCTGAAGTGTAAAAAAAAAACATGTTATTCTATGATATATATTTAAGTAAAAAATAAATGAAGTTGAATCTATACAATTTTTACGGGAATTTCTTACGTGAAACAAAACTACATGATAACATAATATATTATGTGGTAATAAATTATCTCTTGCAAATTGTCTAGCAGATCTTGTAATTTGTAGAGCTTCTTGATCATGTTTTTTGGCCCACATAATTTTTTCAACAAGATTTGACAAATCCCTTTTAATAGGTATATAATGTTTTCCAGGTACAAGACTGTTGTAAAAAAATTCGTAGTACTTTGATTCTTGTTTGAATACTAAGGCATTTCCAGCAAGTAGATATGGAAATCGATATGCTGCTACTGTACCATCTATATTTAATTGATATTTGTACTGCATAACGTTATTATCTTTTAGTTATTTTTAGTTATTTGTAGTTATATTATACAGTCAATAGGCTTGTTTATCTTACCTTAAAAAAGTTAAAGAAAGATACGTAGCTTTGTGCTGGACCATATTTATCCATCTCATCTTTAAAAAAGAAAAAATTTGTAATCGAAACATTAAACAAATCAGGATATTTCCTTGAAATATCAATTAAATCGAGTCGTTCTCTACGGGAATCTCGACCACGCCAAAATATTTTTTCTATCTTTTCTTCCCATAATGTATCTGTATTACCTTGTACAGACAGCATATCTAACATTACCCTGTATTATGTGTAATAACAAGTGTTGTAACAAGTAGAACTACATATTATCATATGAAATAAACACTAGAAATTTAATTAAATTTCTACCTGCTCATTCCTTCTAAAGATGATTCTGTGATATCATAAGTAGGTATAACAATATCTTTCGTATCAAAAGAGCCACACCAAGAAAAAATAGGATAACTTTTACTCTCTTTTGGAACAAGCGGCCAATCTCCCAAATTTACAAAGAATTCAATATCTGGCAGTAAAACTTTGCGAGTAACAGACAGAAGAATAGAATCCATAAATATTTTAAAGCCTACATAACGACCATGACACTCCCTAAAAATCTTATTTCATTTAATTTAATTTAAATATATTCGTTTTAAGCGAATTTTAAGGTTGCCAGCTGCAGTAGTATTTACTTTGTTAGACTGTATCACATAATGACATAAACTAATGCTTCCTGGCCGATCATATGTTCTAACAATATTTTCGCGCATTTTGTCAAAGTCTACATTTGTGAAAGGAGCAAGATCGTCATATATCTGCTTATAACTCTTTGGACATCCTAGATTCTCTAGCCAACTATTAATAGAAAGATTTGGACAGTAACATTCTTCTTCATAAATAGGTCCTAAAAATGATCATTGAATTATTTGTATTATCAAGACAACAAAGAAATTTATGTAATAGATAAATTTAATACCTTTCGACTTTACTGACAAGATAGACAAATTGCTGGGTTTTATTTTTATTAATAATTCAAAATTGTAGCATGTATTATATAATTTATATCTGATAATAAAACTTCCATCTTTACAATCTAAAATTTGTGTTGATATATGACATGAATATCCTATTGATGTTATTCCTGATGTATATACATTTACTGTATCCTTTCCAGGTGACTTTGTTAAACTGAAACAATTTATAAATGGAAAAAAATATACATATATTTTAAAAAATATGATTAAATTTTACTTAATTCAAACTTATATAAACTTTTAACTCCATAGATATCTATGTATATGTAATCACAATAAAAATCATACTTTTTGCCTTGTAAGTCAACAAGCTGTAGAAAAATATATCTTGCCCGCATTGTTATTTTATCTGGTTTCAATCCTGGACCCCAAATTATTGTTTCCGATGGATTTATTTCATGATCCCTTATTTCTTGAAAAATAACTAACAATAAAATCAACAGAAATATCATTTTTATCAAAAATAATTGCCGATAGATGAGAAATGCTTGATACATTGTAGAGACGTTGGAAATATCGTCCTTTTGTGTAACGAAAATTAATTCATAAAGAAAAAAAAGTTTAAAACTCATGAAAAAATTCAACTAAAATAAGTTTATTTCGTTTATCATTCTTCGATCATTTTTACGTTAAAGGCGTTCATCGAGTAGAAAATATACCGTGAAAATATATGTATTTATTTTGAAATGAATTATATATTCGACTCGGTCATTCGAATGTGTAAAAACGGCGTTCTTTGAAATCGAAAAGGAATGTAACAAATCTGAAGTTGATCGAAATTATAACTCTTTCGGCTAGTTATGAGAGTGTCGTACATGGATTTATAAAAAGAAAGAGCTAATTTAAAAAAAAAAAGGAAAAATGAAATTAACGTTGTTTAAGAATTTCTGAATCACTGTCAAATGAGTGTCAATTTCGTGACATTCAACATGTAAAGATTTATGTATCTCTAGCATAATATCGCAGTTTCATGTATACTTTTTACTCTTAGGTTATTTTTTTTCTTATTAATGAAAATCATAGCAATTGTCCTCTATATTTTTGTAATTTATTAAGAAAAGTCAAGTAAAATATACGATCTGTATAGCCTAATTTGTTATGCCGTGAAAATATATCGAGTTTGTCGAGTAATAAAAGAATTCTCTCAATTTTCAATTTTCAGGTGGGAATTTTTTGATTTTACAGAATCGGCGAAGAGTGACGGAAAACATGATTTTCGAATCCTTGAGGTAATAACAACTTTGACTTGTCTCGAAAATTCGGAAAATTGGATACAGCATAAAGGGAAGATCGTCTGTGCAACATTTTTTTAATAAGTATTTAACAACATGGAGTGTAATATCGATGATTTACCAGACGTTGTATTAGAATATATTTTAAGTCTAATTCCACCATATAAGACTCTTCAAGAATGTAAACTTGTATCTAAAAGATGGTTCCGTGCCACCAAAAGTATGTAAAATCCGTTTTATTCTGTATGTAATGATTCACAAACGTGTTCAAACATTTATTGAAATCTTTAATGAGTTACTATGTATAGCTTGATATCAATGCTAATGATTTCAAATTAGTTTATATGACATATAATATGTGTAAGAATTTTCTATGGTAAGTGTTCAAATACTTTTGTGAACTAAATATATCTAGGTTATAATTGTTCACATATTTTCAGGAATTAATAGAATGTTTATATTTTCTTATAGATGTAATACAACATAATAAAACACATTTTCACAAATCTGTGGCTTGCGGATCGTTGCTTTGGCGTTCATGGCCTTCTAAACACTGGATGCCTACAATTGCAAAGAGGCATTCACATTCTGCTTGTACATATGAAAATTCTATGTATGTCTTTGGTGGGTGTACTGCTACATGCACAACATTCAATGATTTGTGGAGATTGGACTTAGATACAAGAAAATGGGTCAGATTAATTACTATGGGGGCTTATCCGTCACCTAAAGCTTGTGCCACCATGTTGTATTATAAAAAAAGTTTCATTTTATTTGGTGGATGGTCTCATCCAGCGCTATATTCTGTGCACCAGGTACAATTGATCAAAAGTCATAAATAATGAAAGTAAAAACATTTAAATTGTTTGAAAAGTATTCAATATTATTATGTGTATGTTTTTAGCAATCAAGATTATTCAATGAATTGCATGTGTATTCTATAGAATCCAATAAATGGATTGCCATAAACACTTTGGAAACACCTCCACCAACTTCAGCACATTCTGCATCAATCCACAAAAACTATATGATTGTTTTTGGCGGCATATGCAATGGATATAGGTAAAATACCTGAAATTGTTGAATACTGTTTTATTAATTATTAATTCGATTTAATAACAATAAGATACTATTTTGAGATAGATCCAATGACGTATGGTGTTTAAATTTGGATTCCTATAGTTGGCATAAGCAAGCTACTTCAAATGTGAAGCCACAACCACGTTATGGTCAGTCTCAAATAGAACTTGGAGATAAGCATCTTCTTATTTTAGGTAAGATAAAAATTAGAGATTCTTCTGATTTTAAGGTTTTTTCTGTAAGCACTTTAAATGTTAATATGAATTTAAATATTTCAAAAATTAGGAGGTTGCACTGGACCTAATGTTGCTATGAATGATGCTTGGTTATTAAAAATGGAAGGTATAGCATGGACATGGAAAAAAGTAAATATGCACAATACTGAATGGGCTCCAACACGTATTTGGTGCCATCAAGCTTGTAAGGTAATAGGTTGTTAATTAAGAGTTCATGATATTTTGCATTATTTATTTATCTTTTAACTTTATAGGTAGGAAATTACGTCATTGTTCTTAGTGTAAATAAATGTCAAAATAAGCCGAACGATATGAGTATCTCGCTCAAGAAAGTCACTTGCCCAGCAGCGCCTTCATCAAGAACAAATAATTCATCTCCGTTACATGCAAGGTTTGATTATATAAATATATTATTAATATTGATTCAATGAAAGTCTATAGAAAATCTATGATTACATTTTATTTTTAGGCAAGGGAATGTATCTCATATTGATAGAGACGTAAATATTAATGGACGTCATGGATCTTTTTCAGAAATATCCATACCAAATCCACGTCCTTCGCATCATCCACCTAATTTTACAAAAAATCTAACATTATGTTATGATAATATGTTAAGTATGACTGCTTTTCGTAATGAACCAGTGCGTTACGACATTAATAGTCATCGACAACGGCAATTAGAATCTCTACGTAGAATGGAAGAAAGCATTAGAAATCGAAGAACACAATCAAAATCTGCAAAAAAAAAGAGAAACACATTGTCCATATTTGTGTTGGACATTACGAATGTTTTATGTGATGAATGTAGCGCATCGTGGATTCCTTTAAAACATAATGACCAGTCAGGTCCTAACGAAAGAATTCTTTATTCACTCGTAGCTGGTCGTGGTGAATTAATAGTATTTGGAGGTATTGGTAAAGAACAAGCGTCTATACAAAGTCATTCTGATATGGATGAACCTGAAGTCTACAATGATCTCTATTTTATAAATCCACCAAGATATGTTATTTAATATCTTATAGTAATAAATAATATACTTTTATGTTCGATGAAAGATAGTTTAATTTTGTTAGTTTTAGCTTTAATCTTCTCATAAATTATTACTTACTAAAAATTCGTTTAAATGATATAATTAAAAAACTAGTAAGCTCGTAAATAGCTCTAAAACATTGGTTTGAAAAGTGAATTTTTTTGCTGAAAGCACCAATTGTTAGTTGTACTAATAATGTATATCAGTTATAAATCTTATATTTTATTATGAATTTTATTATTTACATATTTTTCGAGCATTGTAATTTATGTATTCCTTAATCATCTTCACCGTCAGCTGTTTTTAAACTACCAAACACTTGTGATGGAATAGTTTGTTTTTCAATAGGTATATCTGAAAGTAACACGAATAAGAAGGTATATAAAATACGTGTCATCATTAAAATTGTCCAAAACAATTTATAAACACATTATAAATACATTACACGCAATGAAGTGTAATAAAAATTTTGGTGTGTTATCATATGTTCTATATTACCTTCCTCTACATCCCCTTCAGTGTCAATATCATCAATATTAATATCTATCTCATCTGGATTGTTCACTTGAGATTCTGCTTTGCCATCCTTTTCTGTTGCACCACGAACAAATTTAATACTGTCTTTGTATGCAGTAATGTTATCTGTAATATTATATTCATTATTTTAGTAAGATTTTTATATATTTTTGTATACCCATTGTATATTTTTATACTTAAAATTTTTAAAAGTACTTTTATACTTATACTACCAATATATATGTATATATTCTTCTATATTTTTCAATAATTTTTTTGTGATAAAACAATCAAATCTATACCTTGTGTTTTACTATCCAAAAGACGCATTGCATCTACTGGTACATCAGATGGTGGATTCGATGCATTATTTAACATTTGTGCAGACATCATATTCACTTGAGTATTGTACATAGCTTGTACGCTGCGCTTAATTCGGAGCATTTCACGCATAGTATCTTCATTACCATGTCTTACTTCAAATTCTTTCCATATTTGCCAGAAATTTGAGGCTACCTAGACACACAAAAATATATACAATTAAACAAAAATATACACGTATAAAATATTAATTTTAATGTTATCTTTAAACGCTACTCGATCAAATAATATTTCATACCCTTGGATCACAAATTTGACTACAATGCGCATATATTGCTCGGGCTCTATCAACTTCTCCTAATTTCGTCTCCATTTCTGCAAATCGTAAACACATTTCTCTTGTATTATCTTCATTAAGCACTTCGATAGCTTTCTCATAAATTTGCCTTGTTTTCGGAACACCATATATATCTGCTGCTTTTTTAATATAAATGTTGAACATCTGTAATATATATATATATACATATACATATATACATACATACATACATATATATATATATATATATATACACATATCGAAATTTTATTAAATTTATATTTATTAGATTTTTATTAGGTATTTGTTTTTATACCTCAAATCTTTCTTCAGGAAGAACTGCGTCTGTTGCTCGTTCGTACACAGACATCGCATGCCTAGCCAAACCATGTTCTTCTTCTAATTTTGCATACAATAAATACAGAGCTGCAATAGTATAAAGAAATAGCAATATCATTCTTTATTCTACATATTATTGTATTAAATATGATCGTGTAAAATACCTTTGGCATATTTTGGTGGACAAAATTCTAAACACTGTTCAAATAAATCTCGCGTTCTTTCTAATTTTGTTCCACCATAACGTTTCAAAAATTTTGTAAGATATGTATTCCATATATCATAAACATTGGGCCATTTAAAAAGAGCAATACCTTTTTCGTAAGCCTAAAAGTAATAATTAAATATTACTGATGAAAATGATTACTAATTTTAAATAGCATTCCAATCTAACATAATTTAATACGTACTCTGAAAGCTTCTTCAAAATATTTATTTTCTTCTAAAAAGAGTCCATAATTAATAATAATTTGTGGTGTGGCGATTTTTAAATCTATAATTTTGTCGTATACAGCTTTGCATGTCTAAAAAAGAAAAAAATATAAAAAAAATTACCAAATCTAAAAATTTTCATAAACAAAGTTGAACATGATATCTTTCAAAATATATATACCTTGAATGTTCCAAAACTTTCTTCTAAGTCGGCATACATAGACCAAACTTTTAAAGATTTATATAATCTCATTTGAACTGTTTCTGTTTCATCGTGATAGGCTACTTTACGGAATGGCATAGCAGTAGCTCGATGCATAAGTTTTAATGCTTCTTTATAATTTCTGTGTAAACAAAATTAACATGTTGTATAGAATGTCGATATATTTAAGTTATTGTTTTATAAAATAGTAAGATACCACACCCATGTCTAATTTCCATTTCTGCCCATTCACACCATACAGAAGCAAGATCGTCGACTTTAGTATAGGGTACATGAGTTGCTTTTTCAAAAACAACTCTGGCATCTGCTATTTGACCATTTTCTTCATAAAATTTACCAAATTCAACCCATAAAGTATGCAATTTACCTACTGCTAATTGTGGTTGCACAGTTTGTACAGCTTCTGTATATGTATTAATGATCTAAAAAGAAAAAAATAGTAGTTACAATAATGAAATTGTTGAACCATGTTTTATTAGAAACTTTAACAAAAATATATTGTACCTCATGTGGCTGTCCTTCATAAAGTCTAACTCTTTTATGCCATTCTTGTACATTATGAGGATTTTGTCTGAGTAATACGGAATTCAGAAGTAATAAACGTCTTTCCATTAAATGTTCAAATCGTGCTAATCTCAATTCCAAATCTATATCATCTGAAAACATGATTAAATAAAATAATAAATTATGAATTTTATACACTAAATAATATTATATAATAAAATATATGTGTTCTGTACCATCTTCTGTAGGATTTTTTGTAGCTTCTTCCATACGTTTACTAAGACTAAGTTCTTCAAATTGTGCATAAGCATCAAACACTTGAGTAAAATCTCTAACAGTAGTCACTGTTTGTATTGCCTCTTCATAAATGTCTCGCGCCTATATAAAATAAAAATATTGAAATTATATGACCATATATATTATAATAAATTGCATTTTCACATAACCATAAAATTGCTTAATACCCTTTCGAATAAACCACTACGAACATAATAGTCCGCCAAAGAATTCCATAGAGGACCTAATTGATCAGTATAGCGTCTCAAACCACCCCTAATAATTGCATCTACATTAAGGGATTTTATCTTAGAAGGATTTTTTGATATTAAATCACACAATTCATTCCATAATTGATGATTAGACTTTCCATGCTTTGATACAAAATCGTCTTGATTAACAATTTGTGCAAGTTTCACAGCTGCTTCATCAAGTCTTTCAATTGATATCAGATATTCTATATACTCTTCTGTATCTTCTGGAGCTAACTAGAAATAATTTGCATATTATTAAGTACAAATCATCAAGATAAATAAATTCCATCTTACCTTAAGATATCTTCTAAAAACTCTAACCGCAGTTTCATAGACATTGTGTTTTTTCAAAAATTCAATATATAATGGCCATATACGATGATGTTGCGTAATAGGAAGAGCTCTGAGTGCTCTATCAAAAACTTGACGAGTACGTGTAATATAAGATTGTTCTGTCATTAATGTACAGTAGTCCATCCAAATTCTGGGCATTTTATGCATAAAAACCAAAGCACGTTCAAATGCATTGTTCACATCTTCATAGAGTGGATCTGTTATGCACCTTCCTTTCAGTTGGTTGACACGTTGACGTAGATAATTATACCATAATTTGTAACTAATAAGAAATGAAAACTTAGATACTTTATAAAGATTTATTTGAATGAAACCAAATGAAAAACGTTATCTCTACCTTCCAGGAAGTTCCTTTAACGCTCGTTCGTATACAATATTTAAATTACTACTTTTTGTACTTTTTAAATGATCTATATAACGTTGCCAGTGTTTTACTGAATAAGGATTTCTCAAAATTTCCTCTTCGTAAGGTAAATCTTCTTCATTCTATTTTACAAAATCACATTAAATAAAATCACATGAAACAAAGTAAGGTTAGGCATGACGAACTACTTACAAAAACATATAGGTTTCCCTCTGGGTCTTTACGTTCCAACATTATCGAAAATTCTAATGATAATATACAAGATACTTAATTCAATTACAATGATAAATTAACAATATTTCATATGTATAACCAAATAATAATTGTGAGGTTATCTTCTATTGTTTTGATATATTTGAAATTAAACGCGCTATATCAAGGCGCTATTTCATTGATCGTTCCTGGACTTGGAACTTGGAATTACTGTTTGTTACTGTACTTGAATCTAATAGGGAACGTAAAACGAGGTGTTTAGTGTTCTACAAAATAGTTTTTAAATTATAAAATGGTAAATACTTTGAAATTTGGTGAAAATACTTTTATCACCACATTTCTAGAATAACTATAATTTCCAGTTATTTTGATATCGAGATTAACAGGAAAGCTATGAAATATTACACGTTCAAGATTTAAGATAAATATATTCTGCTGAAAATCAAGTTGCACAACCTGTTTACATCGTTTTGGAGTAAGATATCGAGCGTGACAGCTGTCATATCAAGACACGGTCATTTTTTTCTATGCCTAGGCTGGCCAATTAGGAAATCAACTAACCGCATTTGTTTGATTGCGAATTAATTACGTTTAAGCTGTGTTTATAAATAAACGTTGTAAAGGATGACAATGGGCGATGAGACTCCAGTTACATCGCTGGTCTTACCTGTTGTTATAAAACCAATATTAATGAAGGTATTGAAAATTTCTTTTACTTATAATTGTAATTAATAATGTCAGCCACTATATCCATAAAGTTTGAGTCAAATCTAAGTTATTAATGAGCTTAAATATTTAATAGAACCATTTTTAATACTTATTGTATATTTAACATAATTGTTCGTGTTGCATGTTAATTTCTCATTAAATATATGTTTACAACAAACATCTATGTAGCTCTTATATGCTCTTCTAAATTGATTTTATTAATATAATCAGGGTATTTGTGTTCATTATATTGCTAATAAAATTCCAAAATGTCATATGACATAATATATACATTTATTATTTTATTACTATTTAAGTATATTTGTAAAATGAATTTTATAAAATGATGTATTTTTCAATGTATTTATATAAAAAATATTCTCTTTATACATGTTAAAAAACTATGTACATATGTATACATTGATTATTTTAAAAGTATATATTCTTGTTTTTTATTTTTTTAACCTGTTATTACATAGCTGGAGAGACAAAATGGAATAGCAGCTCAAACACTACGCACAGCTTTATTGAAAGCTGAAAAGTCTCATCCAGGAATTGCACATGACTTAATTCTTGGTATAATACGACGGGCAGAGCTTGATCTTGATATGAATGAGAGTGTTTTAAGATTACAAGGAGCAGCTTCTGATTATGATGGTATAATTCCAATATAATAAAATAAAATATGAATAATTGAAATTATATTATGATTAAAATATTATACATTTGAAATGATCAATATTCTATCGTTATTTTATATACTATTGTAGGTATAGAATATAGATCGGCTAGACCTGAGGACGCTTTCCAAGAACTGAATCGCAAATCAACTTCCTTGAAAAGAATACTTAGCAGAATTCCTGATGAAATAACAGATCGAAAAACCTTTCTTGAAACAATTAAGTATGTTTTCATGTTTATATCTATTGTAGTCAAATTTTTTTTTATTTATCACATATGATATATTTTTGATACACTTGTTTCAGAGAAATTGCAAGTGCAATAAAAAAGCTATTAGATGCAGTAAATGAAGTAACCGCATTTATTCGTGGTTCTGCTGGAAAGCAGGCATTGGATCAAAGAAAAAGAGAATTTGTTAAATACAGTAAAAGGTTTAGCAATACATTAAAAGAATTTTTTAAAGAAGGACAGTAAGCATCATTATGTTTCATTCTCTTTTTTTCCTATTTATCTTTGTGTTCATTTTAAAAACGCGACTATTTTCTTCTTACAGAGCAAATGCAGTATTTGTAAGTGCATTATATTTGATACATCAAACAAATATGATAATGCTCACAGTAAAGGACAAATGTGAGTAATGAATGCTCTGTTAAATAACATTTCTGCAATAATAAAATAAGTTACAATTATTATAGAATTTATTTAATATTCTAATTTTATCCATTTTGTTATATATTAATATTTAATTATCATTTAATATAAAACATACACACACACACACACACACACACACAGTATCATTATTTCAAATATATTACAAAATTATTACGTGCATATAGATATATAATCCATAATATCAAATTCTAATAAAAGATTATTTATGATAGTGGACTTTTAAAATGAAAGAATATTTCTCCAAATATATAAGAAATAAAAATTACTTTATTGATAACAAATGTACACCAATGTGTTATATTTTCCATGTGGAATCTACATCCTCTATCTACATCCTCATTGGATTAACAATGACAATGAGTAACAGTAAGGATTAATGTAATTATTGTAATGAACATTATTAGAAAATGTACAAATTTTTTTAAGCACGTTTGCTATCTGCAAACGCTCGTACAATACTGCCAACACCACTGATATTGTACACCTTTTCATGCCAAGTTAATAAATGACTACTACTACCCTCTGTTGGAATTTCAAATCCCCGATAGATATATTTCATTAAAACGTCCAGTAAATCACGATCTAATTGTCCTAAGCAATCGTCTATTTGAGTAGATTTTATACTTAAAAGAACTTTTAGCGTCAAATTTCGTGCGTTATCCTGTAATGTTCAATCATTATTGGTTTTTGCAAATTCACAAATTTTTTGTAATAAAAAAAAATTAATACATATTTAAATTTTGCTAAATATTATATTATCAAACACATTCATTATATACATTTACGGCTCACAAAAATATCTGAATACAATTACAAATCTTTTATGTACATGTTATACAAAACAGTCTGAAATTGTAGCATTATAACCAAGACATTACTGCTTTAATTACATTGGAAACATTAAATCATAAAGCAACTCGAAAATGTATATATAGAAGTTACAAAATGAAATTTTGACATATTTTCTATAACGCACTTAATATATCTATAAAAGATTTGTCCAAATATAGATTTGTGAGCTACCGTGTACATATTTTGTCCCTTTTATTTAAACTAAAGCAACAAAATGTGTAAACTGTCACTTTTTCAATGAAATAAATTTTATTTGTTACAAATATATTATGATAATAAAGGATATACTCTAAACTTTACTCATAATCTTTAAAATTATCTGATTATTTTATCAGTTATTATTATCTACCAAACTTTATATTCTGATATTAATATAAAAGGTACAATATATGTCATAGCACATATACTGGAGATATCAAAGAAATAAACTTAAACTTTATTATATCATCAACTCATATTTTAAATTGAAATAAAGGGCGTGATACTGAGGTTACCTTTACTTGTTGATTTTTACACCCAAGTGGTGCAGACCTCAATACTGATATTAGCGCTTCTGCATTCTTACCCTTGAATAAATATTAAGGAAAACACGATGATGCGCAAGAAAAATTACTGCAATGTTATTATATCTGTATAAAAGCGACGAAAAGGATATTGGCTAAGAAGTGTTAATATTTCGTTTTCATCTGGACCTGTAGGTCCTCCTATTCCTCCGTCAGCATCCTCTTCTCTGAAATTATTATCACTGTATTGATCAACATCAATTTTTCGAAATGTAGACGCCGACGAGTCCTTTTTGCCATCGTTTCTTGACATTTTATCTTTGTTTGACGTTTTACCTCAATTACACCCGGCTTATCAACTAACGTCGTGAAGTGAATCTTTATTGGTCTTCAAATACGTAGTCTATAGTATGCCTTTCATTCGAACAGGCACTAAAGAAAATGTGCAGATTCTTTTTTTTTTTTTTTTAATTATTATCTGCGCTTCTCGTAGCAAAATATAAAACTAAAATTCTCAAAATACATTTCTACTTTACATGTAAAATTTTTTCCAATGATTTTACATTTATAATGTAGATCAATCCTTCAAGTAAAATCGTTGTAAATATGAAGTTATAAAAGTCTTACTTAAAGCAACTTACGTATTTGATTATAAATATACGAGAAAATTCCACCAAAAGCACAAAATATCTTTTCAAATTTATTATTTTTCTTATGTTATATGTGCGTTTAAAATATGACTGAAAAACAATGAAAAACTTTTTGTAAATGTCCTCTACGGAGTAAGGATAATTGTAGTACGTTTACAAAGAAAAACTTTTCATCTAATTCAAATTTCTTGTTTTACGAGTATAAATTACTATATCTTCTATTTACGAGAGGTTATATGATACGAATTTGATTAATTTTTTTATAATATTTTGTACATAACAAATGCATATACTGTTTCTTCAATTTTAATTACGTTATGAATTGTCTAAAACTTGTGAGTAAATATCACACACCGAAAATTGTATGGTATCAAACGGATACTACAGTTATCGTACGTATTTTACTACACGATATTAAGGAGTATTTTCTTCATGTAGAATGTGATCATCTGTTATTTAGGTATTTTAAACATTTGTCTAATGTAAAACATTATTGCTTGCAAGACTAAGTACAAAATATTTTTACATTGTTTCTAGCACGACAACAGATTCAAAGGAATATTATATTTGTTTGTATCTTTTTGGAACTATAGTGGCAGAAAAAACAGTTCACAGAAATTTAGAAAGAGAAATTAAGATTACACTTGTAAAGGCACATAAATGTAACATAACTATTTTTTTTTCTGTTCATTTATTATGCTTATTATATATTTACTTAATTTTGTACAAATTGATAGGGACAGAATGGTTAAGATTGTGCATTCAAAAAGAAAAAAATCCTTTAATTAGTCTAGATCCAAATCATATATATAAACTCGATTGGATCACTGAGGCTTTAAGAAACAGAGGTAATTATAATATGTGCAGTTTAACTAATATTGAATAGTATTTTTATTTGTATTTGTAACATATTTATTATATAATAGAAAATATTAATGTCTAATGGTTGACAATAATATTTTGTAAATCTTTACTAATTATCACATTATGTAGTCTAACAATAATTTTTTTATCACAGAAAGGGAGGATTTTGCAGAATATAAGCGTAGGAATCATGCACCTCAAATAATGCCAGTTGTACCATCTAGTGATGAAGAAGAATCTGATGACGAAATAATGGATATGATATTTGATTAATCTATTCATGCTATGTACACAATAAATACTACTTATAATATCTAAATATATTTCTAAAAAAGGAAATAGCACCTCAATTAAATTTTTTACTTAAATTATCATATTATCAAACACTGCATTTATTGATTTGAGCCATAAAATTACTTGATATATAAAATCTTGGATAAAACAAACTTTATACATTTAATTTCATCTTTTCATTTTTATTTTACTAAATATTATTTGCAATTAGTCAAAATACAAATTAATTCAACTTAACAAATATTCTGATGTACATTATACTTAGACATAATTACATTTACAGCGTGAAATTTGCTACATAAATATAAAAATGAGAATAAAAATTATATATGTATTTCATATCATGTCATGTAGGTAAAAATTTACATTGAATTTTGTACTTAATAATTGAATGCTTCAGTATTATGAAGTATTATGAATTCTAATATTCAGTATTATAAAAAAACCATTTTATATTTAGATAGAATATTATATAGTAAATCATATAGATTTATAAATTATGAGACTGAATGAAGATAAATAAATAATGTTTACACAATATATTTCTTTGTATATAAAATTTACTGCTTTTGTTATCCATGACTGATTCACAAAAAATAATACTTACATAATTACAATATTGGAATGTTTTCATGCTATGCTTAAAATATATAATGTAAACTATAACTACTAAAATATGTATTCATAGTAGTCATGGTTCACCACTAGTAATATGGTTCTTATCTTTGGCAATGGATCCTTTGCTTTTTAGTTGATATTTGCATGTAATTTTTTTTATAAAGGATTATAAGACAAGTATTGTAAAGAAAATAATGTAAATAAATTTATAATGCGAGATAAAATGATTAAACATTATTTTTTAAAAATTTATTAATTCTTTCATTACTTATCTCTTCTGGTAAATTATGCTTATATAGGTAATTATTTTGGACAGTATTTTAAATATCTTGATATCAAGATCCTGTTCTAATAATTTATTATAGAGCATATTATTAGTGCCTTCGTATCATTATATCATAATATTTTATGGAATATATTAGGAATTGGTACATTTATCGTGCTATTTTTAAATGCTACAAATAGTTCATTATAAAACATGATTAACAACAACTTATATAAATACTAATAAACTAATATAAATAAATTTGTAACATTGAAATAATAGCAATATACTAAATTTGATTTTTATAATAAAATAAAATTTCATATTTAAACATTTTGTTCTAAATTCTTATATTAAAAGTGTAATATTTTGAGATTAATATTTACACATGATCTATATAAGATATTACAAGAAATAAAATCATACAAGAAATACTTTTATATTCATGTTTGCTAAATACTGAAGATTATTCTAGAAATAAAATTGAAATTTAAAAATATTCCAAATAATCTTTTTTTCACAATATCTTTCATAGTGCTTATGTAATAGTTGTAATGATGTGAATAAACATAGACAGACAAGTTATAACAATTATAAAAGAGTAAAGATTGTTGATACTCAGATACTTACAAAAAATAAATGCATTATGCAATAGAAAGTATATCAGATTTTTAGCCATTGCCATATCTATTCAATTCTATCAACATTATATATATATATATATATATATATATATATATATATATATATATATTTGACACTGCTATGTAGTACCTATTTGTTCGTATTTAATTAACAACCTTCTAGAGAAAGTCTTTGATTTATATTTTCGACTCTTCCTTTCATTTCCCTGAGTATATCTTCAGCGAGGTTATCGATAGTAGTGTATCTTACTTTAAAGAAATTAAATATATCTACAAGGAATTCTATTACTTGATCTCTAAAATAGTGGCAGGTAGAACGTAGGCTTCCTTCTGGGCCTAAAAAACCCCATACCAGTACTGGAGAAATTTGTTCAGAAATAGAATAAAAATGGGCCAAAAATCCTTTGTCATATTTCAACATTTGTTTTTTACCTACAAGAACTGACCAAACTGCAGTTCCGATTGCCTTGAATATAAAAATTAATAAGCATCAACAAGAGATTAAATGAACAAAAACACGTTTATTATTTTAGATACTTACAGTTTCACGGAAACTAGCAGATATCCATCTATTTTGTAAAATAGCTTTAATTGACGAGGGCGGTTTTTCAACTTCTTCAAAGGCATCTAGCAAAATAAAATCGATTAAAACGTCATAGAAGTTCATACATTTTACACCTCTTGCAGTTAATTCCTCTTCCATTATTTTATGATTGTTTGGCTCTTGTAAAAATTCTAACATTCGTTCATAATGTATTAAATAATCCTTAGGATCCTAATATTGAAAATTTCTTTATTAAAACTAAAAAATTTTTTATTAAAAACTGATTTAAATTACTTTAAGATATATATATATATATATATATATATATATATATATATATATGTTTCTCAAGTAGAAGTAAATAATATATGTTGTGTATACCCTGTCTGCATACATGATCAAATCACTAATAATTTGTCTGCCTATGTCAGAAATCCATTCTGTAGTCGAAGGTATCGTGAACAATTTTGTGTATGCTTGTCGCAAGCAATGCACCTTTGCTAAGTATTCTATATCTGAACCACACTTCACTAATTCTGTATGCAATCGTCTGTAATAAAAATATTACATCTTAATAAATCAAATAAGCAAACTTACATAAACCGATATAAATCATACAAATTCTTATATCTTTAAATATAAAAATTAAACAGATTCTTCTTTACCTGCACTGAATACTTTTGTCCTCGTGTTGTTTGAGTGCAGCGTGATACAATTTTTGTTTTTCGAAATGGGGGAAAAATTCCGAAAATTCTTCAAATTCCCGTAAATCTGCTACCTGTATTAATATGTAAGTAAAGAATATAGAATAATAATTTATTATATATAATAAGAAAAAAAAATAAAATAATTTAATATGTAAAATTACCCCATCACGTGCAGATTCAAAAGATTCCGGGGAAGACGCAGCATCTGCTTTATCTTTACCGGATATCCGGCTACCTATATTCGAAGGTTTATGACTATCTATACTTTCTTCATCTTCGTTTCGGAATAATACTGAATGCTGCAAAAACGAAAACTTAGTTTTCTTATCTATAGTTTAAGTTTAGACTGTCTACAGAATGCTAATAATTAGAATTTAATTGTAAATCATCGATAAGAACGCGTTCAATTATAAGAGAATTTTATATGCTTAGATTTCAAAAGCGCGGTAGCGATGTCGTAAATTTCTTATGTAGTAATTCTTCTTTGCTTGTTGGTAGGTCAAGTAACTCGTTGCACTAATTACTCTAGTCAGTTATCATTTAAATTGGATTAATTCTCGCATCTTTTTATATGGTGAAAAAGCAATTGATGAGTGCAGTGGAATTAAATAGTAGGTGCAGGGGGACGCAGAAAAAATTTCAAAGATATAATATATCATAAGATGAGAATAGCTGTAATTAAATTTCTTTAAAGCATTCTATAACAGATATGTTTCATTTTTGATCACATAAAATTATTTTAAGAACAATTGAGATCTGTTTGAGCAATGAAAAAAAAATCATACATACTGAGGAAATAGAAACCAGTTACCTGGTCGATAAAAAGGAGTTCTGCATGGTTCTGGATTTGATAGCCCATATCAAGGAGCTCTTGCACATCGTGCGTAAATGCTGCATCCGCCTTAGACGGTAATGCGAGTGTACCATTATTGAGTGAAGAGCTGAACGCTGTAAGAGCATCCTCCCAACAATAGAGAGCTTTTTCCAGAGCCTCCAATCCTGCATCATTAAGTTACAACGTTTTGTCAATTTTCATTCTCCTCTTCGATGTGCACTACGCAAATGACGAATTCGAACTCGTTTAATTCGTTCTGAGAACACAACATAAGAAAGAAGTCCACGTGGATACAGTGGCTACCACTTTTTGTGGTTGTTATAAATTACAAAGAGCTATGGTTTAAGATATTTTAATTCGTAATTTTAATAGCGAATATTTATTAAAAATGTTACTCAGTTTCTGTTTCTTTAAATATAAATTCATAAAAATATTAATTTGCATAAATTTGCGCAGCCTAATTTACAGTCGAAGCAAAAGCGAAGAGTAAATAATAAATTCTTTTGAACATAATTCGTTTAACATATTTTTCTTGACCAACAATAACAATACAAACCAATATAAACCAATAATCTATGTTCTCAATTTGGAATTCGTATATTTCCATCTTTCTTACATTTTGTTTCTTATTTACCATAATTTGCCATATAAGGAAATCATAAAATTTTTTATTCTTTTAGTTCATATATTGTAAGTATTTGATATTTATGCATATGTAAATACATATATATTTATGCATATGTAAATACATATATACGACACATAATAGAAACAGATGAATCCTAACACTTTCACTTTCTCCTCTCAATTTAGGCACAGCCTGAAATGTACATAGTTTGAGATCCTTGTTTTTGTTCACTCTGGGTCCAAGTTCTAACACTTTCTATAGGATAACTATCCTTTCACAAACGTTTTTAGAAAATAATTTCTACGTTCATTCAAATAGGCGAGACATTACAATAATTCAAAATTTCAAAATGGAAATTTATATTTTATGAATTATATAATCCAAATATTAAGTATTTAACTCACTGAGAACCATGCAATGTAACAATCCATAAAAATGATTGAAAAACATAAGTAGAATATTCTACATATCTTTCAAATATAAAAATAATACGATTAAAAAAATATGTGATATAATAACATAATGTATAACTAACTTATCTTAATATAAAATATGGGGGAATTATAAATGAAACAGCTATTATCTCTAAGAAACTGAAAATCTAATTGACGAGTTAATTTATTTCCTTCGGTTAAAAAGGTTAGCAGCTAGGCAAAAGTTAATAATCATCGAAAAACAACCGTACAATTCGTGAAATGCAATTTTTTAAAATCACAAACACAATGGAGAGTTATAATTAGTTCGAATTGGAAAGATGCATATTACATATACCAAGAAATGCGTTGACGGGAAGAAGCTTCAGACGTACGTCGCGACTCCCAGTACTTGGCATTCGTACAAGAGGCAAAGGTAAGTTCAACGACTGATTTTGCAACGGTAGAAGATTTACAAATGAGAGACCCTGTTGGCCGGCGTGTCAACCAGTCAGCAAAGAGTAAGGGGTTGAGAGCACCTACTTAACGTTGTCACACTGTCGCAGGATTTAAATTCCGAGTCGGTGACGACATTCCCCGTATTCAACGACGTTTTGTCACTCGTAAATCGGCGTGCACATGCCGAAATTCACAACGAGGAGAGAAACCGTACACGCGTCATTATCAATTAAGAGGAACATCCATGTCACCAAGGATGCATGTGTCACTTTCAATCTGACACTTTGAATAAACTTTGTATCTACGTCAATAGCTATCTGTAAAGCTCTACTGGTATGAGCATAGATAGTTCATAAATTTACGTTAACAAACCGAGTAATTTGATGTAGCAACACATGTATGTATACGTACCGGTATCGAATGAAATTTAAAATATTACGTAGACACTTGGGTATAAATAATATATCGGATAGGGAAGGCATCAATGAATGGATCCGGTATTAAGATCTATTTTAACTGCTTTAATCTCAGAGAAGGTAATGCAAATAGAAAAAAAAATATATGTATGTAATAGAGGGAGTAATGTTGGGGTGTTTTCCAGTGACGTATCTATGCAAGTATAAATTCGATTCATTCGTGTGAATTTCATCTTTACATCTTTCTTCTGAAAAATATTAAATTTTGTTACTAGAGGACATGGCTTAGATTTTTGTAAAATATTTTAAGTGAATAAAATTGTACGTGAAATTTAAAAATTTGAACGTTATGTGAATACTTTTATTGTCAAAATTAAAACTTCCGAAAGTAAACAATGTCTTTATTTCCTGACGTTTCGTCAGCATACAATGAGCCTTATTAGTAATCGAATACTGAGACTAATATTAACAATTTAATTGCTAATTGCTAAATATAGAATCTGATAAAATTATGTATATACTAAGTCATATCTTCCAAACGTGCAAATTTCCGTACATGTATGTTCACTCTTTCAATTCCAATATTAAGTCTCATCTTCACTCGGTATCAATGTTACATCCTTCTATGTTACATATAAAACTCACTGACAAAGTCATACGAAGAATTCAGGACACCTGCTTGCATAAAAGCATCCAACGAGAAAATTCCTGAATCGAAAGTCAGATAACCTAGAAATCGGCACAAGCTGCTCAACAAACCACGCTGCTCAGGCTCGCAAGCAAGCGGAAGTGTCGTTTATTCGACGAAGACAGAGAGATCCCATACGAGTGTCAAACGAAAAGAGAGGCCTTCGTGCGGCTGGCTGGCTACCCCTTGAGAATTCTCGCAACCCCCATTGAAGGAGAAAGATACACCCTGAAGAATCCAGCACTGGCGATGCTGCCGGATGGTTGGCGTCAATAATACCAAAGTGACGTAATCCTTTTGAAGGTTCGTTATTGGAGGATGTGTCATCCAATGGGGAGAGGTCGATACGGCAGCTGGGAGGCGCGCGCGGTCTCAAAGTGTGCTCCAGGCACGCGTTGCGGCATCGCGGCTGGTAGTGCACTGTTGGAATCACTACGACGAAGGTAGGTTTTCGGAGAGGCGGCACGAAGAAAAGAAAGAGAAACACGCGAAAGCAAAAAGGGGCGATAGAGAAGGATCGGGTTAGATACAAGTGAGCGCGCAGTGAAAGAAGGAAGGGAAGGGTGGGACACTGTGTGAGGCACACTCTGTCGGTTCTCGCGCTAGCGTCAGTTATTTGGCTTGCCGCTTGCTCGGCGGGTGTACAGTGCGCTTGTATACCTTTCCAACGATTGCTAACGGTGGGCCGTTGACTCGCGAAAAACTTCTTAACGTACCTACACGCTTAACGAACGTACGTTAACGCAATTTTCGTTTAGTTACACGACAACCAGAATAAAACTTTGGAAGTGACATAATCGCGTAATCCTCGTCTGCTCTTGATGCCATTTGGGACTCGCTCGCATTATTTGGATTAAGATAATGCAATAGTAAGTACGATTGTTTCCTTCTCTACCGATTATTGAACGTTCGCCGCCCTAGGGGGTTTCTTTGAAAAAACCCCCTTGCTGCAATGTATTGTGCGTTATAGGGGAATTGTTTTCATCTATACAACAGAGTGTCTGCAATACTCGAAGAAATTTTATAAATCTGACATCTTGACTCAATTCTTCGTGAAACACACAGACAGAAAACATTTATTCTTTTTTTTTTCTCTTATGTCACACACTTTTTCTTTTTATACATTTTCCATTTTATGTTATTCGCCTAACATGAGCATCGAAGTAGCTTTAAAACGTTACGTTTCTGTTAAGTAGCGTTAAATACTATTATTATTATGAATCTAATAATTTGATTCATTTGAATTGAAAGTATCGTGCTTGTACTACAATATTTTTTGTTTTAATTTCGATGACAGTTGTCAACTTTTGACTAGGAAGTTAATCGATGCCAGCAAAGTAGGCGTAGTAGGGGAAATTATAGATTTTAAAATATCGCACGATTTCTCACAAGATCAACTGCGTCGTGAGCATCTGGGGATACCATAACGTTCGGGGCGTCATTTTTGAAAATTGAAACTGGTTTGTCCCTGTAATTGTTCAAGATCAGGTATATCTTCGGTATAGGTCAAGTTCAGGGGTCAATACCTCGTACCCCGTTGAATCTCGAATAAAAGTGAATGCCGTAAATGTAGCAATAGCACCGCGTACCGGCAGATCGATGGAGGTGCCTGGTGCGCTGGTGAACTTGGAAATTTCCCTAGCACACGCGCACTTCCTGCAACCGTGATATTTGCGTATCCGTTATATACACCTTGCCCTATACGAGTGGTGTTGTATATACTTCTATTAAATCTTAAAGTACAACAGGCGAATCTCGAAATCTAATGCATAAGACTATATCCATCGATAGTGGCTGCACACAGTGTTGTGTGCAAAATGTAAAAGATACTAATTCGGTCGTGCAACTTCCTCGTATTTTGACATCATATGGAATAACAGGATTGAAAGATCAAATATACGGTGAAACTGAGATTGTTAGTTTGAAAGTAATGAAGACGTACTATAATTTATAACCTATAATAACCTAAAAGGAGCACTGTTGTTGCGTTAATCCAAAATTTCATTTCCAACTTTTTCAGTTAATCTATTGACTGTGTTAAGAAAGATTTGATCAAAGATCTGATTAATATCTTTTTTTTTCTTTTTCCATCTGGATATTTCAACTTTGTGAACTTTTAAAGAAATTGAGATAGATATCATTTGTTTTTTATATTATAAAAATTTCATTTATGTTTCTAACTAATACAATAGGCTTCTATAAATTATTTATTATCTTACTACATGTTATTTCAGTGTTTGGTTATAATTTAATATGAAGAATCAAAATAGGAAATCATTCACCTAATGTTTGTCAGAACATGATTTCTACTAGAGCAGTCTGTTCGAATTTCTCGCATTTCAACACTTACGTATCATCTTTCACCCTGAAAAGTAGAGACAATAGCGCATGACCTCGTGTAATCATGGTAATATATATATATATATATATATACATATAATTGAATAATACCTACGCACGATTAAATTAATGAAGATACACACTCTCGGATGTTTAAAGGAATCTAATTGCAAGTTTGATGGATAATATGTATCCTGATAATATTAATACGCTAATCAATCATAATATTAATCATAATATTAATGACAGCGCAACTTTGGTCATACGAACGGGATATAAACCAGTTTACCATTCGAACAGTAGATAACATAATTTACTGTTAATTTAATTTATCACTCTTATTTGAAATTTAATATTACCTATCTAAATATTTTTTTGACTTGCTATTAAACAGCAGAAGTAAAGAAATAAATCAATTATCTTTCTATAATCATTGAGAGTTGTCAAATTTTGCTTGAAATTTCCATTGAAATTATTCATTTCTTCGTAACACGATAAGCTCTGATTCAAAATAGCGACTGATCATCGCGAAAATAGGAATGATGATGTAAATGGACGAATCGGTATTAAAAAAAAAAAATCTATTATAATAGAAGTCAATACTTCTATTATAATAAATATAATAAATATTATAAATTATTATAAATAAATACTGTGTCATGAGTTAAATGCAAACGTTTCAATGCAAACAAATTTTCGGTAATCGTGCGTTCTATACTAACGATTATGCATAAGAATAAGATAATCAAAATATAAGAGAGACGAACAGAAGTCAGAATTATTAAGGAACTGGATGAAATCTTAAAGAATCGATCAGCTGTGATTGAGGAGGACTGAAATTAATCGTGGTTAACTCGACTTGAAAGAAATTGAGAAGAAAATCAGCGAAAAGTTAAATTTTAAATTAAAGAAATGAATTAACCACTCGAAGTATCTTATCCAATTGTTGAATTTTATTAAATTCTGAACTTTATTACTTATCACTTCTTTAGATTAAGAAATTGATATAAAAAAAGAGAGGAAGATGACGATAAATCATCATCAACACTGTACGTACCTAATTGCGTTACATTTTTTTGAATTCTACGCATTAAAAGAACGAGGGTGAACAGAGGGTGAAGAGGGAGGAGACGAAATTATTAATAAACCAGGCGGGGCTATTAAAAATCGATCATGCGAGAAGGCAAGTATGCAAAAGGCCCGGCTCGTGATACACACGACGAGCTGTCGATAGAACGCAGATTCCTGCTATAGGTCACTAACAAGATACATGATATGATCGTGTCGGTTATTAGGTAATAGTGGATCCCCTGTCGAGGATGCTTCGACCCTGATGAGTCTAATAAAAGTGACATCATTATCGCTAGCCGCAACGAGCTTTTAACCTACGTAGCTCGCTCTGATTTTCATAATCTGGTTCACATCATCGTGAATGTGCTCTACCATCCTATTAGTCGTTGCCTTTTCAATTAGCGCCGCTACATAACAAACAGAGAAAGTATATATTTTTCTTTCATAACTTTTCGAGGATGACCAAGTAGACTGGCGGTTGTTGCATGCATTTAAAAGAACATACATCGTACACGAAAACAAATGAAATTTCTGAAGTAGAATACTTATTGTCGACATTTAGAGAAAGAAATGTTCATTTCTTTAATAATTGGTTTACAGTGATGTAAAATTGATAAGATCCGATGTACAATGATCTTGAAATAATTGAATTTACATATTATCTCATTGATGTTGATTGTTCTTAATGGGTTGAAGAAAGGATATCAAGCCTCCCACTCTTTAATATGAACGAAGCAAGTGATATGTATCTCAAACGTTTTCACCTTTGATTTTTATAAAGACTACAATATTTTACTTGATGTGTACTTGATTATTGATTATGCTGTACTGATTTTTACTCTTTATCATTGTGGCATGAAAGAGGATTTCAAAAGTTCGCTCTTAATACTATTTTGTTGATTATTAATTCTTTCACCTAGATTTTACGATTTTATGAAATTTAAGAAAAAAAGAACCAATGCATTTATCATGCAATGCATATAATCATTGCTTGGTCCTTAATAGGTTGGGCAGTGAATTAGATCAAACGGATGCGGAAGGGTTAACCGATGTTCGTGGATAGAAAACTCTGGCGTCACTTTATGCGAAAATAGCACTAACGTAGTTAGTTATCGTAGTGAAAAAGGTTAAGCCTTAGAGAAATCGTGGAATAGGAAGAGGGTAAAAGGTGTACGTACCTCCCCCCACCCACTTAGGCTTTTGCCTTCGTAAAGTAGACCGACGAAGGTCATACTATACGAGCCACGAGCCACGTCAGCTGGAAAGATCCTCCATATCTCGATAAACTCGAGGTCCAACGCCTAACACTCTCTGTGCTCTTCTTCTTCGTGGCAAACGCGAAACCTCGTATCAGAAATCTCTCGTTGCAGTTCTCCTCCGCTTCTTTCTTCGAGACGAAAATTCAGAATACTAAAGCGAATACCGCATAGAATACATCAGCAGATCATACAGATTTGCCGGAGTATCGGTATGATATACGTGAGAAAAAAAAAATTCTCTATAGAATCTTCAAGATCAGGCATCTTGTGCTTCAAAAATGTGAGAATCACAAACGATGGAATTTTTCAAAGAACCTCAGCAATTCGAAAGTATCCTTCATGAAATTCTCTGGCCTTCCCTCTGCGATTTTCATTGGAATAACTCGAGTTCCCTGGTCGGTCGAATCTCATAGTTGAACCCGTTTGAATCCATTGAACGTCATCAAGGTATTAGAACATCTCTCGTGGGCGTGTGGAGAGCCTCGTACTCTGGTGGGATTGTTCGGAAGCGTGAAACGACTTGGGGATTCGACTATCTGGAAATGTTGGTGACCGTGAGGTCAACGTGTATAAATATTTACAATACGTTTACAGTGATGTTGCAATTATTCGTATTCACAGAGTCAGTCACCTGGCCTAGCAGTTCAATTTTGCTTCAACAATTCCGTAGATCGTAAAGATCATTATTCGATCTTAGAGATCGACATCTACGAAGGAACTTTCAACAACCTGTACCACGTCGAATCGTGTAGCGGTTTTGTTTTTAAACGGTCCTTACTTACTTCTCTCGACGTTATATTATATACCCCACGATGAATCATCGGTCGGGAATCGCGAGATGATTTTGCGAGCATGAGTGCGAGAAGTCTGAAGATGAGTGCTAACTGTAGAAGGAGTAGCATTTTCAATTTTTCGAGAACGTTTCAAGATATAACTGATCGTTTTAAGATTCGAAACTAATTGAGCAGTTGAAAGGGGGAATTTTTTGTAAGATGCTATTGAAAATAAAATGATCATAAATATTTTCCATAGTAATACCTTTTTTTAAATTTTTCTTTGGTATCCTTTATGATGTTTTGTATTTCTGTTTTATCGTCCGTGATTCCCTCTTTTCCTGGCAGTTTCATGAATTTTAGATATTTTTCTAAATTAGAGACAGAAGACTTTTAATTGCCACCTTATGGTTTCCTTTTTTTTTT